TGCAGGGAGCCAGAACAGTGCTGATCCTGCCCCCTGCTGTAAAAAAAATAAAGTTAAAGGACCACTCTAGGCACCCAGACCACATAGGCCCAGCTAGGGTTAACCCATTTTTTCATAAACATAGCAGTTTCAGAGAAACTGCTATGTTTATGAATGGGTTAAGCCTTCCCCCTAATCCTCTAGTGGCTGTCTCATTGACAGCCACTAGAGGCGCTTGCGTGCTTCTCACCGTGATTTTCACAGTGAGAGCACGCCAGCGTCCATAGGAAAGCATTATGAATGCTTTCCTATGTGACCGGCTGAATGCGCGCGCAGCTCTTGCCGCGCGTGCGCATTCAGCCGCATGGGAGGAGAAGAGGAGGATCGGAGGAGGAGAGCTCTCCGCCCAGCGCTGGAAAAAGGTAAGTTTTAACCCCTTTCCCCTTTCCAGAGCCGGGCGGGAGGGGGACCCTGAGGGTGGGGGCACCCTCAGGGCACTATAGTGCCAGGAAAATGAGTATGTTTTCCTGGCACTATAGTGGTCCTTTAATTTAAAGTCCGACCCCCCTTTACCCATTTTAATAAAAAATTAACCCCTTCCCTGTCAATTGATTACTGACTACAGTGATCAATTGGCAGGGATTACATTTTACTATGATCTGATTTTTTTTTTAACCCCCGAGGGTTAATTCTTATTTTTTTTTAACCCTCGGGGGTTAAATTTATTTAATTAATTAATTAAAATATTTAAAAATTATATCTTTAGCTAGCTGGGGTGGGTGGAAGTTAGTGGAGAATTGGGGGATTTGGCGTTAGGCTAACTAGGGGTTAACGTTAAAATAAGTTTTAAAATAAACTTTAAAAAGTTGAAAATTAAGCTAAAAAAAAGTTTTAATAACATTTAAGTAAAAAATAAAAAAACACCCCCCTTTACCTACTCCAAATAAAAATTAACCCCTTCCCTGCCAGTCAATCACTGCCTACAGCGATCAAATACAGATCACAGTATTATACTGTGATCTAATTTTTTTTAACCCCTGAGGATTAACTTTTATTTATTTTTTAACCCTCAGGGGTTCAATTTATTTAATTAATTAATTTAAATATTTTATAACTATATATTTTGCTAGCTGGGGTGGATGGGCGTTATGGGAAAATGGGGAATTTACTGTTAGTGCTGCTTACTGCTAGTTAGGGGTTAACGGTAAAAAAAAAAGCTTACAAAAATGTTAAATCTGTAAAAAAGTTTTAAGAAAGTTTAGGAAAGTTTAAAAAAATTAATAAGCAAAACAAAAGTTTAAAAACTAGTTTTTAAAAGTAAAAAAGTTATAAAAAGTTAAAAAAATACATTTTAAAAACGCTCATTACCACTACACCTGGAACAAACTAGAGAAAAAATTATCCCACGCCAAGGTTCAAAATATGCCTTTTGAATTACTCCAGGGTGTATTCTTTAATAAATAGTATGTGTTTGTGGGGGAGTTTCAATAACCAACCGTCTAAACTACTCCAAATTGGAACATGGACACAGAGTAAAACTTCAAAGTTAGAAAAAAACTGAATGGCTACGTCTCAAATGCGCCCCTTCAACATCCACATATACCTGGCAAAGGTACATATGGGGGTATTGCTGTACTCAGCCAACATAGCTGAGCAACATATGAAATATTATACAGTCATAGCACACATAAGGTTTGCAAAATATGCTGCGCAAACTCACTTTGTATGTCAAAAAGGCAGAAAAAATGCTTATTACCACTACACTTGGTACAAGCTAGCGGAAAAATGATCCCACGCTAAGGTTCAAAATATGCCTTTTGAAATACCCTGGGATGTCTTACTTTAAGAAATGGTATGGCTTTGTGGGGTAGTTTGAATTTAAAACCTGTGAAGATGCTTGGAAATTGCACATAGGCCCAGCTTCAAAATTCAAAGTTTGGTAAAAACGGATATGGCTTGGTCTCCTATATGGCACTGTAGCTTCACGAAATAGTGCCAAAGACATTCATTGGGGTGTCTTTTTACTCAGAAGACTTAGCTGAGCATAATTTGGTAGGTTTGAACTTAGTGACACATATGAAATATACAAAACGCCCAGCAAAAATGCAATCCGTATGTAAAATATGCACAAAATTATTTTTTACCACATACTTTGGCATATATTGGTGAAAAAAATGGGGGTATGTTAAGGCACAATATGCACCTTATGAGATACCCTGGAGTGTCTACTTTTACAAATGGTAGGCCTTTGTGGGAGTTTTTTGAACAGTCAAACTGTTATAATACCCCAAATGGAAGCTAAGGCTCATTAAATCCATCTCTCAAAATTCTACTGTGAATACTGAAAAGGACAGGTCTCCTATATGGCACTGTAGCTTCACGAAATAGTGCTAAAGACATACAATGGGGGTGTCCTTGTACTCAGAAGACTTAGCTGAGCATGATTTGGGGGGTTTGAACTTAGTGGCACATATGAAATATACAAAACGCCCAGCAAAAATGCAATCCGTATGTAAAAAATGCACAAAATTATTTTTTTACCACATACTTTGGCATATATTGGTGAAAAAATGGGGGCATGTTAAGGCACAATATGCACCTTATGAGATACCCTGGAGTGTCTACTTTTACAAATGGTAGGCCTTTGTGGGGGTTTTTTGAACAGTCAAACTGTTATAATACCCCAAATGGAAGCTAAGGCTCATTAAATCCATCTCTCAAAATTCTACTGTGAATACTGAAAAGGACAGGTATCCTGTATGGCACTGTAACTTCACAAAATAGTGCCAAAGACATACAATGGGGGTCATTTTACTCAGCAGATGTAACTGAACACAAAATAAAACTTTGTACAGGAATAGCACACACCAACTTTACAAAATATACATGAGAATTTCTTTGTTATAAGTTTGTGTGCCAAAACACAATTTTACTCCAATATTTAGCAGAGGTTGGCGGTGAAATGGCTACGTAGAAAGTGTCAAAACAACCTTAGGTAAATAGCCCGTGATGTCTACTTTATATAAATATATACTTTTGTGTGGCAATTTTGTTTTCTTTTATGGCTATTAAGCTTACAAGACAAACATACCAAATTCTAAAATCACTCCACATTAAAAGTCTATTTTACTCCTTCTGCTTTGTGACCTGTAACTACCAAAAACAACTTAAAATCCCAGACACATTATATATTCTGTAAATCAGAACAACTAAATTAATTTATTTTTAATTACTTTTCTTAACCTACACTAATTATGCACACATTATTATTGCAAAAACTGTAAAAAAAACACACAAAATTTTCATTTTTTTTACATTTTTCTGTATTTTTTTATATTAAATAAGCATTTATATATATGTGTGTGTTACATTAAATTAAAGCCCTTTCTGTCCTTTAAAAAACGATGTATAGTATGTGTTGGTGCAACAAATTAGTAAAATGCAAATTGCAGTTGAACGCAAACAGCAAAAAATGAAAAAAATGCTGTTGTCATTAAGTGAAAGACAAGCTTTTGAAGCTCTGTCCTTAAGGGGTTAACAGCACATAGAACAATTGTCTTGAGATTTGTAACACTTGCAATGTCATGATTCTCATACAATTCTTTCTGCCTTATGGGTGTCTGGGATCTGTTTGATGCACATTGAAAATGTAAGTATCACTCTTATTGTTTAGGGTAGGGGCATTAAGAAAGGGATATAGCCAAAAACATGTGTTAACTATGCTCTTCTGAATTAACCTTGAAGGCAGTAGTGGGCCTTTGCCATGTCTTTTTACGCCTGTCAGTGTGTTTTTACTTGCCCTACAATTTAGCTTTTGCTCCTGTCCATTTCATTATATCTCCCATCAATCGTTTTGTGTTTTTTTCCCCTGACTTTTATCATGCATCCTTCTCGTTTACCCTCATCTGTCTTTAAATTGTTACCCTTTCACTTATTTATTTACGTTTTTTTGCCAGACATCCCACCATACGTCTTGCTAGTTAAGAAACATTTTAAGCACCATAACCACATCAGCTCACTATAGTTGTAATAAGTCTAAGAAAGTGTGGATATCAAGTCATCCAAGCTTACGAGAGCCTGTGTTAGGTGGATTGACTCAATCCCACTCAGCTAATGTGAGAGTGCTATTTTTCTCGCGATGGTACAATTTTAGGTGGCAAGGAATGGCTGAGCACTGGGTTCAGTTAGAGCTCTCAGTTTATTATCAAGGCACTACGTTGTATAGGCTGACCGCTAACGTCCAATTCTGCATTAGTAGCTGCCGGGGGAACCATACTTTTTTTGTCAGTTTGATATAAACCAGGAGGACAGTACGCACAGAGACTCTGCGCAATAATCTCAGAGTTTTTAAAATGGAGCTGGCTGCTCCACAAGCCATTTTCATTCACTATCTGGATAATACATCACAAAAACAGGATTTAAAAATAAACTACAGAAGTATTAGTTTTGTGTGCAGGGTAACATGATGTTGTTCATCCCAGCAGCAGAAGTGAAGAGATATTAAATAAATAAATCTAAGATGTGCACCGAATGCCCCATTAAACATATCCTACACCAGGTATAGTATATGATCTATTACACCACAAACACTGACAGAGCTGTCTGAAAGAACAGTGACAACGAGTAACACCAATACTGTTTCACTGTTCAACCAAGACTGAAAGGCTCACACAGAGGAAGGGAAGCTAAGCCAGCCTCTGACGTAATTACCGCCTATACTAAGGTAGCCAACGGATACCGCTGACGTAAGCATCCACGTGCTGATCTACACCCTCCCAGCCCATTCCCCTCCCCCTCCCCCGTGCCCCTCCGCCCTCGTTCCACGTGCGGGACCATGTGAGCTTTCTCGGCAGTGTTTGTAAACACGCGTCACGGAGCCACGTGAGACTATGTGCGCGCGACGGAGGGGAGGGATTGAAACTGACTGACAGCTATGCCGTCCAATTGAAGAGCCCCGAGACCAGGCTGAGCCGCGTGAGCAAACAGCCAATGATAGCGCTTTTTACAAATTAGGGGCGGAGACAAAAGAAAATCAGGTTGTTTTTTTTTGTCGCATTTCTGATAGACGCCTTACACGCAGGGAAGGGCAGTGTGTGAGGGAGGGCTGAGGGAGATCGGGTCATAGGCACGTTATTTATTTTATTCCTAGTCCTAGAATGGCTAAGTATGGAGATAATGTAAACCAAGGTTCAGGGGCCATTATGGCATATCAGGAATAGTATATAACTGGGTGATCCTCTCTGACTTGGGGGGAGGAGGGAGAGGTTGGTTGGGCTACTATTATGCAGCAATGATAACTGCATTGGTTCTTGTGCTACCTTGAATTGGAAATAACCTGATTTTTTTTTTTTATCCTAATAGGGATCAGTTTGAGTTCCTGTGTGATTGGAGGCCAGGCCAATTTTGTGAATATTGCCATCTCTAACTTTCAGTCATATTATGACAAAAACAGTATCTTACCTTAAAGGACCACTATAGTGCCATGAAAACATACTCGTTTTCCTGGCACTTTAGTGCCCTGAGGGTGCCCCCACCCTCAGAGATCCCCTCCTGCCAGGCACTAGGGGGTGGAAGGGGTTAAACTTACCTCTTTCTGCAGCTCCGGGTGGGGGACTCTCCTCCTCCTCGGCTGCATGTGCGGCAGGAGCCGCGTGCGCATTCAGCCAGTCCATAGGAAAGCATTCACAATGCTTTCCTATGGACGCTGGCGTCTTCTCACTGTGAAAATTACAGTGAGAAGCGCCTCTAGCGGCTGTCAATGAGACAGCCACTAGAGGCTGGATTGACCCTGTTATAAAAATAGCAGTTTCTTTGGGTGCCAGGTCCCTCTAGGGTTAACCCTGCCTGCTGTAAAATAGCATTTTCAGAGAAACTGCTATGTTTACCTATGGGTTAATCCAGCCTTTTGTGGCTGTCTCATTCACAGCCACTAGAGGCACTTCTCACTGTGAAAAATCACAGTGAGAAGACGCCAGCATCCATAGGAAAGCATTGAGAATGCTCTCCTATGGACTGACTGAATGCACGCGCGGCTCTTGCTGCGCATTCAGCCGATGAAGGAGGAGGAGAGTCCCCGGCTCTGGAGAAAGGTAAGTTCTTTAACCCCTTCCTCCCACTTCAGCCCGGCGGGAGGGATCTCCACGCATGCTTAAACTCCTTAACTATGTTAACCTCTACCACTTCAGCTAGAAGGCTATTCCATGCATCCACTACCCTCTCATTAAAGTAATACTTCCTGATATTATTTTTAAACCTTTGCCCCTCTAATTTAAGACTGTCCTTTTGTTGTGGTAGTTTTTCTTCTTCTAAATATGGTCTCCTCCTTTACTGTGTTGATTCCCTTTATGTATTTAAATGTTTCTATCATATCCCCCCTGTCTCGTCTTTCCTCAAAGCTATACATGTTAAGATCCTTTAACCTTTCCTGGTAAGTTTTATCCTGCAATCCATGAACCAGTTTAGTAGCCCTTCTCTGAACTCTCTCTAAAGTATCAACATCCTTCTGGAGATAAGGTCTCCAGTACTGTGTACAATACTCCAAGTGAGGTCTCACCAGTGTTCTGTACAATGGCATGAGCACTTCTCTCTTGCTACTGCTAATACCTCTCCATATACAAGCAATCTGCTAGCATCAGTGGCGTACACATGACCCATGGGGCCCAGGTGCGAAAACTGATGCGCTGGCCGGGCCGCAACACATGGCGGTGGGCACCTGGTCGCAGGGGTTACAGGACTGCGACCGCAGTGGGTACGCCAGTGCATGCAGATGCACGCACACTTAAAGGACCACTACAGACACCCAGATCACATCAGCTCAATGAAGTTGTCTGGGTGTCAGGTCACTCTAGTTTTAACCCTGGAGCTGAAAACATAGTTTCGGAGAAACTGTTTCACTGAGGGTTAATCCAGCCTGTAGTGGCTGTCTCACTGACAGCCGCTAGAGGAGCACACTGAAGGTCCATAGGAAAGAATTGAGTAATGCTTTCCTATGGGCGGTTTGAATGCGTGCGCGGTCACATTCGGAGCAGAGAGGGTGAGGGATCCCCAACGCCAAGGGAGTCCGGCGTTGGAGAAAGGTAAGTGCTGAAGACACACACACTCTCACAGACGCATACACATTAGCTAACAGACACACACATTTACTGACAGAGACACACTCAGCGACAGACATACATACATACATACACACACACTCACTTACAAAACATACTCTCATTGACAAACACACCCTCACTAACAGACATCAAACAGACTCACTAAGACACACACAGTAACACACTCACTAGCAGACACACACACTCTCACACTCACTCTAACACTCACACACGTTTTTTTTTTAAATGTAATCCTCCCAGCCTCCTTAAGTTTTGGAGTGCTGGGGGGATTCCCTGGGGTCCAGTGGTGCTGCTGGGCTCCTGGGCGGGTGGCCGGTCGGGCGCGCGAGGGAGCACTGAGTGCTTCCTCTTCAGCTCCCTCGCGCACTGAGTGCTCCCTCGCGCGCCCGCCTGCCCGCCCGACCGGCCACCCGCCTGCCGGGTGACAGCAGGGCCAGCCTCATGGGGCCCTAAGGTGGCCGCCTCCTGGGCCCCCCATGGGAAGAGGCTGGCCCAGTGGGTACACACCGGGTCGCAGGGGCGGCCGGGCCCAGTCACAGCTGCGACCCTGGTATGTACGCCACTGGCTAGCATTTCCTGCTGCTCTATTGCATTGTCTGTCTAACTTTAAGTCATCAGAAATAATCACCCCTAAATCCCTTTCTTCAGAAGTTGAGGTTAGGACTCTATCAAATATTCTGTACTCTGCCCTTGGGTTTTTTTACATCCAAAATGCAGTATCTTGCACTTATCCACATTAAATGTCAGTTGCCACAATTTTTCTAGTTTACCTAAATCATTTGCCATTTGGCTTATCTCTCCTGGAACATCAACCCTGTTACATATCTTAGTATCATCAGCAAAACGACACCCTTTACCATCAAGACCTTCTGCAATATCACTAATAAAAATATGAAAGAGAATGGGTCCAAGTACAGATCCCTGAGGTACTCTACTGGTGACAAACCCATGCTACGAATATGCTCCATTGACTACAACCCTCTGTTGCCTGTCACTCAGCCACTGCCTTACCCATTCAACAATATTGGAATCCAAACTTAAAGATTGCAGTTTATTGATAAGCCTTCTATGTGCAACAGTGTCAAAAGCCGTACTGAAATCTAGGTAAGCAATGTCTACTGCACCACCCTGATCTATTATTTTAGTTACCCAATCAAAAAAATCAATAAGATTAGTTTGGCATGATCTTCTTGAAGTAAACACATGCTTCTCTGATCTTGAAATCCATGTGATTTTAGATGTTCAACAATCCTATCCTTTAAAATGATTTCCATTACTTTCCCCACTACGGCAGTAAGGCTTACTGGCCTATAGTTGCCTGACTCCTCCCTACTACCTTTCTTGTGAATGGGCACAACATTCGCTAAATTCCAATCTTCTGGGACTACTGTTAAAAGGCCATTATAGTGCCAGGAAAAATATAGGTCCCCCCTACCCTCATGGCCCCCCTCCCGCCGGGCTGAAGGGGTTAAACTCTTACCTTTCTCCAGCGCCGGGCTCCCTCGGAACTGGGGAACTCTACTCCCTCTCCCGACGTCAGCTGTGAATGCACATGCGCGGCAAGAGCTTAAGTTACATCTGATTAAAAATGAAACCATTTTGTTTTCCTGACGGTGAATTGAGCAGTGAAACTTCAGAGGCATGGTCTATACACAAAATCCTTTATTGACCCTGTAACTTTCCAAAACACCATAAAACCTGTACATGGGGGGTATTGTTATACTTGGGAGACTTCGCTGTCCACAAATATGAGTTTTTCAAACAGTAAAACCTATAAATCACCAGTAAAAGTGCAGTTTTTGTGTAAAAAAAAAATGAAAAAACTAATATGAACGCTAACTTTGGCAAGCGTTTGTGACTAAGTGGCTACTACAAAAGACTGGACATACCCCATTTTGAACACCGTGGGTTGTCTACTTTTACAAATGGTATGTCATTATGGGGTTAATTTTCATTCCAATCTAGCAAATTTCAATGTGCGAAAAGGGAAAAGCCTTACATTTGACCCCTGTAAGTTTGAAGAAACTCATAAAACCTGTACAGTGAGGGCACTGTTGTACTTTGGAGATGTTGCTGAACACATATTGGGGTGTTCTTTGTCAGTTGCCCCACTTCAAAAATGTCCCAAATAGGACATGGGTGCATGATGACCAGCTGTGAAAATTCCAAGTTGGAAAACTGGAATGAGCACCCTCCAAATAAGGTCTTTTAGCCCCCAAAGAACCCAGCACACCTGCACATGGGTGGTATCACTGTACTCAGGAGATATTGCTGAACACATATTGAGGTGTTCTTTGGCAGCAATACATAACAGGAACTGAGAATCCATGCCTAAAATACGTGTGTGAAAAAAAAATGACTACCCAAAAGTTTGACAAAGACTGTTGGTGGAATTAGTGCATGGAAAGTGTTAAAATACCACCAGTTGAAATACCCTAAGGTGTGTACTTTTCAAAAATATATGGTTTGATGGGGGTAAATTACACTGACCGGCTTAAAAAATGTCCCAAATAGGACATGGGTGCATGATGACCATCTGTGAAAATTCCAAGTTGGAAAACTGGAATGCGCACCCTCCAAATAATGTTTTTTAGCCCCCAGAGACCCCGACACACCTATTCATGGAGGTATCAGTGTACTCAAGAGATGTTTCTGAACACCTAATGGGATGTTCTTGGGCAGTAACCCTTAAAGTTCTCCGTACATGTATTCTTTAAATGCTATGTGTGTCAAAAAAATCACCAATTATTTTTTTTGTTTTCAATTTGGCATAGATTGGTGGTAAAATGGTTGCATGAAAAGAGTCAAAATACCCTGAGTTTAATACCTTAGGTTGTCTTCTTTAAAAAAAATATATACATGTGAAGGGTTATTCAGGGATTCCTGACAGATATCAGTCTTACAACATGACTTGCGTTAATTTTGAAAAAAATGGTTTGGAAATAGCAAAGTGCTATTTATACTTATTGCCCTATAACTTGCAAAAAAAGCTAAGAACATGTTAACACTGGGTATTTCTAAAATCAGGACAACATTTAGAAACTATTTAGCACGGGCATTTTTTGGCGGTTGTAGATGCGCAACAGATTTTGGGGGTCAAAGTTAGAAAAGGTGTGGGTTTTTTTTAATTTTTCATCGTATTTTATAATTTATTTTATAATAAATTATATGATATGATGAAAATAATGGTATCTTTAGAACGGTATATAATATGTGTGGGTACAGTAAATGAGTAAAAGGAAAATTACAGCTAAACACAAACACCGCAGAAATGTAAAAGAGCCCTGGTGCTTAACGGTACGAAAATTGAAAAATGGTCTGGTCACATTTGCAGAAATAAAATGGGTGGTTGGCTCTAAACTTTATATTGTGTGTCTGAACTGTCACAGCTTCTATCACTAAGGGATTAATTGGGGGGGAGGAGGGAGGAATAAGAGATGGGTTACTAATTTTTGACAGGCTACTGTACCTGCAGATTTGTCAGAGTGGAGATATCTATATAATTAGTTACATGGCTATCTGCATTAGGCCACTGTAAGCATATGTTGCGTTCCACGGCATAATGCGGAAGTAAATTGGCCTGATTGCACTGATTAAGACTGTGGAACGCATGTGCGTTCCAATGAAGAAAAAGGAAGTGGAATAGTATAACTGTATGATGGAAGCACGCGCGCACGCACGTAATTGACGCACGCACGCACGCATGTACGTGCGTTCCAACCAGTGCGGCGTGCGTTCCACGGAGCCAACTTCCGGTCCGACAGATGCCGGCAATTTCATCATTTGGACTTGTATAAAAGAACAAGAGGATATACTACAGACATACCAACTGAGGAAGCCAGTTTAACTGGCGAAACGCGTTTTGGGAGTACTTTGGAATCATTCCAAGTATTTTGATTCATTTTTATTCTATTTTATAATATATTTTAAAGTTTAAGCTTTTATACAATAAATTTTGTTTACACCGTCCTGTGGAGTCTGCAATTCCATTCCTACTCATATGTAAGGAGGAAGACATCAGGAGGAACATAAAGAGGGTGGTGGATCTCCCCTAGAAGATCCTAAGGCGCTTACCACTAGAGCCAAGTGTTCTTTTGGCTCCACCTTTGTGAGTTACCCATTTCATAGTTATTACTTATCCTATTCATTTGTAATTATTGTCTACACTTAGATCTGTTACCATTTATTCACAGATTTTTTGACAATATTTGTCTCCCACATCTTTATATTACTGTTCATACAGGTAATCCAGAGCTCCACTTATATTTTGTTTTATTCACTGTAAGCAAGAGACAGGGAGTTATATCACTGTGGCAGTGATCACTCAGATCACACTGCTGCTATTCTCTGCAGCCCGCAGCAGCTCTCACACAGCTGAGCATTACCGTGGCAACCAATGACGCTCCAATTGTAACCCGAGCTGTTGCGTCCTGGAGAGATGAAGGGGGGCAAGCTTTACATGAGTAAGGGTCCAATTTAGAGCTAGTTTCAGCTTTAATTATGCATAGTTAAAGGAACCTAACTCTAAGTACTAGTGGAGCTTGGTCTAAGAATCTGCCAGCTGACTTGTAGCTAGCCGATCTAATGTAAATAGCTCAGTAACTTATTAAGCTACAGTGCTATTTGCACTCTGATAGTTCTGTTTATTAAAACAGATTGTCAGGGTAAAACTATTTTCACCTGATCCTTTCTAAAGCTGCAGGAGGGGGAGGAAAGCCCTGCAAGAAAAAAACAAAACGTGCACACTCTCTCTCTCCAACGCAGTCAAAATATATACTAAGACAAAGTGTGGACTGCTTAGTCTTTTTTTAAAGTTTGTTAAAAAGGCAGAGCTACCTTTTGTCAAGCCCCAAGCCATCACTATTGATGGCTGAGGGGGAAAAAAAAGCTCTCTCTATGGAGGATTCTGCAACCTTGTGGGATCCTCCATAGGCCTTAGTTTTGTCATTTTACACATGCGTGAGAGTACAACGCTTACGAGGGCTTCTAGCAGCTGAAGTGCCAGGAGCTGAAGAGGACCAGCAGAAAGAATATTACCTTATTTTCATAAATCATAACATTCAGTCAATGAGCAGTGTGCTCAAAGTGAGGTGGCCAGCACATCTGCCAGCCTGAGAAGCATGCATTCATGCCAGACTGGTATGTCTGTTTTAGGCAGGTGCAGGTTCTTTGGCATCATCAGTGATACAATCCATGTCATTGGCATGCCTCCTCTAGGCCCACTTCAACCTGTACCGGGTTCCATACCTTCCAATGCTGGAAGGTATGTGTGCAACAACAGGGGATCTACCTTTTGGCCACCCTTATTTAACTCTTGACATTTTACTTTCAGAATCACTGCTACAATAGGTAGGTCTGAGTTTTCCCAAATTGGCCTATTTAGCTTAAATGTCACAAGTAGGTAGTTAATTGTAAATATTTTGTTAATAAACCAATTTATTTTACAGTAGGCTGCTGCTTTGTGTTGATTTGGACAACTGCCTGATGATGTCAAACTCCTAACTCCCAAAGTTCTGCTAGCATCAAGTGAGCTGTTTTTATCCGAGACTGACTTGGCAGCTTTAACGTTTCCATTAATGTATTGCTTTAGTAATAGCATTTTAAAAATGGCCCGTTGCCAGCCTTCCAGGAACATTAAGTTTAGTTCTTCATAGTTAAGGTGGCTAGATATGCATATTAATCTGGGATCTATACAGAAAAAGCACACAGTGGGTCAGTATCCACTTTAGGGCTTGTCTGCATTAGGTATTTTCTAGAGATTTCACAAATGAAAATGCAGCATAGCATATTTCTTTTGGGAAATGTAACTGCCAGATGGCCTAGTCCTCTATGCCGTCAAGGTCAAAAAGAGCTGGTGGGAAATCAATAAGGATATTATTATATTGTAGAATATATGGTCTATTTTGTAGAATTGGACAATCAGAGGATAATACTGACACAACCTGCATGAAAACAAAATGGTTTAAATTCAATGAGATGTTAACTTACTTTAGTAAGTATTTATTTTATGTCTGTAAATTGAAATTTAAGCACATACAGGAGACTTAAGGTCTAGCAAACTATTAACAGTGCAGGAGATAAGAAATTCTAAATGAAACAGTTTGTGCAATAAAGGAAATGCAAACATTAAATCTTACATTACAGGAAGTGTTTTGGAAGGTTGTGCAAATTGCATGCAGGAAGGTGTAACAAAGGCTGGATAAACTAAGTAATTTAACTTATAAATGGCAGAGAATTAAGCAACTAGACTGCAGGGGCATGATCTATACACCAAAACTGCTTCATTAAGCAAACGTTGTGTTGGTGACTATAGTATCCCTTTAAGAGTTGAATTATACCCCAGTATGTTGTGACTCTGGAGTGTACTTGCATTATTAAATTGGGAAATACATTTATGTGTGCTCAGAGAGCTCTTTTAATTGCTCAAATATTCTTTGGCAATCTCAGGTCAATGGCTTAAATACATGTCCAACATTATTACAGACAGTTATTCAGTAAACACATTTTTGTTATCTGGATTTACAATATCCTGTAAAAATGCCTGAATTCCAACTGCAATGGCTATTCTCATTTTTACTAGAGCTAATTCTAGTCGGAATTCGGTCAAAGTTGGCTTTTCAGTAACTGGTTTAAAATCGATGCTTTTCACATCTAAATTTTGTACAAATGATAGGATTCTAAATATGTACGAGCACCAATTTTCAGCACAATGGAGACAGAATGCATCCAGCAGAATGCACATTCACAAATTATAGTTCGCTTGCTTTTAGCACTAGCAACCAGCAGGTAAATAGTTAGAAATCCTACAGCAGTTCAAGGGATCACCATGCGGTGGCTGGTCAGGGTTTGCATTAAAAAAAGGTTAATGATCCCCCTCATAGTATAAGGCAGGTGGGGGCACGTTTACTAAACACTGAGCAGCCAGCTGCTGCTCAGCATACAGAATGTGAGAGCACTACTTCATTACAATCACTCAGTTGCTGCCCAGAAGCTAAAAGGCACCATCTCATGGAAATGGCTCCTTTAAAATAATGGGGCGGGACCTGTTCCATGAGTCTGTGCCCCTAATAATGTGTCCACCCACATGCCTCCACACTGACAGAGTTTTTCATGTTCAGATTGTTAACAATTCAAGGTGATTTTAACATTTTGGGCCAGGATAGCAAGAGAAAATTGTAAGAAAAAAAATAATACTTCTGTCATCTGTGGTTTTGTTTTGGCTTTTTCAGCTTAAATCTTCAAATTCTCAAATCATTATAGATTTTTCACACTTTAGTGAAGGACATTGTCAACAACTTAAAGTCCAAATGGCAACATTGAAGCTAAAATGATAAAGCTGTGACCATTGCTGAATTGGGAATGTGCCCAGATCAGCTATTTTTTCTAAACTGTGCCATGAGGATTTTCCTACAAATAGGAGTTTGGTGAATAAACCCCTATAAGTTTAAAGCAGAGGATGTGGGTTTTTATACCCAAGCTAAAAGAAAAAGTAGCATCACATTCAAGTCTCATTAAAAGTAAATTTACATTATGTCATCTAGAAAAGAGGCATTATCTAGATTGCACGAATCACTTAAAACCCTATTCCTCTTTGTCTTGTTTGTAGTTACAGGGCCATTTTAAGCACCATAACCACTACCGGCTCATTGTTTAGCGTTAAACACATTTTTAATAGTTTGACATTTATCTGGGTACTTGAGATGCAGGAATTTTTTTCAAGATATTACTGTGGAATTTCCTACTTTGGCAATTATTGGTAGTTAATCCTCATCCAATGAATTCTTTCCAGTTAGGACAACACTGATATTTCTAAAGTGAAATAAGAACTTCTATTCTAGTGATGTCTGAAGACAGGTTGGACCATGGGTGTCGGGACCCTGGAAAGTGTCATTCCGTTTGAAAACATTTTGACTCTTAACAGTGTTAAGAAACCAGAGAGCTAAATTGGTTGTGGTACTTGAAGTGCTCCTTTAAAACCTGTTTCTGATTTTTGTATGCTAGTCTGCTGTTTGCATAGTATTCAGAATAATGCAAGAATATCATAAATGAAAGATTACAGTGGGCATCTAAAAAATTCACACTCTGCAAAAAAAAATATACCATCTATAAAAATAGCTGTATTGAGTCCTATAACATTATAGCACAAATAATAGTTTGCAGTGTGCATGAATCTCCTGTCTAGATCACATTACGTGTTCTCCACATTTCTCTCTTCTTTTTTTTCTGGTTTGTTTTGAGCAGAAGAATGGTGTTTCTAAATTGGGCCAATGAAAGCACAGAGGTGTTTCATATAGAGCCAATCTGGTTAAGAGAAGCCTCTGCAGCAGTTCCCTGTCACACAGAGGGAGTGGTGGATAGGCAGAGAAAAGAGGTAGGAAGATGCTGCAGGTTTCAGCTTTTTGTAAATGTTGTGAATACGTTTGCCATGCATGACTTTTCAGGCCGCTCCTTTATGCAAACTAGAACTGAAAAGTCTTTGTTGTCCTGCTATGTTTCAGGAGAGGATCCAATAAATGATTATTTCTTTCACTGTAGAAGCTGATGAACTGAGCCTGCATTAAACATACTGCGACACTGAAGAAAGGAGAAGACTCACTCACATCATCTTTTACCGCAGGCAAGTAAATGCTTAAATATTTTAAGCGTCAAATCTAGAGCATTATTGCACCCATGTAAGAGGAATTGTATATAGTTATGTGGTGCGGAAGCTTTCCAAAAAATATGCTAATAGCCTAAGCCCTTAGCTACGCTTGCAGATACATTTTTGCATTGGAAAATACTGCGTATTGGGCAGGCATAAACCATGTAGTTTATGGGGAGATTTGGGAGGCGTAGCTGTTGAGTCATAGAGTTGGTAGCTCAACTGTGCTGAAATTAGGAGGCTGTCAAGGATTGATGCCTGCAAGATGTTCCTGGAAAGCACAGTTGCCTGCCCCCCATCTTTTTCAAACAATAATCACTGTTTTATCCTTTCTATGAATAAAAAAAAAAAACAACATATATAATACAAGCTAAAAAATACGAGTGCTTCTTGGCAAATCAGTGTCAGATATAATTCTTATCACCTTTTCATTTTTGTAACAAAAGAACTGCGTGCAACATTAAATCCTCATGTGGAAGGGGTGGAGCTAAACTATTGGGTTATGGGAAATATTTTTTTAAGGTATTGCGCAGAGGATGTTAACATTACTAATATAGTCCTTAGGCACGACTGAATGTTAATTCTTCATTTTTGTGATTTCATAGTGTGGGTATTATATTATGACACCTTTAAGCAGTTCTGCATACACCCCCAATCACTGTGCAGAATTACAGCAACACACTCTTAGCAAAGTACATTAGCTAACCGAAACTGTAGTGCTTTTCCTCTGGATGTAAAAAGGAGGCGACATAGGGGAAATAAAGTAGGGCCTTTTTTTTTTTTTTTATAAGAGGCAGGTGCAAAGTGAGCATTGATTCAAGTAAAATCCTATGCAGGAAGTTAACACTGATTCTGCCAACCATCTGCAGGCTGGCATAGAAAGGGTTGCACTGAATATGAGAAACATATCAGGTGTGTGCTCTGCAGTACAAAAGCACCTAACTCGGTCGCCATGTTGGGTTTACGCCTCGACTATAAAAATATCTGCAAACAAAACATATAATACAATGTTTGCAAAAGTAATACATTATACGAATAAAGCAGTATAGTATTATATGTCATTCACACCTTGAAATTCCATTACATTCTTTGATATTTGGTTAGTGTTTGCTTTCATTGTACCGATTCTTTGTCCTTTGTGATGTAGCAGAGAGAGATAATCTTATTTCATTCCATGTGTGATTGGATAATGTGATCACTAGTACTTGCACTGACTGTAGAGGAAATCTATAAGGCTTATTGTACCACTGTCCATTTGCTCGGTGTTCCTTTAGTGTTCTACAAATAAAATTAGACCCTTGACTACTTTCAAGGCGTAGCAGCAATAAACAATATGTTTTGTGTTTGCATGTACATTCTATGAATTAGATTTTTATTTATTAGTTTTTTTTTTACCAATAAAATATTTTTTTGACTTTGTTTTCTCTTATTTCTAGGGAATTGGTATGACAATGTTTAAATTTCAAATGGATCACAGCCTGTGCATCCAAGGATCTTAACATTTCCCAGCTGCTCCACACCCACTCTCAAAATACTACTGTCGATTCACTATTGATATCAAAGCTGGAGATAGTATTAAACATTACATTGTTCTTGGCTACCAGCAGCCGATGCAGGATGTTCTCAATGAAAAAAAACACGAAATTGCTTTGGCTTTGTAAATTATAATGTCTGGTTCAGTACTCTACAAGCCAAAAGTCAAATGTTGCTTTAACATTTTAACACTCAATGTAGATTAATTTTAAGCAAGTCCATAAGAGCAACATGGGTGGTTAAGATTCTTTTCTTATGACATATAATGTGACACATTAATTTATTATCTACTTCCTTGTATTTGTGGCAATGCAAAGCAAAGTCCTGGTAATTCTTACCAATCTATATACTGCCTCGTTGCTCTGGAACATTACAAGCCAATGGATTTCCAAGAATGTTCTTGTGTTTTGTGGGAACACAGAAACTTGCAGACAGACAATTTGCAGACATTTCTGACTTGTTATAGAAATAAATCCCCAGTATGGAAATGTGGAATGCCTTATGTATCAGTGCTTTTACAGACAGTTTTGATAAATAGCTGGACATGGTTTCATTAAAGTAGTGCAGATTTTTTTTTTAAAGGTGGTATAGATGTCGATAATAAAAGTGTGTTGGTCCAGGGACAAATCTTGTCTTTTAGGAAGAATGATTAGAAGGTTGATTTTTTTTTTTCCCCTTCACTATAGCAGTATAACCCTTGAGCATGTGTTTTTGCTTCTTTTGGATTAACAGCCTCAGCAAGAATATGTGAAAGGTTGACTTATTTTTTAAGTGTTTTAAATGTTATGATCGCATTCCTGCTCAGATTGTGCTGGACATTTATATGCGTCTTGTAGATAGTTTATGCTTTAATAAAAAAGTTTCGTTTTTTTCTTGCCTAGGCTCAAATCTGACTTTTATGACGCTGATAGCAATCAGAAAGTGGCTGGATAGTCCCAGCCAATCTCTAAGCTCCTGCTGGTACCAACGATAGAAGAACTGCAAGAATGAGATAATGCCATGCATATATTATGTAACTCAAAAGAAGCCACTCATAAATGCACAGTACACCTGTGATGGCTTTCAATGACGTTAACGGAATGCATGTAATTACTTTTGATTTAGGTTCGGAAGGCTGAGAGTGCAGTGACTTTATTATATATTTTGTTAATTGGACAAGCACATGCCTAGATACAGTTTAATGTTATGTTTAGGATTGTGATATACAAATCATACAGGTGTAGTTGGTGCTTGTACATTCTTCTGCTACTAGAATATTTTGTGCATGGCGTCTTGCGAGATTCTGAACTTGGCATTGTGTGTATGGATTGTTGTGCAGTCCACATCCGTTTATAAAATTAAAACATGAGGTAAATATGTAACATATGAAACAGAAAACAACGTTACTTTTCACTATGCTCTGAATGGTAGCGAATGAAATCCTGACTGACAAAATATAGGCTGAAATATCCATTTTGGAAAAATTATCCAGCTGAGCTATAGTTTACCGCTTTGATTAATTAATCCTTTAAGGGAAACATGGGCCCAAAAGTTGTTATGATGCCAAGAGATCCCTGGCGCTGGCTTCTCTTTAGAGGTTAAACTATTCATGAGCAATTTAACTCCAGATTCCAGTATCCAGCTTCCAATCACTCTTCCCTCTGTTCTACCGCCGCTCAGATTATTGAAACAGACCACACTTAGGAGTGAGAGTGTCAGCTGACTCTCTGAGCCAGTTAGTAGCTCCCCATTCATAACAACAGTTTGAGAAAAATACATCTCTCAGTTTATTTTGTGGCTGAAGCTCATTCATGTCCGCAACTTCCTCTTTCAAGAGTTTGAGCAGACGAAGGACAGGGGACAGAGCGATCCGGTGCTGATTAGTATACTCTGGGGTTTGTGAATGTGAATGGTTTAATCCCGAATAGTAAGCTGGTGCCTGGAGTGTTCCTTTAAATTTTTAAATATGGATTTTTAGTTTCTACAGTTTGAAATTTAGAGAATAACCCAGTGGATTCCAAACATGTGAGGTTTCCACTGTCTTATAGATTGTTAGCACTTGCCTTAAGAAAATCTTGTGAATCATGCAATTTTTATGACACGTTCTCATTGATATATTGACTAGTGACATTACTAATAATATGCAAAGTAAGAAATATCTATAAGCCTGCCTATAGGAATATCTTTCTACGAGAAAGACATTCCTATAGGCAGGCTTATAGTTGGGTAAATAAAGTGAATGATAAAAGAAAGTCAGACTAGGCACTAGTCAAAACACTGTAAAATTAATGGAATTATATTTTCAAAAAGTGCAACTGTATACATGTTATAGGTCAAAAGTGTACTTTGACAAATACTAATTGTTACAGAAAATCATGTTGAAGAATCAAAATCCAGAAATATTTCTAATGGATAAAAGGACACAAATGGTAACCATTATTTCAAAGTGTGTTAATACCTTTTTAGAGTGATACTAACCCATTGTTAGTCTTATACCCTTAGTTCTTCTATAGATTGCCCTCTCTTGGTGATAGAGGGTGCTAGCACGGTTAGAAAATAAACATTTGAATAAAATATTGAATCAAATCATATACAACTTGCGTTAACCTTTTTTGATGTGATGCTTTGTTTTCTTTTAAATGCACGTTAAAGGAATAGCTTAGTTTTAATGCATTTTACAGATAACATGTTAAAATATTTAGATGAATAAAATAAGATGCTACTGCACATGCACATTAACAGGGTTATTCACTGAAGTGAGATTTGTCAGGGAGAATTTTTCCTTGTCAGCTAAATTTGTCTTTGAATTCTTGATTATTGTCACATTAGTAAATAACGCTGTGTGCGTCAGTAGCAGGCTGACCCCTCTCTCCACACGAAGAGGCTCTACCAGTTTGGAGGTTCTCATTCTGGTTTATGGAGTCTGATTTTATAACCCTGTCCAGAGAGGTCTATGTGATAAGAAGCTTCTCCCAGGATCAATTTCACTTTTAAAAAATGCAGTAGCGTGACTGTTTTAAAAAATTTATAGCTGTACAGTGTTAACATATAGCTCAATTCCCAGTTTAGTAAAACAGGCTGTGTGTAGGAGAGATAGTGTGTGCTGTGTTCACATTGTACAGAATTGACACAGGTAGGCCTGAAACTAAGAGTTATAAAAGAAAGGAAAAATGGATCAGAGCTCCCTCACAAACCCTACAAATAGATAAGTAATATATGAAAAAGGAAGAAAGGTAGCACCAATAATGTTATGCTATTAAAATTTATAAAAAATAGTTACAGATAATAAAAATAGTTACAGGTTGAGTCAGAAGTGGTTTACAATTCGTGCAGACATATAAAACAGAAAAATCCAATGGTGGAGTATATCCTAATCAACTGAGTAATTAATTAAAAATAAATGGACTCACATGTACCAGATGTACTCTAGTATGAGGGGTGTAGAGTGGTATGATCCCCACTTCTAAGATATATGAGTTGATGTGATAGTCAGGTTTTCTTAGCAGTATGGATATTATAGGACTCAAAAGAAAAACAGAACCAACAAAAATAGTGCTCTCCATATGTATTAAAGCAGGAGTAAAAAGAAAGTAAATCTTACTCACATTTTATTGAGCAAGCTAACCGCTTAATGTATACCATAGCGCACAGATGGTATGATCCTCACCTTGGATAAGAGTACGAGCTACCTGATTGATAGCTCTGGTAAGAGGATCTGTCTTAAAAATGTATTTATTTTAATTCTTTATTTTTCGTGCATTGATGATACAGATAACATTTAGGCTAGCAATGCCACACCAGCTGTTGCCATAGTTTTGAGAGACAAATAATTACAATTGCATGGCTTGAATAACTGTGCACATTTTTTAAGTAAAAGACGAGAAACCATATTATGTTGTAAGTCATTGCGTGTGCTTGAGCAGTTATAAGGCTTAACAACTGAATGTGCTATGGAAGGTGTAGAACGATTAACTGCCACTTCCTAATTCTAGCCTAGGGTGTAGCTGGAAATGTTATTTATATTATATTAGAATCAGGCTTATCAGAGAGAAGAACATACTAAACATACATGTCTGAGCTGACTGGCTACGGCATTCAAATTCACTGAACATTGTTATACTGTAGTAGGTTTGTGGGTTACGGTTGTGTTACTTGAGAACAATTCAGTGTGGTTCTGGCTAGGTACAGGATTATAAATAGTGACATACATGGCTATCTTTTGGTGTAGGCAAGAATAAAACACGGAGTTTATAGTGAGTAATGTCGAGTGCAATGTCTAGGTCCTTATGTGAGTTGAAAAATTTAGTTATTTTTACTAAACACAAGTCAAGTTAAAGGGACTCTCCAGGCAAAAATTTTACTCACCTGGTTCCAGCGCCGGGAGCCTCGTGAAGCCGCGCCCCCTATTTCGTCAAAATGATGAAATAGGCGGGCGCGAGCAGGGAGCAATCAGACGCTTCCATTTGGAAGCGTCATTGCTCCCTTGTGCGCATGCGCAGCATTCATGTCGCCCTCTGAAGTCCTGAGCGCACTACCACGCATGCGCGCGTGTCCAGAAAGTAATTTAAAGAATAATAATCCACAGAACACTACTAAAATTGCACATTCTGCATGTTCAAATGTAAGTACAGATACTAAAATCCTGCGGTGAAGGAAAAGGAGAAAAAGGGGGTTTATGATAGGGACAATCTTCAAGAAAGAAACTTTTTTTATGGAATCAGAGCAGTTAAAGTGAATGTTAGCAACAAGGAACACAATGATGTGGGTTTAATATGAAGGTCTCAAACCTTTTGAGAATTATATTTGTCCACATGGAACAATGGGTTTTCAGCAAGTTTGCACACTGCGTCCAGCCTGTCATTTTTAAAACTAAATCTTGCATATGACTATCTATGTAGCTTAGGTTTACTCTGTTTAAATGAAAATACAACTTCTTGAACACAGGTCTTTACTACACAAAGACACAATCTGCATCTAATACACACAAACACTACATACATGACTGCCGACCAATCCTCTTTCCTCCAATGCCGCCAACAAAAATAGATGAGACCAGAAATATGAGTAACGGCAACGACCACAGCTTTATTAAGTTTACAACTTTTAATGGACCAGCATTCCATCCAACTGTCAGCTGTTGGGTAACTTCCCCTAACAGACAGATCCCACTTCCTTGTCCAGAGTTTGTATTAGCCTGCCTACTGCCATCAGCCCTCGGCAGGCTGCAACTCCCCAAGCAGACTCATCATTCTACTTCACTTTTTTTTGTAAAAATTTATGTTTTCTGTGCCTGGAGATAATTGAGTTTAATACAGTGCTGACTTAATTATCTCCCAGGCATAGGGAGATTTACCTATTTTGTATAGGAGTGTCCTGGACCTGAGAGCCAATGTAATCATGTATAGTAGCCTACTCTCAGGTCCAGGGGGGAGTGCACCTTGCATGGGGACCTGCATATAAGGCGAGCTGTGGCTGCCATTAAACAGATTCGTTTTACTCTTCATTAAGTCTAGGCTCATGTTTGGGGGATTGGAGAGCTATAGTCACTCTTGGGATTGCTAAAATCACTATACTCCCTTGAATTACAACACTTGCTCTTGTAAGAGCAGTCTGCTTTGCTCTCTGGGCTACCCACTGGAAACTGGATCCTGGTCTTGGCTCCAGTGTGGGTGGAGGACAGTGATACCCCAACCAAGCTGCGTTGATTTACGGTGGTTATGGTTTCCAGTGCGGTGCTAATGGTACTCAAGGTTTACTAGTAAGCAGCGATTGATGGAGGTACCCGGTCGCGCTGCCAGGCGGTCCGTCACACTCGCCACTGAACCCTGTCCACTTCATCCAGAAAGCCCAAGTTCCTGCCGTAGGACCTCACCTACCCAGTAAACATAAGAGTGGCCCTGATCCACACATAATGAGGGGGACCTATAAGAGAGGAAAGCATTACAACAAATGCGGCTGAAGATACAGCCGAAAACTACCTGAGTCCCATCTGCCCAAACTCTTAATAGCAGTTGCTGAATAATCTAAGACGTCCGTTTGCATGGCAGCCCCAATTCGAAAGGTATGAGCTGAATATCCAGCGGCGTCCACTCCGCAAGCTCGCAATGCCAACCGGAGCAATGAAATGAAAACTGGTATGACATTAACGGCGACCCATCCCGATGTACCAACAGGAACCCTGCCGCCCCCGGCCTCACTTTCAAGTAGGCCCTGACCAACTAAACTGGACAAAAGGGGCCCCCACCGGCCCCAGTCCGCACCCACGCTCCACGACCCAATCGGTCGGTCTCGGATCAACGAATCCGAAGATCCAACAAAGAATCGGACCTCCGAACATCTGACAGCAACATGGGACACCGACCGCAAGTTGGGCACCACCAACTCATCTACTCGGAACGCGCCAAAAAAACTAAGGGATAACGCAACCCGAAACAACAAAAGCTCAAACTCCGGAGCACACATCTCCGGAAGGATCGTTAAGAGCTGCCCCCGTAAGTCCACCGAAATTGGTCTCTGATGATCCTTACCTTTCCTATGCCTCCAACCTTTTAACACACTCTGAACACTAAACTCTTTCATGAGATCCCTCCACCCTAAAAAGCAAAGCAAAGACAAGGCTGACATCGCTCGTTCCACAGATGCACACGACTTACCCTGAGACTATAACGCAGACAGGAACAGCAACATAATTTCAAACCTCCCTGACTCCGTAGCGATCATCGACAAAGGACAGCCACTACGACCACATCGACCGATATGCCTGCCACGACGCTGGAAACAAAGACTCGGCCACCAGATCCCTCAGTCCTCCAAAGCGAGGTCCCATAAAGATGCAGGACAAATCCTTCCCACTCAATCTGCTTCTCGTGCTGCCTCTCAAAAACGGTCCCACTGAAACCGAGAAAGAGTCAGCCACCACATTTAACACACCTGGAACATGAGCTGTCTTCACCCAAACATTGAACTGCAAGCTCAGCAACACCAAGCACCGAAGCAACGCCAACATGGGGGTGGAGGCCGACGATGACCGATTTTTCATGGATGGACCATGCTCATGTTGTCCATGTGAAAAATCACGACGCGCCCCCACAGGTCGTCTCCCCACAGCTCTAAGGACACTACAGTCAGAAAAAGCTCTAAAAAGGTAATGTTACGAATTAGCTCCAACTCCTTCCAACTCAATGACCAAGGCTCCGTGCACCAGTGACCCCGAAAAAACGCACCGAATCTGAAGCGTCCGTAAAAAGATCCAGAGCTGCATTGGATGTGGCTTCCTTCAGCCAGCACAAATGCCCATTGTAGGTTCCTAGGAAAGAACTCCATACCTGTAAATCCTCCCGGAGACATCTGTTGACCCGTATAAAGTAATGTGGTTCCAGAATGTCCACCGTCGCTAACGACAAACGGACAACAAAAAACCCGACCCATTGGAAGGACGCAAATGCCAAGTGCCCCAAAAGAACCTGCATTCAACGTAATTGGACCTTCCTCGCACCCTTCACCTGGTTCACCAAATCCAAGAGAACCGACAATTTGTCATCCGGCAGCCGAAAAATCATTGGCACCATATCAACCTCGATCCCAAGAAACGACAACGTTGTGACTGGCCAAAACATTTTCTGCTCTTACACAAACACATATTTTGGTAAAACAGCCCACCAAAGTGACAACCCAACAAATGGAAGCACTCTGGGTGAACCGGCAACAAGCGGAAGGCTGACTCTATATCCGACTTAGCTAACAACGCCCCTGCTTCCCGCACCAATTCCAACCCCCTTGCAAAGGAAGCGTATCTCACCGGCAGACCTCCTTCCCAGGTCATCGTCATTCACCGATCCCCCAACAGGGAAACTCACAAGTTGGGAAAGAGGGGTGAAGTCTAAAGGTCCTGCCATCTGCCCCAACCGGCCCTCCTTGTTCAGCTTGTCTTGCAAAATCGCCTCTTTCCCCGTTTACCGACTTCAAATTATCCGCGAACGAAAAAACTTCAGAAAAAACAAACGGTATCCAAAATCCCTCAGAAAAAATCCCTCCTTTCACCAAAATGTCCACGGTGCGCTTATTGGGGTACCAGCCGAGCCACTGCCGCATCATTACTGCGCTCACCGGCATCCTCACCTCTGGTAACATCGTCCCTACCTGTGCATTTTGCCAGGAACTGCTTACCCTTCTAAAGCAGCGCATAGCAGGATGCGCTCCTCCACAATGGGCGCATTCATGACGGAACCAACGGGAGCTAAACCACGTACAGTGACTCTCGTTAAAGAGCCAGCATACTCCTTTTTTCTGCCCTGCCGGTGCACTAGCGTGTGCGCTAGCTACTCCAGGAAAGGGCGAAGGCCTACACAGCGTTATCAGGAGCAGCCGTAGTTTGCCTGCATGCTAAAGTCCATCCCCGGACATGCCGTCATCTTCACACAGTAACTTGTGTAGGTGTGATTTATAGGCCCCCAGGACAAATTGAAGAGTTAGATAATCTACTAGTTGAGGAAATAGCTAAAATGACAATGAAGGGGGAAGTTATCATCATGGGTGACTTTAATCTTCCTGATGTAAATTGGAAAACAAAATTAGCTACTTGTGCCAGGAGCACACATATTCTAAACTCCCTACTGGGATTGTCTCTAAAACAAGTTGTTGAGGAGCCAACTCGTAAAGAGGCCATACTAGATTTAGTGTTAACAAATGGAGATTTGGTATCAGATGTTACTGTAGGTGAAAGTTTAGGATCCAGTGATCATCAGTCAGTGTGGTTTAATATAAGAACAGTGACTGAGTCACACCACACAAAAACAAAAGTTTTAGACTTTAGAAAAACAGACTTTTCTAAAATTAGAATATGTGTAGAGGAGTCATTATCAGACTGGAGCAATTTAAATGGAGTCCAAGAGAAATGGGATTATTTAAAAGTTGCACTACTGAAGGCAACAGAAAATTGCATTAGGCTTGTCAGTAAAAGCAAAAAATTCAAGAAACCACTGTGGTACTCCGCAGATGTGGCCAAAATAGTTAAAAACAAAAAGTTAGCATTTAGGAATTATAAAAAAACCCAGAGTGAGGAAGACAAAATGATCTATAAGATTAGGCAGAAAGAGGCTAAGCAAGTTATAAGAGCTTCCAAATCACACACAGAAGAGAAAATAGCACAGTCAGTAAAAAAGGGGGATAAAACATTTTTAGATACATAAATGAGAAAAGAAAAGTAAAACAAGGATTAGTTAGATTAAAAACAAAAGAAGGAAGGTATGTAGAAGAGGATAAAGGTCAGGCTGACTGCCTCAATGAATATTTTTGTTCTGTATTTACAGAAGAAAATGAAGGAAAGGGACCTCAGTTGAGAAAAAGGATAAATGAGTCATTTATTACACGTGAGTTTACAGAGGAAGAGGTTCTATTTCAACTGTCAAAAGTAAAGACAAATAAGTCAATGGGACCTGATGGAATACACCCAAAGCTATTAAAAGAGCTTAGTGGTGTACTAGCAAAACCATTAACAGATTTATTTAACCAATCATTGTTAACAGGAGTAGTCCCAGAAGATTGGAAGTTAGCAAATGTTGTGCCCATTTACAAGAAAGGTAATAGGGAGGAGTCGGGCAACTATAGGCCAGTAAGCCTTACTTCAGTAGTGGGGAAAGTGATGGAAACCATGTTAAAGGATAGGATTGATGAACATCTAAAAACACATGGATTTCAAGATCAGAGACAACATGGGTTTACTTCAGGGAGATCATGCCAAACTAATCTTATTGATTTTTTTGATTGGGTAACTAAAATTATAGATCAGGGTGGTGCAGTAGACATTGCTTACCTAGATTTCAGTAAGGCTTTTGACACTGTTGCACATAGAAGGCTTATCAATAAACTGCAATCTTTAAGTTTGGATTCAAATATTGTTGAATGGGTAAGGCAGTGGCTGAGTGACAGGCAACAGAGGGTTGTAGTTAATGGAATATATTCAAAGCTTGGACTTGTCACCAGTGGGGTACCTCAGGGATCTGTACTTGGACCCATTCTCTTTAATATTTTTATTAGTGATATTGCAGAAGGTCTTGATGGTAAGGTATGTCTTTTTGCTGATGATACTAAGATATGTAACAGGGTTGATGTTCCAGGAGGGATAAGCCAAATGACAAATGATTTAGGTAAACTAGAAAAATGGTCAGAATTGTGGCAACTGATATTTAATGTGGATAAGTGCAAGATAATGCATCTTGGACGTAAAAACCCAAGGGCAGAGTACAGAATATTTGATAGAGTCCTAACCTCAACATATGAGGAAAGTGATTTAGGGGTGATTATTTCTGATGACTTAAAGGTAGGCAGACAATGTAATAGAGCAGCAGGAAATGCTAGCAGAATGCTTGGTTGTATAGGGAGAGGTATTAGCAGTAGAAAGAGGGAAGTGCTCATGCCATTGTACAGAACACTGGTGAGACCTCACTTGGAGTATTGTACACAGTACTGGAGACCGTATCTTCAGAAGGATATTGATACCTTAGAGAGGGTTCAGAGAAGGGCTACTAAACTGGTTCATGGATTGCGGGATAAAACTTACCAGGAAAGGTTAAAGGATCTTAACATGTATAGCTTGGAGGAAAGACGAGACAGGGGGGATATGATAGAAACATTTAAATATATAAAGGGAATCAACACAGTAAAGGAGGAGACTATATTTAAAAGAAGAAAAACTACCACAACAAGAGGACATAGTCTTAAATTAGAGGGACAAAGGTTTAAAAATAATATCAGGAAGTATTACTTTACTGAGAGGGTAGTGGATGCATGGAATAGCCTTCCAGCTGAAGTGGTAGAGGTTAACACAGTAAAGGAGTTTAAGCATGCATGGGATAGGCATAAGGCTATCCTAACTATAAGATAAGACTAGGGACTAATGAAAGTATTTAGAAAATTGGGCAGACTAGATGGGCCGAATGGTTCTTATCTGCCATCACATTCTATGTTTCTATGTCTGAACCATAGATTTTGTATGCCCCTCAAATTAAATCAAGATAACAAACAGAGAGGGGGCCTTTTCTGGTAACCACCGCACCAAGATGCTTGCAAGAATGTAACCCCCTACACTAACAGCCGGAGCTAAAGCTAAGTTTTCTCTAAAACTGCACGCAGAAATCCCAGTACTTCACTAGACTGCATATCACCCCAAACGCTAGCGCGGGTTAACTCACCCCTGGGGAGATGGACAGCTAACTCCAGAGCAGCAGGCTGGGCTGCTTCTTCCTCTCCCTCTGCTCCTAAGGTAGAATCCAAATCTTTCTGGAAAGCTGCACTCTCACCAAATCTCCTGCCCACATCTGGCAGAGTTCCGACCGCTTTCTGGACTCCTCTGCTGTGTCCGACTCGTCGGAGAGGTAAAGATGGTGTGGCCTGTGACGTGGCAGCGTCCCTCCATTGACGTCATCCGTCTGCTACCTTGCGTCCGACGTTGTGACATTATATCCGCCTGTCCCAGAACAGAAGGCAGACTTTGTGAGCATCCCACCATTCCGACGCCATCTTGGGCCCTCACCTCAACGTCCTCACTGGGCCAACTGCTCCGCCTGGGCACACGGGGAACCTCCGCCGCCATCCACCTTCCATTGGGGGGAAAAAAAAGGAGAAAGTATAAATTAAAAAGTGAAGGAAAACATATAGTTTTATAAGAGAATCTAGGAGAATAAGCAAGCCTGTGAAATGCAAGGCTAATTAACAGAGAGTATTGAGTCAGAAAGGGTGAGTAACGTCAGAGGTTCTAAGAGGCAAAATTTTTTCAAGGCAAGCAGTATTCCTGAATTGGGTGGAGAAAAATGAAAAGTAAGAAAAATAAAAAAGTAACCTAATACTAGCTGTCTCTCTGAGAAAAAGTAAATGCATCAATAAAATTATTGACCAAATGTAATTAATCATTGGATTCAATTAAAGAGCACACAAATTATATTATATTGTATTCTGTATATCACTTACTTGTCAAATATCCCCATTCTATAATCTTAAAGCACTGTGGAATATGTTAGTGCTATAAAAAATGCTAATATAATTAGTTAAACAACATTGAAACATGCTTATTGTGTTGTAATGGTGTGGGGGTGCTTTCCTGCTCCAGAACCTTCAAAAGTTGCCATCATTGAAGGTACCATGCATGAATTCTAATACCAGAACTTTCCAAAGGATAATTTCTAGCCATAAGTCAGTTATGTGAAGCATAATTGGGTTATACAGCAGGGCAATGCACAAAACTAAAAAAAAGTAAGTGCACTGTAGCTTAAACTTAAAAGGACACCAGGCACCATAACAACTCCATCTCAATTATTGTTGCTAGAAAATCCCGGGTGCCTTCTTACTTTCACACAATTAAATGTTTCTGAATAGTTTAACCCCAAACATTTGAATACATAGCATGTTCACCCAGTTCACCCATCCATCTGGAAACCTCAGACTTGATGCTTTTGATAAACTGAGAGTGTCAGCTGATCACAAGCTCCTCATTCATAAAACTGAGTGAACCCCATTGATATGTAGTACTTTAAATGAATAGTTTATGCTTGAAAGCTTTCCAGTTGCTTAATTAAAATAACTCTGCAAAGAAAAGTGGGCCAAAATTTCACCACATGATGTGAAAGAAAATGATCTCCAATTAAAGAAACTGCTTGGTTGCAGTTGTTGCAAAAGTTGACTCAGTTATTAAACAATTATTTTTCACACAAGGCCAGTTCGCGTTAAATAACCTTTTTTACTAAACACAATTATCATGTAAATATTGAATTTAATGTTGGGTCTACCTTGTCTTAAAATTAACCTGTCTTTCTAGGTTGACTATTAGTATGTAACAGCACCACATGCAGTAATTATATCATTTTTTATACAATAATATATATTAATTTGCTTTAGGAGTGTTTATAACATTATTTACATGCTACCCTCACTCCAAAGCTGCCATTCTCGGCAGATCTATGGGTTTTACAACAATGCAACACTCATAAACCTCCAAAAATGGCAGTGCTGAGATGATGGGCACTCTACTGCCACACCCCATCTATAGCAATTGACCCTCCTGGGGACACTTCGAGCAGAGCAATCTTCACTAATGATGCAGACATGCTTGCTTCAGCATGCCATCCTGTCTGGGCTGTGTGGGGTGTGCCACACATACTGGATCGGTGCAAGCATTTTTGACTGCTAGCTTTAATTACACATCTGTCACTTCTTTAGCCTAGGGCAGTGTTTTTCCAACCTTTTTTCACGTGTGTACCCCAAGGCAGCCCTTTTCCATGAATTGTACCTCACATATTAACAAAATATTTCTTGCAGCTATTTCAAATGTATATGTTTTTCTGTGTCCAATCTCCCATTTTTATCTGCACTATTCTCTCTGCTTCTTCTCTGCCCCATGCTCTCCCTGCTCCTCCCCTGCTTAAGTCTCTCCCTGCTTGTCCTCTGTCCTAGGCTCCCTCTTCTTCTCCTGGCCTCCTGCTTCTCCTCTGCCCCAGAAATATAAGTATCTACAGTGCAGATACACTGACACACATGCAGGTACACAAATACACACACTGACACACATGCTAATCATGGATACAAACACTGACACACATAAAAACCCACTGACATATAGATACAAATACACACACTGATACACCTGCAGACACATGGATATAAAAACACAGACACAATGACACAGATTCACAGACATACAAATACAGGTACAAACACTGACACACATACAGACTCACATGCAGACACAGATACAAACACTGACACATGCAGTTACACAGACACACAGATACAAAAACCGACACACATGCAGATGCACAGAAGCAAACACTGACACACATCTATATTCACCGATACACAACATGCAGATACACAGAAGCAAACACTGACACACATCTAGATACAAAGATACACACACTAACACACATGCAGATAAACTGCCACACCTGCAAATACACAGACAGATACAGTGATTTTAAATGTGTTTTGTGCTTATTTTTTTTACATGCATGGCAATTTTCTTCAATAATTTTTGACAACTCAGGTGAAGATACCTTTTGCCAACCCACCTCCCAAAAAGAAGTAATGTCTTATTCCTTTTTGTTTACCTTACCACCCCTTTAGTGTATGTTATCTCCCATTTTTCCCCTTTGTACCTCTTACTTTTCCTCTTTGTGTGTCATACGTTCCCCAGCCCCTTTGTGTGTCACTTTCTTACCTCAGTCCATCTGTGTTATTACCCCATTCCCCAATGTGTCACTGTCCCCATCTCTAGCCTCTCTGTGTGTTACTGTTCCCTTCTCAGCCCCTCAGTGTGTGTCACTGTCCCCTTCCCAAGTCCCTCTGTGTCACTGTCTCCTTCTCAGTCCCTCAGTGTGTGTCATTGTCCCCTGACCGTGAAGGTGTGCTGGCCCACCGGAAAATTTCCCCCTATCCCGTTGGGCCGGGCCAAGCCAGTCCTGCACACCAATTGAACAGATGGCCCTGTGTCTAACCACTTATTAAAGGACAAATAAATATAATTGGGTGGGAGGGACAAATAAATATAATGAGGGGAGGGACAAATAAATATAATTTGGGAGAGTGACACAAATGCTTGTCCCATTCCTGCATTATTTTTCTAGTACCCTGCTTTTCTAGAATATTGTGAAAACAATTATGAAACCTCTTTAACTTGACATTTTTCTGAAATGATATGCATTTGGGACAGAGGTCTTTTTGACACTTTTGCTACATGTTCCTTCTATTTTGAGGACAGATAGGGTATTCTTATGGTATCCTATACATATACATAAGCAGGGCTCCTCTTCCTAGTTTGGAGTCCCATCTTCCCAATTTGGTTCACTGGTGTCCTGTATCCAGGAACAACAGGGCGCTGTCCTTAGGAAGCACAGTAAGAGCTCAAACTGTGCAGTGACTGCTAGGACCATGCAGAGAATTCTTCAGTAGTGCTCTATGCAAGATCCTGTATGTTGAAGGCAAGCCAGGAGGCTATCTGTCAGTCATCAATGCTTGATGCAGGCTGACATGAATCTTCAATGCGATGGGTAGGGTTGCCACCTGGCCAGTATTTTACTGGCACAGCCGGTATTTCAGGCTGCCTGGCCGGTGGCGGTATTGCAATTATACCGGCTATACAAATGCCGGTATTTTTTTACTGATTGAAATTAGACGCAATACCACCGCTGGCTGTGTGGAGAGAGGCAGAGACAGGAACTTGATTGAAATTAGACGCAATACCACCGCTGGCTGTGTGGAGAGAGGCAGAGACAGGAACTTCATCTCTCCACCTCTCTCTACACTCTGGGGGGACCCCACAGCACAGAGCAAGCAGAGCCAGCAACTCCCAGCCTGCAATCAGCCTACTGATCAGGTAAGTGAGTGGGGGGCAGTAACGTACTACGGGGGGGCGGAGGGGGCAGTCCGCCCCGGACGCCGTTCACTAGGGGGCTGCCCTTGGCACATTTTCATGCCACTTGCAGGAATCTCCTCATCCAGCAGCAGCATGTCCTCTGTTCTCACGATCCACAAGAGCGTTGCTATGGCAACCCTCGGCAACGCTCTTGCAGATCGTGAGAACAGAGGACATGCTGCTGCTGGATGTGGAGACTCCTGGGCCCCTCTTCACTGGGCAACCATACTGGAAATGTAGTGTGTCCCCCAGTGGTGTATCCTGGTTTTGTACTGCCCTACGCAGGACAAAACTCAGGCTCCCTCCTTCCCCCCACCACTCCCACCCAACCCTTCCCCCGCCCCGCCTTCTAAATACACACACAATCACTGACAGATACACATACACTAGCTAACAGAAACACACTCACAAACACTAACAGACAAACACACACTCACTAACAGACAAATACACACTCACACACAGACACACACACACTCACTAACAGACACACACACTCATAGGCAAACACACTCACACTAACAGACACACACACACTAACAGACACACACTCACTCACTGACACACACTCACTAATAGACACACACTCACTCACTAACAGACACATTCACACTCACTAACAGATACACACACACACACTAACAGACAGACACTAACAGACAGACAGTAACAGACACACAGTAACAGACACACACACACTAACAGACACACTCAAACTCACTAACAGACACACACTCACTAACAGACACACACTAACAGACATACACACACACTCACTCACATTAACACATTTTTTTATTTAACCCCCCTCCCCCAGCCTCCTTCCTTTGGGAATGCTGGGGGGATTCCCTCTCTTCCTGGGGGTGCAGTGGCTGCTGGGCGGGCGGCTGGCGAGGGAGCACTTCCTCTGAGCTGTCTGCTCAGCTCCCTCGCGTGCAACAGAGTGATGCCGGGAACCGGAATATGACGTCATATTCCGGCTCCCAGCCTCACTCTGCGGCACGCGAGGGAGCTGAGCAGACAGAGCGTTGCTATGGCAACCCCCGGCAACGCTCTTGCAGATCGTGAGAACAGAGGACATGCTGCTGCTGGATGTGGAGACTCCTGGGCCCACTGGCGAGGGAAGTGCTCCCTCACCAGTGACGCCCGCCCGACTGGCATGTCAGTTAGCCGCAAGGCTAACAAGACATTTGCCCTGGGCATTTGGGGTGGCTTTTTTTGCCGCCCCCTGGAAAATGCCGCCCAAGGCAAATGCCTTGTTTGCCTCGCGGCTAAAACGTCCCTGGTGTCCCCCCTCCCTGAACACAGGTAAGGGAGGGGATACACATACACACACAAACAATACACACTGCTCACTATACACACACACACATCATACACACTATACACACATCATACACACTATACACAGACACAGCATACACACACCACACACACACAGCATATACACAAACAGCAAAACAAATAACAGTTAAATGGCTACTCTGAGCTAGAGGCTGAGCAAAAACTCTATTACTGCAGGTTTTGGCTAAATGACCTTTATCTTCTGTTTATTGGTTGTTATTTTTTTTCTGTTATGACACTTTGCAGCTTTTGTAGGCTGAGTAAAGAAAGTGCAAAATATGAGCCTCCTGTCTTGTCTTACAATTAGCAGCACTAAACACTTGGTGGGAAGTATGGTTTATATATATATATATTGTAATGAATTGTCAATATAATGCATGATAAACTGGGCCTTTAGAGCAACTTTAACTACTGCCCTAGTAACAGAGTTTCTTCATTTATTAAGGATTGACGCACCCATTACCATGGGAACTGCATTATCGTGCTGGTTAGAAGGAACAGATCTACCACATTAATGTAATTTAAAATATTACTGTAGTCTTACATAAATCCCTCTTAGGCTTTTGATATAGACTCCCATCTGGGAACTGTTTATACTGCTTACAAAATAGGCCAAGCATGGCCTTCAGTTTAATTAAAGCCGATCATGTTTATCAGCAGTATATCGGCTCATTGTAAGCCATTTATCAGTTCAGATCAATTAAATTACTGCTGTTAAATGCTTATCGAAAAATGATAAATATTGTTTTAAGTCAAAAGCCTATATTTAACATTGAAAATTGACATGGTTATTTACTAAAGTAAGAATTAAAGGTGAATTCAAAGTGAATTTCAAAGCTAAGGTCAAAATAGAAAATTGTAAATAACCTTGATAGACTTCAATGACTTAGTTCCTTTTTCAGATGCATAGCGAGCAGATGCCTACACACTGTTTAGCAGATATGCCTCCACCCATAACATGGTGAATGGGGGCATCAGGTACGTAAAAACCTCCCTTGTACTAATGTGGTGGTCCAGAGGCGTAACTAGAAATCACTGGGCCCAGGTGCAAAAATTGCCCTGGGCCCCCTCCCCCCAGTGGTCTAAGTGTGTGTATAGGGAACCAGTGTGTGTGTGTGTGTGTAGGGAAGCAGTGTGCGTGTGTGTGAGAGTGTGTTTGCTGGGTAGGATAGGGGCTGTGGGGGCTAAAAGGGAGCATCTTTTTTTAAAAATATATTTATTTTGTAATGTAATAATAAAAAATAAAAAAATGTAAATATGAGATAGGAGTAGTGATGTTGGACTAGCCAACATCAGAACCCCCAAGTAGGTTACAAGAGGTAACACACAACAAGTAAATAACTACCAACTGAAAGAGTGGGATAGAAAAACCACTCACTCAAAAGTGAATGGGATTCAATCTCACTCTAGAAGATTACCTCCTAAAGTAAACGTAACAAAGAAAATGGTAATAACCTTTATTAAACTAAAATTAAGCAAATAAAATATATATAATAGGTATAAAGCTTACCCTGGATAGAAACACCATAGAAAGTTGTGTTAGTGAAAATCACATAAAGGTGAGGAATTAGAAATCTCTTAATCTCCTAAAAAATGATATATATATATTGTATGTGCACATACGTATAGAGTCCGCTAAAATAAATAGTAGTAAGGCCTCTAAAGAGGACCAAGTAAGATTATAGAGACATCCGATATGTGGACCAATATATAAGAGAAACGGAACATAAGTACAGACTTCTCCGTACAAAAGATGAAAATTAAATGAACCAAGTAGCGCAAAAACGGTAAAATACGTAAGTGATATATATAGCTGGGATCGTGGTACCTAGCAATAGTAAAAATGCCGATATGGTACTGGAGTTAAACTGTGGTCAATAGTAATATATCCCCTAGTGTGAGTCTAAAAGATACATAAAATCCACAGCGGTATATAACAGCAGTACCTTCAATCAAAAAAGCCCCCTCCGAAATTAGTAACTTTAGAGAAAAGGAGACAGTATCCTAGAAAACCCTGGGCTTACTATCTAGCCCACAGGCAGGCCATAGATACTAAACTGCTGCTTCAAGGCAGCCTAGCAAATCCCTATTAGCACAAACAGGTGTGGAGCTATGTAGCCGACCCTGCTGTACAGACTCTCTGGGAGGCTATATGTCTCGTTTGGCAATATAAACTATAGGGGAAATCCAATAGTGATATATCCCCTAGTAAAAAAAAAATGTATTTAATATATCTCCCCCTCCCTGTGCCCTACCAGTATCCAGCATATTCCCTGGTTGTTTGGTTGTGCTGCAGAGGCTCTCTGCCTTCACCTCTGCTGGGTGAAGGCTCTTTCCGCAAGTCCTGGCACCATGTGTAATCGAGGGTTGCTGTGGTTACCGCAGCAACGCTTGGAAAGCCGGAACTCAGCGCAGAGGTGAAGGCAGAGAGCCTCCTCCCCTTCCTGCTGTGCAAACCCTGCAAAGACTCGGGAAGGGGCTGTGTGCATGTAAGGGGCCCGGGCTTGCAGGGCCCTCAGATGGCCTGGACCCCTAACAAGTGAAGAGGCTGTACCCCCCCAACTGGTGATGGGCCCGGTTGCAGCTGCGACCGTAGTAGGTATGCCACTGTGGTGGTTATATTGTCCCCATAGGCATTTATAACAGGGTAAGTCTTCAAAAAAGATTGCTAAAAGTGCTTCTGATACACATTCATCTGATACGCATATTTTCCTCAAGCATCCAACCCATTTATAGAATTCTGATGTTTTTGGTTTGCATTAAATCCAGCAGAAATAATAAAAAATACGATCTGAAAATAGTTAATATTTATTTACCATTTTCAGTCATTACAATTAAATTGAGGCCATGGATCTTGATGCCTACTAGCTTAGAGGCTTTTCAAATTCTGCAGCTTTTTAGGATAAGAACATACTGTATATACTCGAGTATAAGACGAGTTATTCGGCATGTTTTTTGTGCTGAAAAACCCCCACTGGTCTTATACTCGAGTGAATGTCTGTATTATGGCAACTTACTTTCCTGCAGCTCCTGTCAGCTCCCTTCTCTCTCCTCCGGTCCGGTCAGCTCCCCTGCAAGTCTCGCGAGAGCCGCGGGGTCAGAGCGTTGCCACAGGTTACCGTGGCAATGCTCCGCGCGGCACTCACACCGCGAGATTGCAGGGGAGCTGACCGGACCGGAGGAGAGAGAAGGGAGCTGACAGGAGCTGCAGGAAAGGTAAGTAAAAACTTCCTGCCAGCCCCCTCCTACACAGCCCATCCACTGGACCACCAGGGAATGAGAGCCCCCCTCCCTGGCCAGCTAACAAGCAGGGAGGGGGGACGAAGAAAAATAACATAAAACTTTAAATAAAATAACATAAAAATAATAATATTAAAAAAAATATTAAAATAATAATAATAATAATATAAAAAAAATAATAAAAATGCCCACCCCCCACCAAGGCTCTGCATCACATACACATACACACACTGCACTCATACACACACACACTGCATTCATGCACACTCACTGCACTCATACATACACACTGTATTCATACACACACACTGCATTCATACACACACACACTGCACTCATATACACACACTGCATTCATACACACACACACTGCACTCATACACACACACTGCATTCATACACACACACTGCACTCATACACACACACACTGCATTCATACAGACACACTGTATTCATGCACACACACTGCATTCATACACACACACACTGCATTCATTATATACACACACTGTAAATAAATATTCAATTAATATAATTTTTGGGGGATCTAATTTTATTTAGAAATTTACCAGTAGCTGCTGCATTTCCCACCCTAGTCTTATACTCGAGTCAATAAGTTTTCCCAGTTTTTGGGGGTAAAATTAGGGGTCTCGACTTATATTCGGGTCGACTTATACTTCAGTATATACGGTAATAGGATTGCTACATCATAACTAAAATTCATATTTTATTAAGTTTGGTCACTAAACCAGCAATTGTTTGGTGATAGACAATACATTTGCACATTTTAGGCCAAAAGAGTTATCTTGTCAATTCTCCAAAAGTCCTGATTATTAAAAAAAAGCTTATTTTTCTACAATATTAAATTCACTAAAATTAAGCAAATAGTATAAAATTTGAACATTAAAGGATACTCCAAACACTTTAGCTTGCTAGAAATTGGCACTTTTCAGACAGCCGGTTTCTTCTAACTAAGCTGAGCACCCAGGGGCTAAGCTCAAGTGGCAGGAGCTTGCCCAGGGCACCTGCTTTTTAAAGACTGTGCCAGGAAGAAGGAAAGGAGTTGCAGCAGCTGCAAATACTAGATCTGCAGTTATAGCAAGCTACGATTTAATATATTCCCAAATAAACCACGCAAAAAGAATTACATATATGTTAATGTCTAATATCTACTGTTAAAAAAAAAGTGTTCCTTTAATGTAGGTTTCTAGTAGCTGTTGAGACATATTGAAATAATTCCTAAAGAAAACATCATTGCATGCGGACTTGCAATTAAAATGTCTTAATGCAATATTTTGCCTTTCTAAAAGGTTACCATTATTTCAGCTACACATTCTATGAGCCACCCACTGTTTAATGTAGTGCATCGTCAGCACAAAATGTCACTGTATACCAATATTAAGAAACACAGCATGAAATTTATGCTATTAGCGTCAATGTATCAGTTAGTAATGCTTGTCACATACAGCAGCTCTTTATAATTCTTGCTGGTGGTAAGATTAATGATCTTGTCATGATTTTCGTCTTATCATAATTATCTAGCAATTCAGCATTCTCTCAGGGAAAATATATTCTGAAAAAAATATATACAAAATTAGAAAACATATCCACCAATGTTTTTTTAAATAACTGTATTAATATTATATTTTACTATTTACTTTTGATTAACATAGACCTTTCTTGTATATTCTGAAAGGTGCACAAATTACAGTGACCACCATTATGTCACGTTTTAATTATTTTTTTTATTATATCACCTGCAAGCTCTACCACTTACGTATATATGTTGCAATTCTTTCTTTTCTTTTTTTTTCTATATCCTAGGTGTGCATGTTTGCTCAAGCACACCTTCTGCAAGTGAAAGAAACCGACTTGGATAGCGTAAGCAGGCAGTACATGCCCATGCCATAAATATACTTGAATGGTTCAATGAGAAAACCTAACTTGGCATTGTTTTTCTATTAGCTTTAAAGTATTAAACAGAGAGTTTAAAGGCCCACCAGGTACCCTTTACATTTGGTTTTCTCCTACATACAAAGCCAGATATCCCTATAAAATAAAGCAGACTCATTTGCTGAAATAACTCAGCTGACGCCCTCAACCAACCAGTACAGTACTGCAAGGCCATGCTTTGATCTATAGAGCAATACAGATTCTCCTGCAGGGGAAAACCAGATACAGCCGCAAGCATCTGGTAGGACCAAGGTAAATTGTCAAGATACCAAAACCAGTACAGTGTGCTGCAGTTATTACAATGCCTGGAGTATTGTCAAGCTACCAAAACCATGATAGGCGCACAGTCGGATTTGCCGGCCTATGCGCTAACCTTACCCAAACCCCCATTAAAACACGGACACAGGTTATACTGTTGGAAATAATTAGTCCACAGCTTTATTAAATTATTAATAAAATAATTAAGGAATAACAAATGGGGTCATTGCCAACAAATCCTATTAAAGTTAACATCCCCCCATATACATAACATACCTCTAGCAATGACCCCACAATAATAACAATAGATAACAATTTAACCCCTTAAGGACGGAGCCAAATGTACACCTTGTGAACTAAACAAAATGTAAACAAAACCTGGCATTTGCGCTACGTCTGTCCAACCGTAATTCACCTCTTTCATATTAAATGCACCCACCCTTATTATATATCATTTTATTCAGGGGAAACAGGGCTTTCATTTAATATCAAATATTTAGCTATGAAACATAATTTAATATGAAAAAAAATGGGAGAAAATAAGAAATTTTATTTTTTTAGTTCTACATGACATTTTAACTGTCAATGTCATAATACTGTTTGCTTTTACTGCAATAAAATACACATATTTGTATTCAGCAAAGTCTCAAGTGTAAAACAGTACCCCCTATGTACAGGTTTTATGGCGTTTTGGGAAGTTACAGGGTCAAATATAGCACGTTACATTTGAAATTGAAATTCGCCAGATTGGTTACGTTGCCTTTGGGACTTTATAGTAGCCCAGGAATGAAATTTACACCCATAATGGCATACCATTTGCAATAGTAGACAACCCAAGGTATTGCAAATGGGGTATGTCCAGTCTTTTTTAGTAGCCATTTGGTCACAAACACTGGCCAAAGTTAGTGTTAGTATTTGTTTGTGTGTGAAAAATGCAAAAAACGCCAATTTTGGCCAGTGTTTGTGACTAAGTGGCACTAAAAAAGACTGGACATACCCTGTTTGCACCTTGGGTTGTCTACTATTGCAAATGGTATGCCATCATCGGGGTAATTTTCATTCTTGGGCTACCATAGGGTCTCAAAGGCAACGTAACCAATCTGCCGAATTTTAATGTGAAAAAAATGAAACGCAAGCCTTATATTTGACGCTGTAACTTTTGAAAACACCATAAAACCTCTACATGAGGGGTACTGTTGTACTCGGGAGACTTCGCTGAACACAAATATTTGTGTTTCAAAACAGTAAAAAGTATCGCAGCAATAATATCGTCCGTGTAAGTGCTGTTTGTGCGTGAAAAATGCTAAAAAAGTCACTTTTACTGGCGATATCATCGTTGTAATACATTTTACTGTTTTGAAACACTAATATTTGTGTTCAGCGAAGTCTCTCGAGTAGAACAATACCCCACATGTACAGGTTTTATGGTGTCTTGGAAAGTTATAGGGTTAAATATAGTGCTAGCAAATTAAATTCCCTTTACTCTCGGCATGGGTTGTCAGGCAGGTCCCGCTAATTGTAATTAATTAAGATACCTAATTATGTAAAAATATTACATAAATATATATGTAGAATTAATATATGTATATATATACGTATGTGAATCTATATGTGTATATATATATAATTTTTTAAAAATATTTTTATTTATATATAGGTATATATATAGTGATATATACGTATATATTTATGTATGTAGATATATATATTTTCGTTCTACGTGTATTTTGATATAAATATATATATTAATATCACAATACAGTTAGAACGAAATAACACACATCTCTATATTTTTTAATTATTTTTTAATTATCTTTTTAATTTTATTTTTTAACGTATTTACATATTTAATTTTTTATATTATATATACATATATATATAACAATAATTATATATATATTTAATCAGTATCAGTCTACGTGTAATTTGATATTAATATATATATATATATAATTATATATATATTAATAGTAAAATACACCTAGACACTATATGTGTGTGTATGTATATCTGTATATATATACTTAGATCATATATATATAATATATATGATCTAAGTATATATTATTTCTTTTTTTACACTTATAAACTTTTATTAATTTTATTCTCAGCCAGCAGGGGGACCACCTGTCATTACAGGCAGCCCCCCTGCTGGCAATGCAGGAGGCAGCCTACCCGGCCATGTGATTGTGAGGTCCTCGCAAGGACCTCACTCTCACATGGCCGGGGGGCTTCCAGGGGGTCGGACTTCCGACGCCGGCGACTGGGTAAGTACAGAAAGACCGGAGGGCGTACTATTACGCCCGGCGGCGTTTAGAGCCGCATATAATAGAGCGTAATAGTACGCTCTCCGGTCTTAAGGGGTTAAATAACATGTTAATACAGAAACTGGCTGCCCAATATGACCACATTTCCACCAGGTTAAATTGTAGGGGTGTACCTAGACACCGCTACCCACCATATCGATTGTAGGGGTGTACCAAGACACCGCTACCCACCAGTTCCAGTGTAGGGTGTACCAAGACACCACCACACCCCCAGGTTCGGAGCCACCGACGGGCTCGAATCTACCAACCACATGCAACACTGCCCAATCCACACTAAACCTCAGGATGCCCACTTTCTCCTCCATCTACCCTCCGATTTAACCAGGCCATTCCCCGCCGCTGTGAAAAAACGGGAAATCAACTAACCTAACCAAATACAGGGAGGGTGGGAGGGACAACTGACAGGTAAGCTTAGGTTCAGTTAAAATGGCCACTTCATATAATGGCTGGTATAAATACTCCCCTAATGGCTCCGCCCTACCCAGCATACTAGCTGTCACTTCCTGTGGCTGCTATGCCTCCTGGCTCTGTCAAGGCCTATTTCTATTAGCTGTGCTGATCCATGGGCTACAGTACAGTGTGCTGCAGTTAGTATAATGCCTGGAGTATTCTTCTAAGAACACAATGGCTGAATTGAAAAATAAATGCCAACTTTTGCAATTCATTTGTCAATTCTCCACCATTTCACGTTCACTAAATAACCCGATGAGTATCCTTAGGGCTTAATTAAGAGTAACACAAATACATTGATTGGTGGACATGGAATAAGGCTGTGAATGCGCTTCATGTGCAAAAAAATAAAATATACCAACAATTGAATAATATAACACAAATGTAAATTACACATTTAAATCTGTTTTTTTGTGGCACTGCAGTAAAGAAATCTACAGAAATAAACTGGAAAAAATGGAAATATAGAACTCCAACTGATATTACTTAAGGCACCATAAGGAGAAGTATTGTTCCAGGCTCAAAGATTAAATGACCTTTCAAACCACTTGAAATTAAAATATTTAGTAAATCTGTTGACTCTAGTCAAATCTTTGTACTGGGGGTGGAGCCAACTGAACTGGAAGCAGTAGGCATGTTAGTGGATCTCCTCTGCAATATCACTTCAATACTGTATTTTTTTCCTGCTAAACAAGAAATTGTCTTTATTTTTCCATATACATTGCCCCTGTTGATATAGTGGGCAAGAAATCTAAAAGCAGCACCTGGCCAGACCTCCCTCACCTTAGCTCTGGATTCCTATGTGGTTTGTCAGCCATGTGCAGAGCAGGCCATCATGGCATCCTCGCGACCTACACCTAAACTTCCTCCAAGCCTGAGAGTATCCCTTCTATACTACCAAGTCCTTGAATCGGATGACGAATCCATACCTACAACTAAGAGAGATATTAATGCCCTCTTTTGGGGCTTTAAACCATTGTTCCTAATGGACCTGGGGGACATGAAGCCAGAACTCACCATTCTCACAAAACAAGTGCCAGAGCTGGTGATGGCGGTTCAGATGTCATCCACCTCTGTGGTGGCCACAGCCAATACCACTCCAGTAATTAGCCAACAGGACGATCTTGAGTCTGCAGTGCAGGTCCTGCAGGTGCAATGTTAGAAGTTGGGGGATCCTAGAGGTAGTAGGCATAATGCCTTAAAAACCTACAATGGACCACTATGGTCAAACATCCAATAGTGGTACCATGTGTCTTCAAGGTGAGGATGGTAGTTTTGGCACCAGTGAACTCCCCTGAAATGCCATTGTTCAGATGGCTACTAGGGCCAATAAGATAGTAGCACTTAAGCTGTCAGGGAATTCGCAAGCCATGGATCATGATTGCTACACACTACATATTTATCTGGACTTATGCTTTCATATGTTTCAGTGTCGCAGAAAATATTCAGTGATCACTTTTGTATTCCAGGACAGATGCATTGAATTATATAAATGGGACCCTATGGCAAGCCACAATGGCTCACACATTTACTCAGCCTCTCTAGCTAATCCGGAGGTCTTTTTCAAATTGCTAGGTCTCAGACGGTTGAGCTACTCTCTCTGTCTTCCCAGCAGCTCATCAGCAGAATGTATGTGCCATATCTGAAGCACTAAACTCAATTATCAAGAGAAAATTGCAGAGTCCCTTGCTTCATTCACTCATGGCTAAGCTGTGTACTGGCATGTTCCCTCTACCTAAGATCAAAGAAAAAAGGTGATTAGCGCACACATAAGAAAATAACTTTGTTTTACCTTACGTAAATTGTGTCTCAGGTAACCACAAAGCAAGTACTTTTTACACCTATATATAAACAGACAAAACATACATAGTGTAATCTGTATAAGAAATAACAAAGTGAGGACATTTTTTTCTTCAAACTCACAATTTTTTTAGCTATTTAAAAGTTAGCTCTAGACTTATAATGCTCATCATCTCATCCTTAAACGATGCAGTGATAATCCATCCAAAGTATCCACAGGAACTTATAGCTGATAAAATTCCAGTAAAATTCAAAGTCCGCGGAGAGTTGATATAAAAAGTATTTATTCTCACATAAAATTTAAAATAAAAAATGTGTATATATATATATACAAATAAGACATAAAAATAGCACAACGCGTTTCAACCTTTACATAGGTCTTTCTCAAGTGCATCTGACTTACAACTGGGCTTTAAAGCCCTTTTATAGCAAAGAGTAATTGGAACAAAGTACATAATTATAGACAACTGTGTATTCACTACCACCCACTTCCATTTATGGTCATAGCCGGAAGTGCCGTGCCATCCAAAAAATGGCCGCACCTCCGGCTATGAGTCCCATTAAACTTGACCTCCCCAACATGTCCGATCGCATTCTTCATTATATGGAGTCCTGTTCGGTCTAATCTCTTCCGATGACATCAACATCCTGTCGTCTGTATTCCGATACGTCACTTCCGGTGACGTGTATATTCTAATTTCTTTTGCAGTCACATGACTCCTGGAGCTCGTTCTTTATAGGGCTCGTCAGAAATACAGAAAACGTCCTTTGTGCGGATGTGAATGTCCTCAGTTCATGATATTTTGTATCTCCACAATTAAAAGGAGGGAAACAATAAAAAATAGTATGAAAAAGAGGGAGACAATAAAAATAGTATTATTAAACACTTTTCTATACATACAGTTTTTTAATATAAAATCATTTAAAAAATCCATCAAAATATATATTTTTGTAAATAGGAGAAAAATTGAAGAGATAAAACTCTATTAAAATATATTAACAAATAAGTTTAAGATTGATAATAATAATCTCTATAAAATACTATTGATTTCAAAATCAATATTGAGACCCAAGGGAGATAAAGTGCGTATCTCAAAGATCCACTTTACTTCTTGGGTACTCAATTTTTTTGGAAGATCTCCTCCTCTCCTCTTTTGTCCATAGTGATTTTAAAAAGAAATCTAATTTCTATCCCGCATTCCTTAAGTCCGACTCAATGAAAGTTTTTGAGCGGTCATGTTTGGAGGATATATATAAAATCAAACCCCTTTCAAAATACAGCTTGAATGTAACATTTGAGGAAAAAAGGAATTTAGAAGAATTAAGAAAAGATCCATCGATAGTTATTAAACCGGCTGATAAAGGGGGGGGGAGTGGTAATAATGGATATGGAAAATTATTTACAGGAAATTGAAAGACAGCTTCAAGATTTTCATACGTATAAAAAATTGAAAAAAGATCCCACACAAGAAATAAAGACAATCTATAAGACTTTTTTAGAGCAGGGAGAGAACGATAAGATTTTAAATAAAAGTGAATAAGCTTTTTTATTTCCTGACCATCCTCGTATACCAGTAATATATGTATTACCAAAGTTACACAAAGATCCCACTAATCCACCGGGACATCCTATAATATCAGGCATTAATTCGATTTTACCTCCGTTATCCCAATATATAGATTTCCATCTCCAACCTTTGGTCAAAAATTGTCCCTCATATCTCCAGGATTCAATGAGTCTACTCAAGATCCTTAATAATTTTAAATGGGAAGATGATTATCTCCTCATTACATGTAATGTAACCAGTTTATATACCATTATTAAACATGAGAAGGGATGTGAAGCTACTGAGTTTTTTCTACAAGAATCTAAGAAATATAATATCTCAGCTAAATTTTATTCTAAATGGTATTCAGATTATTCTTAATAATAACTACTTTTGGTTTGAAGGAGATTTTTATCTACAAGTTAGAGATACGGCTATGGGGACCAGGTTTGCACCAAGTTATGCAAACCATTTTTATGGCATATTGGGAGCGCACTTTTATTTATCAAGGACATGACTGTGGTGCAAACCTGGTCCTATACAAAAGATACATAGATGATATCTTTATCATATGGAAAGGATTTGAGGATCTTTTTAACAGTTTTTTTAATTCTCTTAACATTAATGATTGGGGGATTCGCCTAACTAAGTGTATGAGCAATACAAGTATTGATTTTTCAGACTTGAATATTCAGGTCTGTAATAACATTTTAACCACCCGTACTTTTTTTTAAAATCAGTTGATGTCAATAGTTATATTAAAGTTAGTAGTTGCCATCACAAACCATGGTTGTCTAATATTCCTAGGGGACAATTTTTAAGATTACGTCGGAACTGTACGAATGATGAAGATTTTTTTAATCAAGCTGAATTTTTAAAGACACAATTTATACAAAAGGGATATCAAAAGAAAGATTTAGATATACAAGTTCAGGAAGTGTCAACCTTAAAAAGATCTCCTTTATTAAAATATAAAAAGAAAGATGATCTATTGACAGGCAACGATAAACAAATCCCTCTTATCTTCAATTATTCCAGTAATATAGGTATTATTAAAAAGATTATCAATAAAAATTGGAATATTTTAACTCAGGACGAAGAAATACAGGAATTTTTAGGTTCCAAACCTAAATTTATTTTTAGAGGTGCAAAAAATGTTAAACAAATTTTAACCAGTAGTTTTTTAGAAAAAACGTCCCAAGTTTAATGGGACTCATAGCCGGAGGTGCGGCCATTTTTTGGATGGCACGGCACTTCCGGCTATGACCATAAATGGAAGTGGGTGGTAGTGAATACACAGTTGTCTATAATTATGTACTTTGTTCCAATTACTCTTTGCTATAAAAGGGCTTTAAAGCCCAGTTGTTAGTCAGATGCACTTGAGAAAGACCTATGTAAAGGTTGAAACGCGTTGTGCTATTTTTTATATCTTATTTGTATACATATACATTTTTTATTTTAAATTTTATGTGAGAATAAATACTTTTTATATCAACTCTCCGCGGACTTTGAATTTTACTGGAATTTTACCAGCTATAAGTTCCTGTGGATACTTTGGATGGATTATCATTGCATCGCTTAAGGATGAGATGATGAGCATTATAAGTCTAGAGCTAACTTTTAAATAGCTCAAAAAATTGTGAGTTTGAAGAAAAAAATGTCCTCACTTTATTATTTCTTATACAGATTACACTATGTATGTTTTGTCTGTTTATATATAGGTGTAAAAAGTACTTGCTTTGTGGTTACCTGAGACACAATTTACGTAAGGTAAAACAAAGTTATTTTCTTATGTGTGCGCTAATCACCTTTTTTCTTTGATCTTATCACAATTTAGAAGTGTATTTTGGTGACACTACACTTGGGTAATTTTGAGCTGCACCATTCGTTTAATATTTATAAGCGCCCTTCTTGTCCTTTTTTCTGTTGTTTATATGTTCCCTCTACCTATCTGTGCATAGTACACTGAGTGCCCTTTGCAGTTTTTTACACTTGGGAACATTCTCCTGCAGCTGCCAGGTCAGGTGCTTACAGTAAAACTTTTCAATATCAGGTACTTACAGTGCATCCGGATGTGGAATGTTACTCAGTATTAGGGGAAAGAAATAATAGCACATACATCTCATAAACCATTCAAACATTGCATTGACCTGTTGTTCTTTACTACAGGACTGTATTCTCAATTATATTTTAGTATAAAGAAACACAGCACTGGTTAGGAATGGAACAAGTCCATCCGCCAGGTTGTGATGGTTGAGAGATACAATGGGGCCTAACCCCTAGAAGTGCAAAGAGAAAATAGGACTAATGGGTTGCAGATTATAAACAATCTGCCTCCCAAAAAGACCTTGTATCCTTATGTGAAAAAAGCTACTCTGCAATTATAAATATAAAAGTGGAGCGCAGAGAGCAAAAAACGAAAAACTCTTTATTAATCCCTCTTGGGGGAGAAACACACAGATACTAAACAAACAAGTAATAAAATTAGGATCTAATTGGATAGAATCGACTAGTCCAAAATTAATAGTAATATGGTCAGAAGAAATGCTATAAGTATGTGTGTGGCAGAATTACCATAAATAGTAGCAAATAACTATGACCAAAAGAGGGGAGATACATTAAATGTAGCAAACTGAAGATCTCTGAATGCAAAAGTAAATAAACTCTATAATTAGGACAAAGAGTATATCAAGTGCACAAAAAATATGTGCACAAAGATCTACCAAAATACGTTTGTAACATTGCAGGAAAAAAGCCTGCAGTCTAAGTAGCCAGCAATATAAATGTTAAGCAAACTGCCTAAACAGCTGTAGGAGATTTGGGGGGAGGAGTCCTTAATATCATGCTGGTAATAGACTAGTATCTAATCCCACCATAAATAGATAAATGATAGGACAGTCTGAAAACAAAATAGAATCCTAAATTAAAATCATCATCCGCTTTAGTAAAGTGCCCAACGCGCGTTTCGGCGAAGCAAGTCGCCCTTATCAAGAGCAATTTGCAGACTGAAGGGAGCCTCTTTTTAAATGTGTTTAAAGCTCCACCCATACGCATGATGTAACCACTGTTGTCCAATCAGGAAATAGGGGGCGGAGAAAAGTACCAAGCTCAACAGGAGTGAAGCTAATTGTAGATTTAACCCTCACATAACCAAAATATGAATGGAAGCTAGCACATATCTTCTATCTTCATAGAGTGAAGGCACAAAATGTAAAATGTAAATGTAGCTAAACAGAAGAGCTGGCGAAAGTAGCGTATAGATGAACATAACGCTACAGGATAAAACAAATGGAGCCCATTTAGGGAACAATTCGATAGTAATCATGATAAATATCACAACAGTGGCACTACATGTATGAGTATGTCACACAGTGTAAAACTCATCACATATAGTAAAGATGTAATAATTGAGCACCATGTGTGACTTTGTATGTCTTAATAAACTCTATCATGTAGTAAATATAATGAGCCCAGAGAAAACAACATTAGAGAGATATTCAAAATTATATGAATAGAATAATAAATTAGGGCATAGAAACATAAGCCCCACAGTGTGGTTAAAATAGAAAAATAAAGTAAACTCAAAAAATAAAGAGGGAGAATACATATTGATTCAAAGAGAATTTGTTAAAGTAGAAATCCTGTATTGACTTAGATAGCAAATTGAAAAGTACTCCATTAATGGTAAAATTAAAGGAGAGATGGAGATTGAAAAAATGAAAAAATTAATGAATAAATAAATGAATGAATAAATGAATGGAAAGTGAAGTAGTATAATATATCCATATTCACATATCATGTAATGTTGGTGAAAATAACGAATAAGTCGCAAAACTGAAAAGTAGTAGGTAATGATGGAAATAGATGATATTAATGATGATGGACAGTTTATCAAAACATTACAGTTTTTAAATAAAGGGGAAAAAAAAAAAAAGAAAAACCTTCATTGAGACCTTTTGGGTAAAGTGTTCTAAGTTGATAAATCCAGAGGCTTTCCCGATGTCTCAGAAATCTGTCATAGTTACCCCTACGTTTATCCTTGCGCACCAATTCCAATCCACAGAACCGGAGTCCCTGCGGATTGCCCGCATGGAAGTCTCTCAGGTGACGACCTATGGGAGTATCAACAGGTAGTTTCGGAGATCTAACATGCTCCTTAATGCGCTCCTTAAACGGTCTGAAAGTTTTTCCTACATATTGTAGCTTACAGGTGCATGTAAGGAGATAGACTATACCAGCAGTATTGCAATTGAAAAAGGATTTAATCCCAAAAGCCTTTTTACCATCGCTATCCATAATAGACTTAGAGTCACGTTTGATGTATTTACACGCGACACAATGGCCACATTGGTATGATCCCACTGTAGGGGTGTGTAGCCAGGTGCGTGTGGGTGAACGATGGAAATGGCTTGGGACTAAAAGGTTCCTAAGGTTTTTGCCTCTACGTGCCGTCATATCCACATTTGGCCCTAAGAGCATTTTAAGGTGAACATCATCCAACAGACACGGCCAGAATTTTTGGATCTCAAACTTAACAGCCTCCCAGCCTGAATCGTAAGTGGCTATCATCCGTGGGGCTTGAGGTTTGATGGAGGTATCCACTATTTTTGGGGATAGTAGAGTGCCTCTGTCTGCCTCTAAGGCCCTTCTATAGGCTTTTTTAGGCATTTATTAGGATAGCCCTTCATTTTGAACTGTTGTCGCAATATGTTAGCTTGAAGCTTAAAATCCTCAACATCGCTGCAGTTCCTACGGGCTCTAAGATATTGCCCCGTCGGAATGCCACGTTTAAGGGATTGGGGATGAAAACTCTCCCAACGAAAGAGACTGTTAGAAGATGTGGGCTTTTTATACAGCGTAGTGGTGATGGAATTACCACTGACCATGATCGTAAGGTCCAAAAATTAAGTGTATTGCCCCCGAACTCCGAAGTAAAATATAGGTTAAACTCATTGAAATTGAGTAGGGATACAAATTCATCAAAAAATTCCCTACTACCTGTCCACAAAATCAAAATATCATCAATATAACGGGCCCAATGATGAATAAAGGGCCTGTATGATGAAAAAACATCAGATGCCACAACTACTTCCTCCCACCAACCTAGGTGGAGATTGGCATACGATGGGGCACAAGCTGTCCCCATCGCATTGCCCTGTACCTGATGGTAGAATTTTTCATTGAAGAGGAAGTAGTTGTGGCAGAGGATAAACTCAAGAAGTTCCAAGTCAAAGTTAGAGTGATCATTAAGGTCAGCACCCCTTTTGTCCAGGTAAAATTTAACATGTTGAATGCCCCCCTTGTGTGGTATAGATGAATATAATGCTTCAACATCAAGACTACAAAGTGCCAATGTTTCGGGCACTGTTAGACTTGATAGACGAACCAAAGTTTGCTTGGTGTCCTGAATGAAGGAAGGTAACAATTCCAGAAATGGGCGGAGAACCTTATCCAGATAAATACTACCATTTTGGGTAATGTTGTCAACACCCGAAACTATGGGGCACCCAGGGGGATTAATCTGGCTTTTATGGACTTTGGGCAGGCAGTAGAAGGTAGCTATCCTGGGGAATTTATTCAGGATGAAATCATATTCATCTCTGGATAGCACCCCTCTACTGCGGCCCATGTCCAAAATTGCTTTGTAGTCCTGTAAGAATGTATTGGTGGGGTCTGTTCTGAGGAGATGGTACGTATCTCTATCATCAAGAATCTTGAGAGTCATTTTTATATAGTCTGCTGAATTCAAAATGACTATATTCCCTCCCTTGTCAGCCGGTTTGATCGTAATTGTGGTATCCAGTTTTAAAGACTGGAGGGCTTTGTTCTCAGATTTTGTAAGATTCATATTGGGAAAGAAATTCAAATCCTTATGATTGATGTTCTCTATTGCAAATTTGACTGACTCTAAAAAGAATTCAATATTCTTAAAATTCCCCAGATTAGGTGTAAAGCGACTTTGAGGTTTTAAGTTTGTTTGTTGTAACGTGGTATTTGTGTCGCTCTCATCCAGGTCTTTTTGGGAGGCAGATTGTTCATAATCTGCAACCCATTAGTCCTATTTTCTCTTTATATTTTAGTATACTAAACAGGTCACCGGAACAGGTTATCATCACTGAGGGTATGTATAGTTAACTTTTTTTTGTGGGCATGGGCTCTGTGTAATGAAATTGAAGTAGGATTAAGGTGCTAAAGTAAGTGGTGAGAATCGATAGAGGTCTGTCAAATACTGAAAGTAGGCAAAAAGACATTAGAAAAATATGTTCATTAAATCAAGATATATACAACATAAATAACAACTTGTATTCTTGCCTTAGTTTTAAAATAGGATCAGGAATATAAGTGGCAAAATAAAAAGAATTTCAGCAACCATGATTTTTATTATGTGTGCTGGAATGTTATTTAGAAGCTGCAGGTGCAGAGCCAATTTGAAAAATGACCCAGATAAGTAGAAAAATGAAAGCCTGGTCAATAGGACTCTGGTACAATACAATAATTGCTATGTGATCAGTATTGGAATCTGAATTTCTACCAACTAGAGTCGCTTGTAAATCGTTAAAGGGACACTGTAGGCACCCAGGCCACTTTAGCTCATTGAAATGGTCTGGGTGCAAACTCCCATCACCCTCAACCCTGATTATCTTTGTAGCAGAAGACCTCCAAATACTGTTATATATATACTTTCCCCTTGTATTCACCTGTTTCATCCTTTTTCCGTTCGGGAGACTTCATACAAACAGAATTTTTTTGTCTCCCAAACTAGGACCACCCTTGTACCCCATTAGAACGTTGACACCGACCACTTAAGTGCGAAACCACAAGGGAAGTAATTAATTAATGCTTCCTCTGGGTGGCCGCCATTTCGTGGCAGACAAAAGAGTGGTGGCTATCTTGTCTCCCGAACATTACTTGGTCGTCGAATGCCTGGAACTCTCTTCGGCTAGGCACCGCTACCCGTTCTGTTTCCAGACGAACGACGTTCAGGAGATATGAACTACCTAACAGGGGGAGCATACGTATCCTGAAATGAAGAAATTCCCTTGCATGGTGTTCGCACTGGAACCTCATGAACGGAGACAGGCCAGGGTACCTATTTCCCTGGAACTGTTTTGGGCTAGTGCCATGTGCCTGCCGGTCAAAACTTTACCTCAATGGCATTTCCACATCACCAAATTGAGGATATGGGGAATGTACTTTTTGTGGGGTTCCTATGTAGGGTGGTGGTTCTTTTGGGGTACAGTATATTTTGTTGGATTTTCAAGATATAATTAAATTAGATGATTTTTCTCACACAATTATCTCTCAGGCACAGAGGATCCTGGGATTGAAACCCCTGTATTGGTGTGTTGAAAACCCCTTGTATGGGACTGGTCATAAAAGCCGTGTATGCACCACTCACGCCTGCGAAGGAGAGCGAGGCTTATGCAAAAGCGACGGAGTGCAGCCCTGCACAGCCCCACACAGGGGGAGGACTTGGCCCCAGGACGGCGGAGAGTCCGTGAGACAGTGGACATGGCTCTAAGAAAGTCTCAGGGCAGGAGGGGCGCCTCATCCAGACCGCGCTGGGATACTTATGAGGACACACAGGGTACCGAAGACGAGGAGCAGCTGGAGTGGCTCGTCAATGCTACTTCCAGGCATGTCACCACAGCCTCCAGCCTGGGAATCGGCTGACCTTATATGGACTGACCCGCTATACCACCTACAGTTCATGCCTGAGTACATAATGTGAGAACTCTCTCTATACATTATACTTTGTAAATTATACTCATTACTTGTTTATTTACACCTACTAAGCTACATAATCAGATGACCTAACTGATACCTTATATTTTTCCCTCTTTGTCCCTCCTCTGATTATATTCCCTACTTAAGCACCCACACATATTTAGCCAGCAACATTCAGGTTTTTCGCTCATTTAAGCTACAGTAGTATACACATGAATACCTAGCATGACTTATCGTGTTTTACAACAACCTGTTCAGATGTATATAGCTGGATAAAACGAACACCCTTACTGGCTGACTCGCTTAGGAGTTTCTCATGAATCAAGTTAATGTACACGACTTTTGTCTCTCTGCTTTAACTGCTTTCACGCTGATACCTTTCCCCAATAGTACAAAATTGTGCATTATGCATTTATGCGCTGAGAAAAATTAAAACAAATAAAAAATACATGGAAAAGCCGAGTGTGACTCAATAAACTTCAGCTGTACTCCCAGAACTATGTGTCGTCCAGTTGCTGGGGAGGAGGTGGATATAAGTGTGTGCTGGACTGGATGCTGGTGCAGGATGTGATGAGATATAAAGAATGCCCTTGGTGTATGATACAGATGGTGAAGTTAAACCGGACCTGCAACCTCAAGCACTTTGGAGAGAATTTAAAGATTAATCATATCAATAATTCTGGACAAGGGATAAGAGCTTCTAAAGCTTAAGTGTAAAGTGAAATGCTCAAGACTATAAGAAAGGTACTAGGGTCAGCTGGTTTGTGAATGCTTCAGGAGTATTGAGATTGGCACCTACCTACCAGAATCTGGTTGCAAAGGTGCATCATGCAGGGGCCGGCTCTGGGGCTGCTATGTTGATCTGAGGTGCAGTGTGCAAAGAGGCTTTGTATTTTGCATACCTCTCTTTACTAACTCCATACAGCAGTAAAGAAACACATAGAAAAAAGAACCAATCACAGGAGAGCAGGATGTACATAAGGCAATGTGACCTCATCATTTCCTCTTTCTTTACTGCTCCATCAAGCAGACAGGTCAGAGTATTACTCTTCTCCATTACTTTATGTTTATTGTGCCTCTTTGAGGTTGTTTCTGTATTATATTTTTTTTAAATACTTTACTGTATGTTCTTGCTGTGCTTCTGTACTATGTGCAGCTGTGTTTTTCTATGTTATTTCATAGATATTATGTAGATTTAACGTAATCCTTATTTCATAACCTTTAGTTGTGATTAATATCACTTGTAATTTATCAGTTTTATAGGCATTTCATCTTTTGTTTTGATAAGTATTATATGTACTTTATATGTATTTAATAGATGTCATATGTGTTTTATGCCATGGATTTAATAGGTGTTAGGTGTAAATTTTATTATTGACTTAATAGGTTTTATGTATAGTTATGGTAGATGTACTTTATACCATATGTATCATGACTTTTCTGGCGATTTTCCTGGTCTTCTATACCTGGGGCATCTGGGGACCCTCTTTCCCCGTTTTCCTCCTTCTTCCCAGGGTCTCATGGGGATTCTGGGTCTGGTTGGGGCTTAAGCCCTTCCCTCCAGCGGTTCCCGTCGGCTCCCGCCGGCTCCAGGGCATTAACCCCTTCTTCCGGCCTATCCGTTCGACCCCTTCCTCCTACAACCCTCAGGGGGACGGCCAGACTCACTGCCCTTGCTCTCTCAGGCTGCCCCATACCATACACCCGGTAATGTGCTGGATGCTTTCCAACATCCACTACCTTGGTGCAGGGCAGTCTGTGGGGCAACCATGAGGTAGCCCGAGAATGACGCGGTGGCCATCTTTGATCCCGCATCTACCGAGACTCCAGGGACCATGTTCCCCTTCCTTTACGGCCATCTTTAATCTTGCGTCTTGCGAGATTATGGGCGGCCGTTTTGCTACTCTCATCCACCACGATTTCGGCTCTCGAGAGTAACATATACCTTGGCTGTCGTGACTCATGATGCTCTGACACAGACGTTGGAGCCCAGGGTCCCAAGTTCGAATCCAGGCAAAGGTAAGTATTTTAACTGGCCTATTATTGTCAGATTTGAGTCGTACTCATGTATAGTGGTTCGAGGTGCTGGAACCTTAAAGGGATATCACCCCCAAAAATCCCTTAAAGGGATAGCACCCTCAAATTCCTTAAAGGGATCCTTAAAAGGATACCACCCTGGTGCTACTTAAAAGGGATACCAAATGCCATTGTATCAAGATGGTACTGTATAAGTACATATCAGTGATGGAAGATTTGAAGGGATATCATCTGGATCAGGGTTCAGGAATCTACAGCAAGACTTTATGTCTGGATGCTCAAAGGGATGACCCCTATCACTTAGACTACCTGTCAGAACACGACAGAGTTTAGTGCTATATCCTATTATCCCTCAGAGGTCAGTCACTTTTGTCTCATTACTGCCATATTAAGCACTAAAGGGCTTATTACCCTGTGCCTGCCTGGGGTGCTGCCCCTATTACCTGCTTTTTGGAGGTCGCACTGTGGCCACTTCTGTGATTCTGGGTGAGGCTCAGTTATACAAATCCCAATATTGTGGTTTGCCCTGCTGGGACAATTTGACAACACTTAGTGACAGATACAGAATACCATGCCGGGGTTATTACACCTTACTGTCATTTATACAGACCCTGCTGGGCATTATTTACACTACAACAGATACCCTGCTGGGGTACCCCATATCACACACCCTGCTGGGGTTGTTTTGGTACTTTGAGACAATAAATTGCACACAATAAGTGCACACTACTGCATATCACACACCCTGCTGGGGTCGTTTTGCTACTTTGAGACAATGAATTGCACACAAAAAATTGCACACTACTACAGCCTGCTGGGGTCTGCATGGTGCATTGCACACAATGAAATGGATTGTGCTCTCATCCAGTATGTTTTATTTGGCCGTGACCCACGCTTGACGGGTACATACTCCGCGCACCTGAGGTGATCTCTGACTAGGTATAAGCAAATCTATTCGGCTAAAAAGGGGACAGAGTTGCAAGCTTCAGTGCAGAATATCCCCCATGGCGGTGCATGGTAATTATTGGAAGAGCTGTAGGCCAGCACTGATGGGTTCATACCCTGTGCAACCGGGGTGAGCCCCCTACAGCACTGCTGCTTCTACTCCTACCCCTATCAACAGCAAGCTCGAGGATTGAAAACCAGAACTTCAGATCTGGGACCAGCACTTACAGGTTCAGACCCGGTGCTCTCGGGGTGAGACCCCTACGATGGGGGAGTCACACTACCCGACCGAAGGAAGTCTTATGGCAACAGCCCCTACCTACACCTGAAGGAATACCTCCATTGATAATGAATCATGATATGGTACGGGTTTATGCCCTGTACCTATTCTGCGGCCTGCAGTTAAAGGCTCATGCCCTATGCACCGGGCCCGGCTAGGCGTGCACTGCACTAAAATGCCGAACAAAGGCATGTGGTTACAACCGCTGAACAGGAGTTCCGAGCTGCCTACTTAACAATATATATTCCCCTTGAGGTGAATTTAATAATGAAAGAGGTGACTGACACTCATACCCTGTGCACCTCGGGTGAGCCCCCACTATATGTGCGCTGCACAGTGCTGCTGAGCGGAGGCAATGCTATGGCAACCTCTATGTACTGGGTGAGCCCCAGTCTGTTTTATTTGGCCACGATTCGGAATAAGACCCGCAAGGTTTTCCATGAACACTGCCTACTGTCATAGTAGACTAATCTGTTTGCCCTGCATCCTGTGCCTGAATACTGGTTTGTGCCTTACACAGGGGTATCCCTTACTAGGATAACCCTACTTGACAACGTTATGCACTCATGGCTTTGCAGCCTCTTGCTTAGAATGTCCATATCCGCTAACGGTCGGACAACCCCATGCCCTTCCATGCCGGTCAGAACGGTTCAGACAACTATAGTGACCAGCGGAGGAGGTCTTTCAGGATTCACAACCTTACCATGGGCGATGCCGGACGCCGCCAAACATCGTCCAGGAATGGGCATACAACTTGGGTATATGGACTCAAAAAACTGTTTCTGCTCCTCGCAGGAAACCCCAGTGTTGACCTCTCCCATAGGATGCCCATAGCAGCACTCCTCCGCACTGACGGATGGTTGGCGGTACTGGGCGCCAAGATAGTCGGAACCCCAGACACAAGGCACAAAGTTCTGAAGGGAACTTATTAGACACACAAGGGTCCCACGGCTTTCATAAGGGCCCAAACCCCTAGGAGGGAGGAGTTATGCGATTACCTTTACAAGGGATTCTTTGCACCGGTTGGCAACAGAGCCGGTCGTCAACCACTTCGGGACATCTGACCCGAGATCCGCTACCGCTAGCTCTATTACCCATAAAGAGCAAGAGTCAACCAATGGTGCTCCAGATAAGCGGACGGAGAACACGGTACGCACAGATACCATCAATATACCTCCTACTACATCCACAGGGGATTTCACCACATCTAGGTGAAAGGCACTCAAAACTGGGGAAGACCACTTTCACGTAGTAAACCGACTTGTGTTCAGGACCTAAAGACACGTCAGGACGGTCTTCTTCCTTCCCGCTCGACCACCTTATCCAGTTTTCAGGGGACATCCTCTCCTTCCCGATCCAGTAGCTCGGAGCCTGGTGGGCCCTGATAAACTACCGAAAGAAGTCATGTATACAGGTGGGGAAAACAAGACACCCTCTTCCGGGAGAACCTCATTCAGATCACTCCAGGGAACTGAAAACCCGTCAACACCCATGTTCATCCGAGAACCGGCTGGAACCTCCAGACTTGTAGAAGACTATTCGCTCAGAGGATTCGTAGACTATCCCACAACTTGGGAATATTCGCACGACTCTCCGCTGCACCACCGCAACCCTGTACATTGTATACCTAGACTTCTTGGTCCTATACTTCACAATACATGGATTGATAAAGAAGTACTAGATCGGCTGCACCCTACTGCACCCTACTGCAGGTAACCACAGATTAGGCGGTCAGGTTTCACATCCACCGGTATGGACCAACTCACGTTTATGAGACAACATGTAAGCTCCTTCGATCCCAGTCTTCTTCACAGAAGATCAACCCGTCTCCTGGGGGAGACACATCTCATAGGGGCTGACTGATTTGGATATTACCACTCGTCACAGTATAAGTCGAGGCATGATGGTGATCGCGCTCCGTCCGACCGGACCTCCCCGAAGGACTTCTCATGCTTACAAGGTCTACAGAAATTCTCGAGCAGGCGAGGATCTTCTCCTGCTACATTCATGATCGACAATTCCTCACGGAGCCGTAGGGTACTCACATCTTCTATCCCAGGAGAGTCGGCTACCTGGGGTCCTGGACCCACTTTGGGGGTTTCTTGGCAGGTCAGCGGACGATCGCAGACTGCCAGGGACTTCTTGGGAATCTGGGAACCCAGGGATGCGTTGACCCTACCCCTACATCTGGACATTCCCAGCCTGTCTGGTTCAGTCCTGCATCTTGATCCCTAATGTGAGGATGGACCCGTATCACTACCGGAGAACGCCCAAGGGACTAGGATCCTCTAGGATACCAACTACCCAATGTCATACCTCTCAAGCTTATGAGTTGTGGAGGTCGTTCTCCTTTCACTCTACGGGACTAAACATCCTGCTGACAAACAGTCAGACTTGGTCTTGTATAATTTCCCGTTAGATGGTGTATACGTGGGCACTCAACGAGGAAGACTCCCCATAACGCCGAATACTGGGTCTCTCGGCACACCATAGGACTCTTTTTTAGTTCTATACTCTTTTCTCAGAGTTAAAAATGCAAAATACGAAGCCTGTCATGAGGTAAAATTGAAGATTATGCTAGCTTTAGTGTACTCTTCATTTTAATAATGACAGGAGGCGAGTTATTTCCCCCCCTGCTTCGCTGCCCACCCTTTCTATTTATTTGCTTTGCAGATATCAGGGGCTAAGGTAGGTTTGCCTCTCACATTGATGCTTATATGATATGGAATCCTCATTAGAGTTCTCATTACAATTACTCAGTTATCAGATTATGTTAGGTGTTACCTTAATTGGAGTTACATGTTCGTGACTATGTCTTAACCTGTCACACATTATCTTTTCAGTATGATTCGTCTCTGAAGATAATTGGCAGTTCACGTGAAACTATTGGAGATTTTATCCTTTGGATTTGTCTCAACCCTGAACTCTTTTTCGTTGTTCGTATAGAAATCTTTGGAAGTTTGCTCCTTCGCACATGGGAACTTGGAGTTATTATTAGTTTTATTGTTTGCTATATATTTACTTCTGCTTGTTGTCGCTTTCTGAAAGAGGAAATGATGAGGTCACATTGCCTTATGTACATCCTGCTCTCCTGTGATTGGTTCTTTTTTCTATGTGTTTCTTTACTGCCGGATGGAGTTAGTAAAGAGAGATATGCAAAATACTCGCCTGCTGTCATTATTAAAATTAAGATTATTAGTACACTAAAGCTAGCATAATCTTCAATTCTCTACACTGATTTCTGAGCTTCCTTTGTGCACTCTGTATGCTGTTGGAGCTGGGATATAATGTCATCCCAGCAACAGTACAGAGCTGCTGAATATGGAGGTTGGGTGCACCTCATTGTGAAAAAGAATACTATTTAATTATGTATTTAATTGTATTTATTTATTTATTTGAAATAAAACATAATAATGCATGTTGAAGTAATTATGAATGTCTGTGTATAAGCCAGTCTGTACATTGAAACATAGCATGTGATGGCAGATAAGAACAATTCGGACCATCTACTCTGCCCAATTTTTTTAAATACTTTCATTAGTCCCTGACCTTATTTTATAGCTAGGATAGCCTTTTGCCTATCCCATGCAAGCTTAACCTCCTTCAGCTGGAAGACTATTCCATGCATCCACTATCCTCTCAGTAAAGTAATACTTCCTGATACTATTTTTAAACCTGTGCCCCTCTTATTTAAGACAATGTCCTCTTGTTGTGGTAGCTTTTCTTCTTTTAAATGTAGTCTCCTCCTTGATTCCCTTTATGTATTTTTTTTTTTTAATAGTTTATTATTTTTCTTTTTTTGTAACGTATGTTGTACATGCATATAAAACATTTCACAGTCAATAAAATGCATACAAAGACAATTACAGGGAGACAATTATAAAGTGTTACCATGCTTGTAGCTCTAACATATTAATAAACATTATTCTTATTCTCCGCGTAAAATATTTCCAGCCTTTAAACTTCAGTAAAGAAGGAAAGTATCAAAAACCTAAGATAGAATAACCTTCTCATTCCTCTCTACTGATAGGCTAATATTACACACTTACACAGACAGAACATAACTAACAATAAAGTTGACAATGTATCCTTGATATTTATTATATCCTTCCTAACACCTATTTACTACCACCCTTTCAGGAGACTCCTTTTTATCTTTAAATAGACTATCTTATATTGAATTTTCAAGAATCTTTATCCATTTATCCCATATCTCAAATAGACAAATATTGATGTTCAGACTAGATGCTATACCCCTTTCCATTTTACATTGGGTTATAATAATTGTCTTAATATGTGGCCATGAATCAATTAGAGTTTTTTTCCAGTTTTTGGCTATGGACATCTTAAAGGCCATCAGAGCATGTATCAATAGACATTTCTTATCTATAGTCAGTAGCGGTAAATTTAAATGTAAAAGCAGAGTATCTGGGGTCCAAATATGGGTGATGCTCAAAAGAGTATTTATATGTCCCATAAAATGGTCCTATGCTGCTTTAATTGGAGGACACTCCCACCATATATGCAGTTCATTTGCCTCCTTGCTACCGCATCTCCAACATCTAGAAGACTCTTCCTTAGAGAATTTCTGAATCTTATTTGGAGTCATATACCAGCGATTTAAAAGCTTATAATGAGCCTCCCTGATATTTAAACAATGTACCAGCGAGTAGACTGTATGAAGGGCCCTATTCCAATCCTTTATATTAATTTCTGTTGAGAAATCTCTTTCCCATTTACTTTTTGCTAAGGGCTGGACAAACCCTTTTATGCTTTTCATAATCACTACGCATCTAGTTAATATTTTTATATCCTTCTCTGAGTCTATCAATGCATTCAATTTGGCTACTGAAGGTGACTTTGAAATACCGCCAAGGAAGCTTTGTAAAAAGCTCCTGATCCTTATATATTTAAAAGTCTGTGAAGAAGAAAGCCCATAAATTCTCTGTAACTCTGGAAAGGAAATAATCCTACTCCCCTCTAGTATATCCTCTATTTTTTTAATCCCCTTACCAAGCCATTCTGTTATATTCAAATTTTCTATCCAGACCTCTAGACTTTTAAAGGGTAGAACTGGTAATATTTTATTTTTTAATTCTAATTGATTTTTAAAATAAGACCAAAATTTTACTAACGGTTTTGTTATCAAATTGTCCGTAGAACATCCTATATTTCTATTTGGACTTTTATTTCTTAAAGGCCACATTAATTCTACAATATTATATGGGATAGTAATATCTTCCCCCTCAATTTCAAACCAATTCGGTGAGATTTTATTTTGTTTGATTAGGGGGAGGGTATGCATTAGTTGAGCTGCTTGATGGTATAAGAAAATATTTGGGAAACCAATACCTCCATGCTTATATTTCATATAGGAGATCCTGACCTAATCTGGGTTTCTTCTGAAGCCATACATAATCTCTAAAGATCTTATTTATAAGTTTTACTGTGTTGATTCCCTTTATGTATTTAAATGTTTTTTTATCATATCCCCCCTGTCTCGTCTTTCCTCCAAGCTATACATGTTAAGATCCTTTAACATTCATGATAAGTTTTATCCTGTAATCCACGAACCAGTTTAATAGCCCTTCTCTGAACTCTCTCCAAAGTATTAATATCCTTCAGAATATACTGTCTCCAGTACTGCGTACAATACTCCAAGTGAGGTCTCACCAGGGTTCTGTACAATGGCATGAGCATTTCCCTATTTATACTGCTAATACCTCTCCCTATACAACCAAGTATTCTGCTAGCCTTTCCAGTTTATTGATAAGCCTTCTATGTGCAACAAAGTCAAAAGCCTTACTGAAATCTAGGTAAGCAATATCTACTGCACCACCCTGATCTATTATTTTCGTTAGCCAATGAAAAAAAATAATAAGATTAGTTTGGCATGATCTCCCTGACGTAAACCCATGTTGTCTCTGATCTTGAAATCCGTGTGATTTTAGATGTTCAACAATCCTATCCTTTAACATAGTTTCCATTACTTTCCCCACTACTGAAGTTAGGCTTACTGGCCTATAGTTGCCCGACTCCTCTCTACTACCGTTCTTGTAATTGGGAACCACATTAGCTAACTTCCAATCTTCTGGGACTACTCCTGTTAACAATGATTGGTTAAATAAATCTGTTAATGGTTTTGCTAGTACACCGCTAAGCTCTTTTAATAGCTTTGGGTGTATTCCATCAGGTCCCATTGACTTGTTTGTCCTTACTTTTGACAGTTGAAATACAACCTTTTCCTCTGTAAACTCACATGTAACAAATTACTCATTTGTCTTTTTTCCTAACTGAGGTCCCAGCCTTCCTCCTACAATTCGACTCTTTTCTCTGCAAAAGTAAACTACTTCAACACCCTCATAACCAAGCTCTTCTGCAAACCCAAATGTCTATTTTAACATTCTTCTTCGCCTTCCTCCTATCACCTTGTCCACCACACACTTTGCAATCACTTTACTGAGAAGATTTATACAACCAGGGAAGAGATCTCTCTTCTCTTTCCCTCCCCTACCAATACTCCCTCATCTCCACTCCCTTTACTGTTCTATGCTAATTCGCACCCGCTACATCGGAAGAGATTGCTGCTCTGCTCTGGTCCTCCCGCCCCACCACCTTTTCCCTTTAATCTCATCCACACTCCCCATCCAAATACCGCCCTCTCTCACTACTGCCGTTTGCCTCCAAGAATCTTCAGAGAGTTGTGTATGATAAGACTCCTCGAATCCAATTAGTTGTATCTAAATTATTTGGCTTGTATCTTGACCATTCTCCATTCTTTTATCCTTGAAATTGAGCTTGTCTACTCATTTACGTACTCTCTTTCTCATTGATAGGTCTTACTTGTACTATTCTATATAGTGTTAAGTCTGGTAACTCTGCCAGGTAATACAATGTAGTATTCTGATTTATGATTGTTTATATTTGTTCTGCGTGTTGGGTGATAGTCAATCCTGACATTATGACTGGGCCATTGACGCTGCAGCTTCAGTCAGCAAAAGACAACATGTGAGGCTAAAGTTGAGAAACTTGATCACCGTATGAATCCGTTCGCTCAGGCATTTCATACTTTATTGAACCTCCAACCTTAGTCGCTTCCTGCTCTACATGTATACCAGCAGACTGCCATTGCAAAATCCTTTGCACACAGTGCCCCTTCGATAAGTCTGTCTCCTCCTCCATTTCTTGGCGAGCCACTTGAATGTAGGGGTTTTCTTAACTGATTATGCTATTAAATTCCTTACACTTGCAGCAGAGGTCGATTGGACCAACAGTTCCTCTTTTGATTTCATGAGTACCTTTCTGATACACTTCTAGATGAGACTGCAACTAGGGAATGTTTGGATAAATATATATCATATATGTTACATATTGACAACAGACTCAAGGAGGGAGAGAAAACCAGGAATAGAATTATAGGGACACTCCACTGACCAAATACAAAACAAATAAAAATTACTATTCAGTAGATATACTTTAAATGAAAACATGCATACATTTAATTATTATTTTTTATTAGGAGAATATCATAAAACATCTTGCAAAACTTGCAGTTGTTTCCCCTTTTAACTCTGCCCAGACTTTTTGTGGCTGTCCAATCGTAGATTTCCCAATGTAGCTCAGTGAGAAATCTTTACAAGACAGGTGCTCTGAGCAATTAATGTCTTTTGAGTTCAGCTCCACTGAGGTAAACAAACCAGTGAATAACAGAACCAGTTGTCTAAAGTGCTTTCTGGAGTGTCCTTTTAAGCATCCATCTGTTCCATAGACTCTTCGTTTAACTCTTTCTACTCCTGCAGTTGCACCTGAACCTGAACTTATGCGATTGGGAGTAATGCATTTATTTGAAATTGAGAAACAATACTGTCAGACTTAGGGTCTATGCCTTTATTAGGGGGAAAATCTACGTAGATTTTGTCCAGTTCATCCAGAAAACCCACGCACCTAAAAACCATCAGTGGACCTGCCTTAGGTATTTTGCATATGTTCCCTGCTATGCCTCACAATTGGAGTACTCACAACATAAATAGCAAAGCTCTCATACATTCTGGAGCTATAGTAAATGTTATTGATCATGCTTTTGTCACTCATCACCATATACTTCTTAGGGAGATATCCACACCTATGGCCACTAAGGCCATAGATGGTAGATCCCTCTAGAAACTAATACTAACCCATGAAACCTGTTCTTTGACTCTTTCTTTAGGGCCTCTAAACAAAAAAAACATTGTTTTTAAACTAATTACCTCTCCTTCTGTTGCCTTTAGAACATCCCTAGTTGGTCAAGCATAATCCCGTCTTGGACTGGGTACAGGAGAACATTTGCTAATGGGGAACAGGTTGCAAGGAGTGCCTCCTTTCTATTAAACATTTCAGCATCATTAATGTACCTACTATGTTCCCTTATCTATTGCTGTTCCACCTCAATATGACTATGTTAAAGAAGTATTCAACAAGTTCCATTACCACCAAACAAACTATATCTTTAGAACTATTACGATGCACTATGCCATCTAGAGTTAGATGTACCCGTTGTTGACTCATGAAATCAAGATAATGGAGGAGTATATCCAAGATGCTCTCACCAAGAGGTTTATACGTAGATCATCCTCACTTGCAGGTGTAGGGATATTCTTTGTCTCAAAAAAGGAGGGTGATCAATGCTCTTGTATAGATTGTAGGGCCCTTAATAAGATAACCAACAGGAATGTCTATTCTATACCTCTTATCACAGAGTTATTTGATGGACTTAATGGGTACACAGTGTTTACAAAACGTGATCAAAACTTAAGAATATTTGATAGAGTCCTAACCTCAACATCTGAGGAAAGGGATTTAGGGGTAGTTATTTCAGATGACTTAAAGGTAGGCAGACAGTGTAATAGAGCAGCAGTAAATGCTAGCAGAATGCTTGGTTTTACAGTGAGCGGTATTAGCTATTGCACAGAACACTGGTGAGACCTCAATTGGAGTATTGTACACAGTATTGGAGACCGTATCTCCAGAAGGATATTGATACTTTAGAGAGAGTTCGTAGAAGGGCTACTAAACTGGTTCATGGATCGCAGGATAAAACTTACAAGGAAAGGTTAAAGGATCTTAACATGTATAGCTTGGAGGAAAGACAAGATGGGGGGATATGATAGAAACATTTAAATACATAAAGGGAATCAACACAGTAAAAGAGGAGACTATATTTAACCCCTTAAGGACAGAGCTTCAAAAGCTTGTCTTTCACTTAATGACAACGGCATTTTTTTCATTTTTTGCTGTTTGCGTTCAACTGCAATTTGCATTTTACTAATTTGTTGCACCAACACATATTATACATCGTTTTTTAAAGGACAGAAAGGGCTTTAATTTGATGTAACACACATATATATAAATGCTTATTTATTATAAAAAAATACAGAAAAATGTAAAAAAAATGAAAATTTTGTGTTTTTTTTTACAGTTTTTGCAATAATAATGTGTGCATAATTAGTGCAGGTTAAGAAAAGTAATTAAAAATAAATTAATTTAGTTGTTCTGATTTACAGAATATACAATGTGTCTGGGATTTAAAGTTTTTTTTGGTAGTTACAGGTCACAAAGCACAAGGAGTAAAATAGACTTTTAATGTGGAGCGATTTTAGAATTTGGTATGTTTGTCTTGTAAGCCTAATAGCCATAAAAGAAAACAAAATTGCCACACAAAAGTATATATTTATATAAAGTAGACATCACGGGCTATTTACCTAAGGTTGTTTTGACACTTTCTACGTAGCCATTTCACCGCCAACCTCTGCTAAATATTGGAGTAAAATTGTGTTTTTTTTGGTTTTTGGCACACAAACTTATAACAAAGAAATTCTCGTGTATATTTTGTAAAGTTGGTGTGTGCTATTCCTGTACAAAGTTTTATTTTGTGTTCAGTTACATCTGCTGAGTAAAACGACACCCCCATTGTATGTCTTTGCCACTATTTTGTGAAGTTACAGTGCCACACTGGATACCTGTCCTTTTCAGTATTCACAGTAGAATTTTGAGAGATGGATTTAATGAGCCTTAGCTTCCATTTGGGGTATTATGACAGTTTGACTGTTCAAAAAACCCCCACAAAGGCCTACCATTTGTAAAAGTAGACACTCCAGGGTATCTCATAAGGTGCATATTGTGCCTTAACATGCCCCCATTTTTTCACCAATATATGCCAAAGTATGTGGTAAAAAATAATTTTGTGCATTTTTTACATACGGATTGCATTTTTGCTGGGCGTTTTGTATATTTCATATGTGCCACTAAGTTCAAACCCCCCAAATTATGCTCAGCTAAGTCTTCTGAGTAAAATGACACCCCATATGAATGTCTTTGGCACTATTTCGTGAAGCTACAGTGCCATATAGGAGACCTGTCTTAGCTTCCATTTGGGGTATTATAACAGTTTGACTGTTCAAAAAAAACCCCACAAAGGCCTACCATTTGTAAAAGGAGACACTCCAGGGTATCTTATAAGGTGCATGTTGTGCCTTAACATACCCCCATTTTTTCACCAATATATGCCAAAGTATGTGGTAAAAAATTATTTTGTGCATTTTTTACATATGGATTGCATTTTTGCTGGGCGTTTTGTATATTTCATATGTGCCACTAAGTTTAAACCTCCCAAATTATGCTCAGCTAAGTCTTCTGAGTAAAAAGACACCCCCAATAAATGTCTTTGGCACTATTTCGTGAAGCTACAGTGCCATATAGGAGACCAAGCCATATCCGTTTTTACCAAACTTTGAATTTTGACGCTGGGCCTATGTGCAATTTCCAAGCATCTTCGCAGGTTTTAAATTCAAACTACCCCACAAAGGCCTACCATTTCTTAAAGTAGACACCCCAGGGTGTTTCAAAAGGTATATTTTGAACCTTAGCGTGGGATCATTTTTCCGCTAGCTTGTACCAGATGTAGTGGTAATAAGCGTTTTTTCTGCCTTTTTGACATACAAAGTGAGTTTGCACAGTATATTTTGCAAACCTTATGTGTGCTACGACTGTATAATACTTCATATGTTGCTCAGCTATGTCGGCTGAGTACAGCAATACCCCTGTATGTACCTTTGCCAGGTATGTGTGGACATCGGAGGGGCACATTTGGGACACAGCCATTCCAGTTTTTTTCAAACTTTGAATTTTTATGCTGTGCCTATGTCCCATTTTAGAGTATTTTACCAGGCTATATAATCCAAATACCCCATAAAGCCATACCATTTCTTAAAGAAGACATCCCAGGGTATTTCAAAAGGCATATTTTGAACCTTAGCGTGGGATCATTTTTCCGCTAGCTTGTACCAAGTGTAGTGGTAATAAGCATTTTTTCTGCCTTTTTGACATACAAAGTGAGTTTGCGCAGCATATTTTGCAAACCTTATGTGTGCTATGACTGTATAATACTTCATATGTTTCTCAGCTATGTCAGCTGAGTACAGCAATACCCCTGTATGTACCTTTGCCAGGTATATGTGGATGTTGAAGGGGCGCATTTGAGACGCAGCCATTCAGTTTTTTTCTAACTTTGAAGTTTTACGCTGTGTCCATGTTCCAATTTGGAGTAGTTTAGACGGTTGGTTATTGAAACTTCCCCACAAACCCATACTATTTATTAAAGAATACACCCTGGGGTGATTCAAAAGGCATATTTTGAACCTTGGCATGGGATAATTTTTTTCTCTAGTTTGTTCCAGGTGTAGTGGTAATGAGCGTTTTTAAAATGTATTTTTTTACTTTTTATAACTTTTTTACTTTTAAAAACTAGTTTTTAAACTTTTGTTTTGCGTATTCATTTTTTTAAACTTTCCTAAACTTTCTTAAAACTTTTTTACAGATTTAACATTTTTCTAAGCTTTTTTTTTTACCGTTAACCCCTAACTAGCAGTACGCAGCACTAACAGTAAATTCTCAATTTTCCCATAACTCCCACCCACCCCAGCTAGCAAAATACATAGTTATAAAATATTTAAATTAATTAATTAAATAAATTGAACCCCTGAGGGTTAAAAAATAAATTAAAAGTTAATCCCCAGGGGTTAAAAAAAAATTAGATCACAGTATAATACTGTGATCTCTAATTGATCGCTGTAGGCAGTGATCGACTGGCAGGGAATGGGGTTAATTTTTATTTGGACTAGGTAAAGGGTTTTTTTTTTGTTTTGGTTTTTTTACTTAAACGTTATTAAAACATTTTTTTAAGCTTAATTTTTTACTTTTTAAAGTTTATTTTAAAACTTTTTTTAACGTTAACCCCTAGTTAGCCTAACGCCAAATCCCCCAATTCCCCACTAACTTCCACCCACCCCAGCTAGCTAAATATATAATGTTAAAATATTTTAATTAATTAATTAAATAAATTTAACCCCTGAGGGTTAAAAAAAAAAAGAATTAACCCTCAGGGGTTAAAAAATTAATCAGATCATAGTAAAATGTAATCCCTGCCAATTGATCACTGTAGTCAGTGATCAATTGGTAGGGAAGGGGTTAATTTTTTATTAAAATGGGTAATTGGGGGGGGGGACTTTAAATTAACTTTATTTTTTTAACAGCAGGGGGCAAGATCATCACTGATCCGGCTCCCTGCACTTCACACAGAACCCGGAAGTGCAGGGAGCCGGTAGGTGAGTATACAGAGCACATGTGCTGGGCAGCCTGACCGGGTGCTCCTGGTATGCCTCTAATGCAGAGGCATACCGGAGCACCATTAACCCCGCGATCGACCGCGATAGGGTCTCCCCTCTGTGACGGACCTCGTCCGTCACTCGTCCTTAAGGGGTTAAAAGAAGAAAACCACCACAACAAGAGGACATAGTCTTAAATTAGAGGGGCAAAGGTTTAAAAATAATGTCAGGAAGTATTATTTTACTGAGAGGGTAGCCTCCCAGCTGAAGTGGTAGAGGTTAACACAGTGAAGGAGTTTAAGTATGTGTAAGATAGGCATAAGGTTATCCTAGCTATAAGATAAGGCCAGGGACAAATGAGAGTTTTTAAAAAAAATTGGGCAGACTAGATGGGCTGAATGGTTCTTATCTCCCGTCACATTCTATGTTTCTATCTCAGAAGAATAAAAGAGGGCCATGTATGGAAAACCATATTTAACGTAGTACCTAGTAATGTTGTTTGGATTGTGCAATGCAGTAGCAGTGTTCCAATACTTCAAAATAGTCACTATAGTCCTGTGATAAAAATAATAATAAATGAACAAATGTACAAAGTAAAAACCTTTCAATGTAACAGGAGCTGGTATTTAGGTATACAAACAACAGGTCAATAGAATCTATACAAATTAAAAATTGATTCAATAATACAATTATGATGTATGTACTTAAAATATCATTAAAAAAACATACAGATATCAAAAAAATGTCTGGTAATCAATCATGTAAAGCATGAGGTGCAAAAAACTGCCTTTATCCAAAGGGCTAATGAACAATATACATGTGATAATCATGAAAGTGAGGGTGGTGGGGGGGGAGAATATGTGTGTATATGCAAGTCTGTGTGTGTTCATGTGTCTGTGTGTATAGTAACAATCATACTAGAGTGTGCCAGGCTATTTAACAGTTTAGGAATACTCTTTGACCCAGGAGTGATTCAAGTTGCAGAATAGTATTGGTCCTTCTTTATTTAATTTGAAAAAAGACCAATACAGATAAATCCGATATTTCGTTCCAATTCACATAGTAAATTTATATATGTCTTGTAGAGAGATTTGACGAATTTAAGACAATATACTTGAAACAAACAAATATTAAAATGAACAGTATGAATAGGGACGTACATAATTAAGGACTGCACCATTACACCATCCTTATTTTAGATTGGGTTTTCTTTTTTCCTTGAAATTAGTGCCATAGATCCTGGTATGAGATCAATTTAACCGATGTAGTAATAAAGTTACATTCCATTACATATTGATATTCTATTTGGTTTAAAATGTCTTGCCATAGAAGAGGTTGAGTAGATTTCCAGTGACGAACTATAGAAATCTTCAGAGCATAAAGAATGTGTATAATGAAAAAAAAATTTTCATTAATGGAAAATCTAAGTTAAATAAAAATATCGAAAGTGTGTGACTATTATTGTCTCTTGAGTTAAGTCTAATATCAGAGAAGATATACGCATCTTAATATAATTTAGTATCTCACAAGTAAACCAAATATGAAATATTATACAATTCTCTTTGTGGCATCTCCAACATATAGGTGAATAAACTTCATACAGTTTATGTAGTTTAGAAGTACTATCTATACAAGATTTTTAGATGCAATTCTAACAAAGATATACAATGGATGTGTTTTTTTAATTGGATAGTGGTACGGTACCATTCGTATGGGGTATGGTTTATGATAAGATCCTTTTCCCATTTCACTATTGGTAGTATTTTTTCTGCACCATCTTGTATAAGTTTGGAAGATCGGGTTATTAAGCCCTTTGTTCCTACTCTATCCAAATAACTAAAAATAGGGTGTTAAAATATAACATCTTTTGAGTTTAGAAAGTACTTAATCCTTAGTTAGCGAAAAGTTTTGCTGTAGGGTATATTGTATTTATCTTGTAGACCCAGGAAGCTAATCAATATTTTATTATTAGAGGTCTGCAATTTTGTTTATCCCTAGTTTATCGATCATGTCATATTGGAGATATTCTAATGGGGCTTGTATTAGAATGGAATCTGAAAGGTTAAGTTTAGTTTTCAACATTTTTAAAACTTCTAGAATATCCATAATCAATTGATTTGGAACATTTCTTGGTTTGATTACATCTAGGTTAAGTGACCAAAATACAGTATTTAAATTGACATGTAGATAGTTTTCTTGCTCTATCTGGAACGAGGCATTTTTTTGAATAATACACTTATTCCATACCAGTACAATTAGACACGTTTGATTCAACTTTGCGATATCCGGAAATAAGATACTACCTTTATCATATTTATTTTGTAGAATTTTCTGAGAGATTCTTGGGCGTTTATTTGCCCAAATAAAGTTTGAAAATAATCTTTGAAATTGTAGAATCCTATCACTGCCTTGTCTTAAGGTAGAGATCTAAATAAAAATAAAAATTTCAGAATAGAGTAAGTGTTTACTATATTCAGACTCCCCAGCCAAGAGATCTCAATTTTTCTCCACTTAATCAGTTGCTTGTCAATTAAAGTATAAATATCCCCATAATTCCAGTGTATTATATCCTGAATATTAAAAGATAATTTAATTCCTAAATATTCAATATGCTCCAGGTTCCAATTAAGTTGAAATTTAGATTTGAGTATAGCTAGTTCGGCAAAAGGTAGGTTTAACACCAAAAGTTGCATTTTCTTTAAGTTTATTTTATAATTCAAACATATTTTCCAATATTTCCAAATATTTCAGAGATGTCAACTTTTAAAAGCCATGAGCCCCTACCCGGGTGAAGACTTAATTGCAAAGTGTCATACATGGAAGCATACTGCAGTTTAAATTCTTATGAGAGGATTAATGAATTGAAGTTGGGTGCAGGTGAAGAATGTGGATCTGAGAGGTTGATAATGAAAACTATAAGATACTCAAAATAACTAGTACATGAGTATCCACTGGAATAATGAATAGTAATGATTCTATACAAAGTGAGATATAGAGATATATATAATGAGAAAATACAATAATAGAAAAATGGGTCAGGTGAAAGTAGAAAATAACTGCCTAATGGCAAAAAACTCCCTTCCTAATGTCTCTAAAAGTAGATACTGCAGTACACAGGTTTAGACTTTAATATATAATGCTTCATAGGCCAATATCTGTGACTACAGGCTGGTATCAATACATCCAAAGAATATATGAGACATTAAGAACTTGCTTTTACCTAGTAAGTCTCAAGCTGTGGCATTATATAAGATATAATAGATTGCTAGCATATTGGAACATTAGAGGCTGAATAAGCAGAAAAGTATAAATAGATACTATATGTGGGATCTATTGAAAATAATTCAATCAGTAAATTGTATCAAAAAAGTATCTATAATGTTAACTGCCATGTACTCAATTGCTAGCATATTGGGACATAAGTAACTGAATAAGCAGAAGAGTATAAATAGATACTATATATATTGGATATAAAATAATCCAAAAAATAAAATGTATTAAGAGTAGTATCTATCATAATAACTGCCACATATAAACTAAGTCCAAAATTATTGAATAGACAGAATATATCCACAAATGGATCTGTTATATAATATGCCACATATTAGGAGGTATAAAGCATAAGAGAGATAAAGTGAATAGTGAAAAAACAGTGTGCTAAATGTGCAGAGCCATGCTTAGAATTCTGGCTGCCTGCACATGGTGACAGAGTGCCCTATAAGTGAAAATGATGAGGGGAAAGAAGACCCCCCCCCCCCAACCCCTCCAAAATAACCTGATGCGCGTTTCGGTGCTCTTGTGATGCACCTTCGTCAGGTCTTCTTTCCCCTCTTAGTTTTGCCACCTGACTGGTATTTAACAGTCGGTATTTGAGGCTGCCAGGCTGGGCAGATATTGCAGTAATACCGGCAATTCAAATGCAGGTATTTTTCTTAGTATAAATGGTGATTACTCTGCAATACCAGCATCGGCCAGTATGGGGTCACTGTGTGTGGAGAAAGGCAGGGATAGTAAGTTACAGCATAACCCTGCCTCTCTCTACTACTCACTGATGCTGGGGGAAGCAGCTACACAGCACAGAGAGTCCAGACAGCAGCTCAGGTAAGTGAGGGATGGGGGGAAAGGCAGCAGGGAGACATGGGGACACTGAGACACTAGGGGATACAGACACTAGGGGACACTGGGAAACCTGGGGACACCGAGACACTTGTGGACACTGGAAAACATAGGGACACTGAGACACATGGGGACGCTGTGAGACATAGGGACATGGAGACACTAGGGACATGTCTCCCAGTCTCCCTATGTCCCCCAACCAGTGTCCCTAGTGGCTCAGCGTCCACATGGCTCCCAGTTTCCCCTAGTCTCCCAGTGTCTGTGTCCCCATGTCTCTCAGTGTTCCCAGTGACTCAGAGTCCCCATGTCTCCTAGCCAGTGTCCTCAGTGTCCCCAAGTCTCCCAGTGTGTGTCCCCATGTCTCCCAGTGTCCCCAAATATCTGTGTCCCCATGTCTCCCAGTGTCCCCATGTCTATGTCCACAAGTGTCCCTAGTGTCTCAGTGTCCCCATGTCTCCCAGTGTCTGTGTTCCCATGTCTCTCAATGTCCCTAGTGTCTTAGTGTCCCCAAATGTTTCAGTGTCCCCATGTGTCCCAGTGTCTGTGTCCCTAGTGTCTCAGTATCCCCATTTCTCCCAGGGTCCCCAAATATCTGTGTCTCTATGTCTCCCAGTGTCCCCATGTCTGTATTCACAAGTGCCCCCATGTCCCCCAGTGTCCCCAAGTGTCTCAGTGCCCCAATGTCTCCCAGTGTCCCCATGTCTCACTGTGTCCCCTAGTATCCTAGTGACATGGGGACACACTGAGACACAGGGAGAAATGGGGACACTGGGAGACTATGGGACTGGGTGACATTGGGACACTGACACTGTGATACATAGGGACACTGAGACACTGGGTGACTTGTGAGTCTGAGACACTGGGAGACAGGGAGACACTGGGAGCAATTCATCTATACAGCACAATCAAACTGTGAGTAGTTTGTTGGTGATTTTACAGAATTTTCTCTTATGTCACTCCTTGTGATTTACATCATGTGATGTCATGCATAACTAATTAATTATACAAATGGCTGGTATTTTTTTTTCCAAGAAAGGTGGCAAACCAAACAGGAACACAATAATGTATTTCTCACCCTATTATGCAAGACCACCATCTAGCCCCCCTGACTCCCTCTTGCCTCCCCAAATATAGTAAAATCTTACTTGTATTCAAGTCTGCAGATTCTGGCTCTGCCTCTGCACTGACATCATCAGAAGTGGTGGTCTGAGCAAATTACAATGCTTCCCCATAAGATTGGCTGAGACTGTCAACTAGGCAGATCAGGGGCAGAGCAAGCACAAGTCAAACACAGCCCTTGCCAATCAGCATCTCCTCATAAAGATAAATTGAATCAATGCATCTCTATGAGGAAAGTTCAGTGTCTGCATGCAGAGGGTGGAGACACTGAATGGCAGTGCTGCGCCAGGAAGCACCTCTAGCAGCCATCTAAGGAGTGGCTAGTGGAGTTATTTTCTCTGAAAAGACAGTGTATAATGCAAAAAGCCTGAAGGGAATGATTCTACTTACCAGAACAAATACAATAAGCTGTAGTTGTTCTGGTGACCATAGTGTCCCTTTAAGTTTGGAAGCTTAAGAGGGATGTATGGCAACAAAACCTGTGTGGACTGGCTGACAAAATTAGTTTAGGTAATGCAGACTTTGGTTTCTCTAACACTGTGGCATGTCCCCTTTCTTCTACACTCACTACATACACCTTTTCTCTGTCCCAGACTATATACCAGGAACTTCTGCCTAGTAAGAAGATAAAGAGACAAGTGGACATATGACTGCCAAGGGGCAGTCCTTAGAAAGCGTGGAGTAGGCGCATCATTTGATGCATTTATGTCAAGCTCAGGGTGATGCCTGCATAGTATGCCCTTAGTTGGACAGCCTGCATGATTGGCGGGCAGCCTGACATGCATTCATGCCAGGCTGGCCTTCCAATTCTTTGGACAGACATGCCCCCTTTTTGGGCATGTTCACTCCTTTTGGCAGGTCTTGTCACGTGATTCGCGCCAGTGGCACACCCTTTTACCCCGCCCATTGACTTCCTGCTTCACTGGACACTGCTGTTAGGGGTTATGGATTTACTTGAAAGATGAAAGCATAAATTAGAGAGAAATTAGCATAGAGTATGTGTTTTCTTATAGCTGCATCCTATGAGTTTCCCTCCAGCACCATCTCCATCAGATACAGGATGCTTGGGAGGTATGGTTGTTTTAGTGTTTTTGGTTGATAAGATTCTGTAATTAGGCCCATCATAATTGTCAGCACCAGGCCCACTGGGCTCTTAATCTGGCCCTGCTTGTGGAATGGATATTTTCCTTGTAATTAGTTGGAAGCTGAAATATCAGTTAAACCAGGTACATGTAGAAAGCATGCTTTTGAAAAATTACATTTTTTTTATAATACTGCAAAAAAATGAATTACCATGTAACAATATGTGAATTATAATATCGTATTATACTGTGTGGATATCAAACAAACAAACAACAACAAAAAACTGTGCTAGCATGAAAAGCTTGCAAATGAATTGACACTGGTTGCTTATTGGTGCTAAATTGATGATTCAGAGGGAACAGCTAATGTCTGTACAACAACAGATCATTTAAAAAGGCACCAGTGACGTGTTGCAAAATGTATACCACATTAACAATAGTAACCTGAAATAAATAGAGCCATACAACATACAAAAAATGAGTCCTGCCAAACATCATTAACCACTAATATTTGTGATTGTGTGTGACTGTGTATGTGCTGGCACATGTGATTTAGTTGCATAGAAACTGCACTTGTAAGCATTGTGTTGTGCTAAATAACTGCTGAGTGCCAGAACTTACAAATTGACCTAAATTAAAGTTTCCCTAACCAGAGAGTCTGCTTGAAAGTAGGAGGTGAACAGAAGCCCCCCCAATGACATCTGAAAATTATGTTCATGTTGTTTATGATGTTCAGCAACCACAACAGTAAATGTTGGGTATTTGAGTAGTTCCCAGCATCACAAAATGTACAGAATACCCCTGGTAAAAAAAAACACTTCAACTTTGGGAATGCACCATAATTAGATTATTATTATTATTATTATTATTGCCATTTATATAGCGCCAACAGGTTCTGTAGCACTTTACAATATATTAGATGGTCCCTTTTCTGTACGTACAGGAGCCAACCACAATGGGTGGAGATGAGCTAATGGTGTCACAAACAGAAAGGTTGTGGCTGCTGACAAACCTGGAGAAGAAAGGAAGAGTATTTATAATACAATTACAGGCTTATTAGCCTTACCATGTATTACTCTAAAATTTGAAATGGGCCATCAGGCTAATATTACATTTAAAGAATTGATCTCCCTGCTACCCAACCTTACAATGTCGCTGATTTACTCTATGCCCTCACTAAACATGGACCTGCGAGTCCAAGTGAAGTAGGACTGTCTTGATTTGAAAATGAAAATAAAAATCATATTTACAAAAAAAAAGAATTGATCTCCAAACTAATGGCAAGTATACAACTTGGATCCCTATTAAAAAAAAAGTGAAGAAACCATGCTTATAGGCTGTCTATACAGTGAAATATTATTAGGAAACCCATTACACAAATATGTGCATAAAGGGACTGCTAGCCAGTGCAATAGTTTCTTTAATCATGATGGTCGTTACCAGTTAAAGACTATTATCCATTATGTTATGGTATGGGTATAAAAAACAACAACAACAAAAAACAAACAAACAGATTTTTAATTAAAGATAAACTTTAAAAAAAAAAGCATTTGCCTTTGATTTGTAGAGCACCTTGAGCCCTGCTTTACAGCACAGAATGTTCCTGCTCTTTTGTTGTCATGACCTAGTTTTTCCAATCTGAATGATGGTTTATATTGGGATCGGTAATCTGTAAGAAGATTAGGGGTCTTTGCTGCCAGAATCTTCACACGTTTGACACGTCAGAATGGAATTTCACCTAGGTAACAAGGCTGCTGCACTACTTTCTGATACAATTATAGATACGAAAAATAAGTGTGAATTATGAAGAATCACTTTTTTTTTGGATAATTCTAGATCATTTTAAAAATAATCTAATTAAAAATAAAGTAGCAATTCTAAAGGATGGTTTCTATGCTGATATACATTAAAGGAAAACTTGAAACACCATAACCACTACAGTGCAGCACACTGTTTTTGGGGACAGGGACGCTTTAGTTCCACCATAATGTAAGTAGTCAAACCTTTTGATAATGATTTGATTTCTTACTTGGGGTCTGCTGGGCACCAATCACATCAATTATAAACAGCTGTAAGCTCATACATGGATCTTCCATTAGCTCTCCTGAGCTAAATACTAATGTGCAGGGCCAGCTCATTGGCTGACAGCATTAGCTTAGACATGGTTGTCATAGAGGCTGTGACCAGTGCTCGACAGACCCAAAAATAAAACTGTTAGCTATTGATTTGGCTACACACATGGGGGTCACCAGGATTAGTTGTAGCGGTTAGGGTACTTGGTGTGTTCCTTTTATGTTAGAGACTTGCATGAATGAAGAAAAAAGGTTCCACAAAAGTGACAATTCCTTTTGAAGAACAGATTCACAAGACAGCATAGACTTTTACTCATTGGAGAGCTAGCAAGTGTAGCAGAGGGGCAATTGCTCCCAGGGACTAGCATGATGGATGGCATAGGGGCTGTAGCTTGCAGCCTCAAACCATTCTTCTGAAAATTAAGCAGGAGATGTGTTGAGAAGGAGTTAGGCAGAAATTGTGGAGTGCCTTTGCTTGGCTCTTTGTTGGTTTGTTCATGAACTGGTGGCCTATGTTGTTAATGCTTTCCATGCCTGGAGTAGCCCACTGTGATGGTTCTTTGATGGACTACATTATCTGAGGATGTTAGACTACAAATAGCACGTATAATGTCCATAAAGGTGTTTGCAAATGACCGCAGGTGAGATGAGACAGTGATCATGACATTCATAACATACACCATTTGTCATTGGTGGCAACAGAGTCAATAGTAAATGCATTTCTTAAGCATGGACAGATCTCTGTGAATGTTCTGTAAATGAATTTCATTGGCAAAATAAAGGCCATTTCATTTTTACTTGCCCACAAGGCCATTACGGAAATGGGATAGGAGCGCTCAAGGGTTGGGAGAGAGCAAGGCTTCTGTCTCCCTCCAGTCTATCACCAAATCCTGCAGCTTTCATCTCAAAAACATTGAGTGCAACAGCACCCAATTAACTCCAGATGAGGCTAGAGGGCTGGTCCATTCCACTATTCACTCTTTTCTTGACTACTACAATCTGCTTCTTAGTGGTCTTACATGCTCCCAATTTGCCCCATTACAGTCTATAATGGATGCGGCGGCAAGGCTCATCTTCCTGTCTGCCTGCACCTCCCACGCCTCACCCCTCTGTCAGCCCCTGCGTTGGCTTCCCGTAAGATATAGGGTTCAATTTAAAATTCTGGTTCTTGCTTACAAATCCCTACATAACGCTGCTTCAACCTATGTATCCTCCCTAATACACAAGTATGTCCTGTTTAGGCGCCTACGTTCTGCCGAAGGCATGTCTATCATCTGTTCGTACTCCCACCTCTGATGCTCGCCTTCACGACTTCTCTAGGGCAGCACTGTTCCTGTGTGTAGTGGTTACCCCGGTGAGTAGAGGGGTTTCTACCGCCAGAAGGCGTCCTTCTCCGGAAATTGTGAGGGGTATTACAGCATTCCAGGTAGTCATCCAAGTAGAGAAACTCTTAAAAGAGCTAGTAGTGATAGCTTTATAGCAGTCTCCCCCTAAAAGAGACAAGACTCTAGATTGAGGGTAGAGTAAGATCTGAATTTTAATGGAGACACACTAGCCTTTTATGCAGGTTTCCCAACAAGGGTGATACCCAGGTGGACCTTGTTGGTCACAGGGACATAAGGTAAACAAACCAATAAAAAACGAGTTTTACATTGAGAAAAATACAGAATACACAATCCTTCCCCTCTGCTTAGGAGATAATTGAGTTAATTACTGTATCAACTCAATTGTCTCCAAACGAAAAAGACAAGTTTTTCCACATTTTTGGAAACACCCCAAAAACATATGAGAACCCCATAAAACATACATCGCCTGATAGCCCCGATCTGGGGGAACAACATACTTAAAAATCACCTAGATCGATTCAGGGGTTCAAAAGTTAGCTGGAAGTCTCTTTTTGACCGACCGCACACATGGTTGCATGCCCAAACTAGTTCCAGAGAATTACGCTGTGCGGCCAGTCTATTTCGAACAGTCTAAGTAATGTTCAAATAGTCGAACTGAGCCGTTCGTGCACATAGGTAGTGAGTGTAGTTGGTTCGGTAGATTGTGTCTACCGACCAGTGCTCCATTTGTGCAATTCCCATCGAACCTAACGGGGGAGTGGAAGTCCCAGCGATGTTCGTGCCGTCGAGTGTTCCGATTCTAGTTCCATGCACTCGACGACAAAACATCGCTGGCCGCATTCGTATTTCAAGATGGCCGCCGCTACGTGTTCGTGCATACAAACGTCGACCACTTAGAAAGTTTGGGTGTTTGTGGTTTTAGAGATGTTAAGAAGGTCAATGAGGTTAATAAGTGCCACGCTCCCGGTTTGAGTGGTCGGTCGTTCGGTAGTTCTTTCGGTATTCGAACGGCCAAGGATAAAATAAGGCAGACTGTGTTCCATTCGAACGGGTAAACGAACAAAGTGTATAAACTTTACATTTTAAGGACAGAGGGTCTGTCACACTGTAAAGCTCCCTTCCTTTCTCCGTTAGATCCTCACCCAGTCTCCACTCCTTCAAAAAATCATTAAAAACTTACTTCTTCATGAAAGCGTATCAATTAAACTGTTACTAGCTCCCCCACCGCATCCTGATTACTCTCCTGCAACTGTCATTAAAAAACACTCTAAGTCTTCAGTGAATACTATTCTACAAATCTACTTTTCTACCCCTACCCCTACCTTTTCTATCACTTTACCCCACTCACCCCTAGCATGTTAGCTCATTGAGCAGAGCTCTCAACCCCTCTGTTCCTGTGTGTCCCACTTGTCTGGTTACAATTTTGTGTTTGTTAGCACCCATTGTATAGCGCTGCGGAATTTGTTGGCGCTATATAAATCATAATAACAGTCATTCAACGCACAGCCATATTATATTTGTGCCAATTGACACAGGTTCAGCAAAGAACTGACTGAGAAGAGGGGGAAAAGGTTCAGCAAAGAACTGACTGAGAAGAGGGGGAAAAGGCTGTTTTTATAACCTCTGATTTCACAGAAATTTAGGCATTGGCTATCAATTCTGCTAGCACTATATGTAGATGAAATTTTATTCACTATTTTTGTCACAATTTGTAGAAGGGAACCCATACATACAGAACCTAAAATACTGGTATAGAAGCTGTATTACTGTGTTTTAAAGGAACACTATAGGGTCAGGAACACAAACATATATTCCTGACTCTATAGGGTTAAAACCACCATCTAGCCCCCCTGCCCCCTCATGCCTCCCTAAATATAATACAGTCCTACTTGTATTCAAGTAGCTGCTTGCTTTGAGCCTGTTTCCTTTAAACCTGCCCACTTCCTGCTGACATCAGTAGAATTGGTAGCCTGATCTAATCACAATGCTTCCCCATAGGATTGACTGAGACTGACAAAGAGACAGATCAGAGGCAGAGCCAGCACAATTCAAACACAGCCCTGGCCAATCAGCATCTCCTCATAGAGATTAATTGAATCAATTAATCTCTATGAGGAAAGTTCAGTGTCTGCATGCAGAGGGAGGAGACACTGAATGTTTGGATGCATTTTAGGCAGCCATGACCCAGGAAGGATCTCTAACAGTCATCTAAGGAGTGGCCAGTGAAGTTATCACTAGGCTGTAATGTAAACACTGCATTTTCTCTGAAAAGACAGTGTTTACAGCAAAAAGCCTGAAGGTAATGATTCTATTCACCAGAACAAATTCAATAAGCTGTAATTTTTCTGGTGACTATAGTGTCCCTTTAAAGTCTAGAGTAGTCAAAGTAGAAAAAGCCGGGGTCAAGGAAAAGAGAAATGAGGTAAACGGTAGACAAGCCAAACTTCAAGAACACGGAGAGTAGAATAAACAAATAACAAGCCCAGGTCAGTAACAAAATTACTCAGAAATAGATATGCACTATTGGGCCAAACAAGAACCACAACAAAGCAATTTTGACAAAAAAGGGAAATAAATAAGTCCCATGCCCAACATTAATTGGTTGGCGTCATTTAGGGCAGAAAGACTGCCGAATTTGTTTCTTTGCTAATTCGTTCGGTTCAGTCGAATGGCCGCTAGGTGTCATGCCATTCAAACATTGGAGCGATCGAACATAGAGAGGCGCCCACAAGCAGCATCTCTCTCTCTATTGGAGAGGTGAACTGGGGCTTTGGAGCAGGTAAGTATTACAATTATTAAACTGGTTAAACTGTTTGTCATGACAGGTGTCATTACTTGTTTAAAGTGCTTAACCTTACACAGAGTTATAAAGGACACAATATTATCCAGTACCATTGCTACTAAATTGCAGGGACTCTTTAGTTCTTGCAATCACTTTTTTACCAGATGACACTGTATGTCTAGTTCCACTTTATTAAGAAAATTTTGAATAAAGAGATTTTATTTATTTATTTATTTTACTGAAAACGAGCAGTGGTGAGAATATTTCAGGAATGCATATTCTTATGTTTCTTTTTTATAGCTTGAGGGAAACAAAGGATCCATTTCCATAGTGTCATAAAATACATTTTTATACTAGGAGTGCTTGAAAATGTTTACGAGTTAACCCAGAACCCTGCTTTGATGATCTGCAGTCAATTTATCAAGAACATCCAACCAATAATCTGATATGAGTTTATGTGTTTTACAAAACAGACCAAATTAAGTAAAAATTGTTTATTTTTAGTCATTTCCAATGATTACCTGGCCTTTCTTTATTGAAACATCTGTTACTTAATGTTTAATATTTTGTGTGTTTTAAGCACCGCAGCTATTTCTATTCATTGCAGTGGCTATAGTACAACATTTCTTTGGATGCTGTATTCCAGTTTGCATCAACACTTTTTTGAGTAGTTTAACAAAAAATGTAGGGTCTTCTGACACGTAAAGTCCATAGCCCAACCTTTCTGCTGCAGCTCAGCAAATTTGGATATTAATTACTAATTGAAAGTGCAATTATGTAGTAGTTGTAGTGCTTAAATCGTCTTTAAGGGATTGTCCCAGTCTCCTCCTCAGAAAGTATCAATAAAAGCTGAAACATTGCTAGTAATTGAGGTCTGTTTCAAAACCAATAACCCAATATATATTTCCCATCACTTACCTGAGGACCTTGACCTCTTATTAGTACAATTTTAAAGTGTATCTGTAATCTACAAAATATGTTGACGATAAGATCAACTTCAGGTATGGCTGCTTTTAACGTGTTGTCTTGGCATAATTGCTAATAAATATAGCTTTCAAGATACACTTAACCTGAAGATCAGTTTTATTTTCTACAAGATAGGTCGGTTGCAATAGGTGTCATAGATGAATACACATTTTCATTCCCCCCACCCAAAAAAATGCAGAAAATAAAATAATGAAAAAAAGTATTCTGTAGCCCCTATTGCTTAGTATGCACATTCACATACTTACGTATGCCTCATTTGGGACCAGTGGTGTCTTGTTTGTATTTCTTGTAATACCATTATGACAACATATAAAAACCTGAAGGGGTCAAACCCATGCCAGGTCACCTATAGGGTGACTTTAATAAAACAAAATTGAAGAGAAAAAAAATAATAACATAAATAATGCATTTGCTAGCAATTTGCAAATCACAATGTTTACATGAAATGTACCTATATTTCATGAAAAATAAATTTTAAATGTTTGTTACTTTTTTTATTCTGTTAATTGTTTTAAGTAACAAGCTCTTTCTAAATAATATGTTTTAGAATTTCTTTCCTTTTCATTGTGTAGTTTGGCTGAAGTTTTCTCTTTCGTTTCCAGGATCTCTCAGTTTCAGCGATCCCTTGCTGCAGTGGATTGTGTGGGAAATCCAAACGAATTGCTACCGTGGACCTATCGGAATTTGCTGTAAGTCATGACGTGGTTTTCAATAGAATAAACTCCCCAGGAGACTTGGACACGTTTTGCTCTCCCAAGAGGAAAGTTAAATGAATGTGAGAAAAAAACATAGCAAAAAAAGAATGGTAAGGATCTTGTTTGCCAGAACTGATTTTAACAGAGTCTGTTACTGGGAAAAAAATTATATCAGAGCTGCTACATGAAAGGAAAGAAAACCTATTTATAGCACCCGCGTCTTTATTTTTATTAGTCCGTTTACTAGTGTTATGTTTGCATACACTTTAGAACACTGTTACCCTGAGATACAACTGGGGGTTATTTATAAAGCAATTGAGGAGAAGAGTTCTAAAAGTGAAACTATCACCATGGAAACCATGGAAACCAATAGAACATTCCTGCTGATTACTCTGCTTTTAGAACTTTGCCCTAGATTGGATCGCTTTTTATAAATAATCCCTATTATGCACAAACGCGGTTTTAATTATTTTCTTACAGATTGGTTTTTTTTGTGGCAAGCCACTACAGTATAAAATACCATACAGTCGTCGACATCTCCCCCTGCACATATAGTTTATTTATCTTTTACAAGTAAATGTGACAGCTGCATTCATTTTTTATTTTTTTTAAAAGCACATTTTCCATGAACCCAGGTTTGAATTGACCCTGACTAAGGCCCAACGGGATGCTGAGCCTGTATTCTTGTTGTATGCAGTGTATGCATATTCTGGTAGTGTTGAACTCCTATAGCTCAATTAGTTAATTTGTTCTTTTTATATAGATTTTTTTTTTTAATTCTTTATTTATATAGTGCATCAACATTATTGTTGAATGGGTAAGGCAGTGGCTGAGTGACAGGCAACAGCAGGTTGTAGTCAATGGAGTATATTCGAAGCATGGTCTTGTCACCAGTGGGGAACTTTAGGGATCTCTACTTGGATCCATTTTCGTTAATATTTTTATTAGTGATATTGCAGAAGGTCTCGACGATAAGTATGCCTTTTTGCTGATGATACTAAGATATGTAACAGGGTTGATGTTCCAGGAGGAATAAGCCAAATGGCAAATGATTTAGGCAAACTAGAAAAATGGTCAGAGTTGTGGCAGCTGACATTTAATGTAGATAAGTGCAAGATAATGCATTTTGGATGTAAAAACCCAAGGGCAGAGTACAGAATATTTGATAGAGTCCTAACCTCAACATCCCAGAAAATGGATTTAGGGGTAGTTATTTTGTTACCGGGTAACACTTAAAGAAGCCACTATATATAGGATGAGGTAGAGGGAAAAAATGCCTAAAAAAATCATAATATAAACAAATAACAAGTTAGACCTGTGCTGCAGATACTCCACACTGAAATCCCAACAGTGTATATACAACTAAAAAACAAACACGAGTCCTGCGCATCCAGCATAGGTGTGCACACCCAGGTGCTACCACAATTTATTTGAGGACAAAGTTAAAGCAAACGTTTCGAGCAACAGCCCTTTCTCAATGCTAATGTCTTGCTAATGTACTTAAAGAAGCCAAGTACAAAGAGTTGGACGCAGGTCTGTTCAGGAAGTAAAGGTCTTTATTCTAACCGATTGGGTCTCAGCTGAACTCTTGTCCAAAATGTCTGAGCAATGAGCACATGGTGTAGAGGCTTTTTATATGCTACACATCCCCCATCTGTACCCTTACACCAATCAACAAACAGGATCTACAGGATCACCTTATGCAGCATGGATACTTAGAAGAATGGAATGTGGTTTCAGTTCTTGCACATGCTCAGTACAATAATGACAGTCTCTAGCATGTAACTTGATACAACAGATACTTGTACTTGTATAAGCCACATGGAGATTTTAGGCCTATTAAATTTTGGCATAGCTGAAATCCCATCACATTCCCCCCTTTGATGCCTCTGATATACAATTATTCCAGATGCATCACTTAACATAATTTGCCAACACCACTCAAGTAACCACGAAACAGTAAAGACCATGTGAGCATGCTAGCTTAATTTTACGATCTCTCAACACTCATCGACCTGATTATCAATGACGGGCTAGAGGTTCAAATCTCCAGATGGCCATTACATGTGCTGCTGTCTTCCTTTCTATGGTGCTCTCAATAACACTACATATAGATCGAATTACTAATGGAATCAGGCAAGGCAGGAAGATGCATAAGAAAATAATAAATACTACTCCTCCTACCAGTGCTTTAATCCCTCCAAACTTATTCATACCAGCTCCCAAACCAACTACTTGGATTATACCCATTCCAGATCTGAGTAGGTACGTGCGTTAATTTAACCATGTGGCTGGTAAAGTCAACCATAGCCTGTCCTTCATCATCTATATGCAGGCAGCAATTACTAAGATTAAACTTTCCGCACACACCTCCTTCTACTGCTAATAAATAGTCAAGAGCCAGCCTATTTTGGTAAATGGCTGACCTCATGCCGGTATTCTGTTTTGCCAGAAGATTAAGTGCTTCAGCTGTCTCATTGGTTATAATCTCAACCACTGCCTGTAATCTTATGATGCGGTTGAGCATGTATATGGGGGTTCGGTAACCATAAGTACCATCTTCAGCCCAGGTAGCAGGTCCATAGTAATTAATAATTCGCTGGGGTGGCCATTCGTCATCTTCCCAATTACCTATTTTTAACGATTCTCGCCTCTTTCTATGGTTTATATCATATACCTTAACTCCCAAGGTCTCTTCTGTTTCGATTGGTAACAAGAAGAAGAATGGTTTGAGCATACCTAGCACACATGCCCCCTCCCAATCTGGTGGTAATACTGAATATGCCTTCTTACCACAAATCCAGTACAAATTTTCTGGGGCTCTCCAGTTAGATGTAGCCGATAGATCAAACCATACCTCTCTTAAATTAGTGTAATTAGCAAAAGGATTATTAGGTTCTGAGACATTTGAAGCTGACCACCAGGTGGTATTATGGGTACTAGCATTATATGCCTTCTGCCCTAGACAAATTAACCCGCCTACAGGTGTATTATACATTGGACCTCCCCTTGCTACGCATACATGACCTATTATGGATGTTTTTAACTGCCATTCCGATTTTTCCCGTATGCTTACTTGATGGCTAGATTGGGAAGGCGTCTGTTGCTCATTTGTCTCAGAACCTGGGTACCATACTTCTCTTGCCTCCCATGGCCAGAGGCGGCTCTAGACTTTATGAGGCCTTAAGCGAAACTCAAACATGAGGCCCCACTAACCAAAAAGTGAAGAAAATAGTTGATAGGCTTTTAAATGAACCAAATCAGCACCATTTACATTCCAGTTAGGATCCGTATTAGGAAAATGGGCAGTAGCCGAAGCCGCTGGGTTTGCTTGGTTTTGGGTACAGGCAGTCTCCTCAAGAGCCTTACGGATCCTTTCCTCAGAATTAAAAAGAGTTAATAATAGCTGCTGACAATCAGCCCAAGTTGTGAGTTTGTATGATTGATGTGACCAAATCAGTCATAGCTTGCTGTTTTTTCCATGTATGAGGGGTTATGGGTTTTCCAATTAAACGGATCGGTATTTTTAAAGGCAACATATACACATACAGGGTCTCAGTCTCCCAATTGCAACTGGCCATTGCCCTCAATGTGTGTTGGGCCAGGTGTAAATCAGAGAGGCATCTGTAAATGCCAGATTGGTGGGTACCAGTAATCCTACATATTAAAACCAGACTACGGACATTTATAGCATTAGGTGGGTGGAGGAAGGTAAATTAAGCATCTCAGTTTGTATTTTAGTAAAGGGGGATATCTTGGACAAGGCTGGGAGGGGCCCATCCAGTAACTAAAAAAGGGTAAAAGTGTATTGCAGCGTCTTATAGCATTGATCATTTCTTTCCAGTTGTATTTTAGACTGTTACTGTTACTGAAGGCACACAGGGCTCAGTAGTTATAGTGCTATGTCAGTGATTATGGTACAAAGTCATTGCTGAGAATTATCTGATCTAATGGACTCAGTTACTGTTATTAAGAATTCTCCTCACAATTTTGACTGTTAATAAAATTCAATAATAAAATATGCTAAAATACACTCCTACCAAAAAGGGAGTCAGTTTAGAATACAAAGAACCAGTGGGGGTAGGTACAGAAATAGGAGGGCTTAAAGCTATATAACTGGCATCTAAGATAGGTATGTGGGTAGGCGGGGACAATAGAGCTGGGGGAGTGCACACACCAGTTTTAGCTTGGGAGGAAGAGTAGGGGGTTGGTAAAGGGAGATATTCAGGGGGAGTGTCCAAACTAGGTGGCGTTAAGGCCTTAGTGGACAAACAAGTTCTGGCAACCATGAGGTTGCATTGTTCCTTGTGGCACAGCTTGATCCATTTAGGCAGTGTTTCAACAATCTGTTTCCAACTGTCGATACGGAAACTGATCATAAAATTCCAGCCTATTAGTTACAACTGTATAAACCTGCTACACTAAATCTGGGTCAAGACTACCACAGGACCACTGGTTACCAGAACAGGCTGTTCTCTGCTACACAAAGTATTTTAATCTTTTGGGGGACAGTGTTACTCCATAATCACAAACAGCATATCCCTTAGCAAAGTTCTTTACAAGACAAAGGACCAACAGTTTGTGAATCAGAAGCAAAGAGAGTCTGATTCAAAGCAGTACAAATATTACAAACACAATTGACACACAAATCTCCTTATCACTTACACCACGTGGCGCAGTTACCAGGCCAAAACACACATATACACGCACGCACAGGATCCTCACACGGTTCACAACATTACGACATCTCACACATACAAAACAAAATCAAAACCCACCAAAAACTATACAATTATCAATACAGTTATAAATCAAATCATACAATTATCTATACAGTTAATCAACATAAACTATCAGAACGCATAACATTGCAACAATTTTGTATCAACGGTCAGTGGTTATGGTACTGTCAGTGGTTATGGTACTATAAAGTAGTTATGGTACCATTAAGTAGTTATGGTTTTGTGATTACAATGTCAGTCAGTATTTATAATATCGTGATTATAATGTCAGTAGTTGTGGTATCAGTCAGTTGTTATGGTGCATAATTAAACACTATCTGCACTTTACAAGTCCGCTAAACAGCAAAGCTCAAACTTTAGCAAGACATACATATTACAAACTAGAGCGTATCTATACAATATTTACATCAGCCCAACTAATATTCTAAACTGGACAGCACCTCGAGATCTAGCAAAAGGAATTTACAACAGGGTCCGACTAGTCTACGCTGTCCAGGCACCACGATCTAGTGAACGGAATTTACACCAGAGTTCACTTAGTCTAAATACTTTGAGATCTAGCGAAAGGGATTTACAAAAGAGTTCGCTTAGTCTCCACGTTCCAGTATCCACGATCTAGTGAAAGGAATTTCACTTAGTCTAGATACCGGAGTCCAAATGAACATATATACACCAGAATTCAGCCAGACAAACAGACCCTATGCTAAACGGGCTAGCTACAGAGCGTTTAGCGTCAGACGGTGTACCTTCGTCTCTTCCCCACATGCGGGGAGGTCAGTCAGATACAGATTTTATCCCTAGAGGGTTACTTTAAGTTCCTGGACCTGGGTTCACACTTCATCGACGGGACACCCCGATACTCACTGTGCAGAAACCGATGTTCTCCTGGACAAAAAGGCCAGTGGTGCCGAGACGAAGGGAGGTCCACGCAGTAACAGTCCAGGGGTATTGCCGTGGAAGAATGGGTAAGATTTCACCATCTCGGGAATCTCTGCCCTTGGCTTCTCAGACCAATGCACCAGATATGTTACCGGGTAATACTTAAAGAAGCCAAGTACAAAGAGTCGGACGCAGGTCTGTTCAGGAAGTAAAGGTCTTTATTCTCACCGATCGGGTCTCAGCTGAACTCTTGTCCAAAATGTCTGAGCAATGAGCACATGGTGTAGAGGCTTTCTATATGCTACACATCCCCCATTTGTACCCTTAAGGCATGTGCATAGGGAAAATTTTCGGTTTGGTTCGGCATTCCAAAATTCGGGACTTTCGCAATTCGGGACTTCAGCAATTCGGCACTTCAACACTTCAGAACTTTGGCAACTTCGGAACTTCAGCACTTCGGGACTTCGGAAATTCTGCAACTTTGACACTTCGGAACTTCGGAATTTCCGAACATCAGCATTTCGGAATTTCGGGACTTCGGGACTTCTTTTGCAGCCGCTTAGTAGATAACTCTCTAATTCCCACGTTATTAGGGAGTTATCTACCAAAAGGCTGAAAGACCTAAATTGGTCTTTCAGCCAAATTTACTAATATTAAGTATAGCCCCTACTCGCTATACCATAAGAAGGGGCATGTCTATTAAAAAGTGAGCAGCCTATAGCTGCTCACTGTTAAAAAAAACAAACAAAACATAGGGTCCCCCCTCCCGAGCCTATTGCCCCCCTCCCGAGCCTGTGTGCGGCAGGTGGGGGCCCTACAGTAAAATAAGAGGGGAGGAACCAAATGTCCTCCCCCCTGGCCCCCACCCCTGAGCGGTGGGTGGGGGCCCTAAATACTAATAAGTATAATAAATACTAATAAGGGGGGACCTAATGTCCTCCCCCCTGGCCCCCACCCGGCTTAGCCGGAATAAGGGGGGGACCTAATGTCCTGCCCCCTGGCCCCCACCCCTGAGCAGTGAGTGGGGGCCCTACAGTAAAATAAGGGGGAACCTAACGTCCTCCCCCCTGTCCCCCACCGCTGAGCAGTGGGTGGGTGCCCTAAGTACTAATAAGGGGGGGACCTAATGTCCTGGCTCCCACCCTGAGTGGCAGGTGGGGGCCCTAAATACCAATGGGGGGACATTTTGTCCTCCCCCCGGCCCCCAACCCCTGAGCGGCGGATGGGGGCCCTAAAAAAAAGTTACCCCCAGGTGACTAGGGGTCCTCAAACCCCTAGTCGCCCCCTCCCCCCCAAAAAAAATTAACCCCCTACCTACACCCCTCACCCTAAAAATAATGAGGGGGGACCTTTAACTCTTCTTAGTTCCCCCCTCTTATTAGTATTTAGGGCCCCCACCCACCGCTCGAGGGTGGGGGCCAGGGGGTAGGACATTAGGCCCCCCCTTATTAGTATTTAGGGCCCCCACCCACCGCTCAGGGGTGGGGGCCAGGGGGAGGACATTAGGTCCCCCCTTATTCCAATTTAGGGCCCCCACCCGCCGTTTAGGGGTGGGGCGAGGACATTAGGTCCCCCCTTATTAGTATTTAGGGCCCCCACCCACCGCTCAGGGGTGGGGGCCAGGGGGAGGACGTTAGGTTCCCCCCTTATTTTACTGTAGGGCCCCCACCCACCGCTCAGGGGTGGGGGCCAGGGGGGAGGACATTAGGTCCCCCTCTTATTAGTATTTAGGGGCCCCACCCACCGCTCAGGGGTGGGTGTCAGGGGGGAGGACATTAGTCCCCCCCCAGGCAATTTTTTTTTTTAACAGTGAGCAGCTCACTGTTTACTAGACATGCCCCTACTCAGGGGCGGGCTGGGCCGGGGGGCAGGGAGGCAATTGCCCCCCAGGCCGCCCTAAATTCCTGTAAGGCCGGCCGCGGCGGGCCGGCCCTTTAAATACTGCAGCCGCCTGAGCGCTCTGTTAAGAGCCTCAGGCGGCTGCAGCTTCTCCCCTCCCCTCCCCTCCCTCCCCTGTAGCGTGGCCGAGCTGCACTCCGGTCCGCGGTGGCCGGCCAGCCGGCCGGAGTGATAGGAGGGTGCACACTGAGTGTGCACTTCCTGTCAGTCCGGCCGGTTACAGGAAACAGAAACTCCTGTTCCGCGCGGAGTTTCTGTTTCCTGTTACCGACTGGACTGACAGGAAGTGCACACTGAGTGTGCACCTTCCTATCACTCCGGCCGGCCGGCCACCGCGGACCGGAGTGCTGCTCGGCCACGCTACAGGGGAGGGGGTAAGAAGAGAGGGAGGAGGGGAGGGGGTAAGAAGAGGGGAGGGAGGGGAATAAGAAGAGGGGGGAATAAGAAGGGGGGATAAGAAGAGGGGAGGGGGGATAAAGAGGAGAGGGGAATAAGAAGAGGGGAGGGGGTAAGAAGAGGAGGGGAATAAGAAGGAATAAGAAGGGGGGATAAGAAGAGGGGAGGGGGGATAAAGAGGAGAGGGGAATAAGAAGAGGGGAGGGGATAACAAAGAGGAGAGGAACAAGTAAGAAGAGGGGGGAGTAAGAAGAAGAAGGGGGTGTAAAAAGAAGAAGGGGGTGTAAAAAGAAGAAGAGGGGGTAAGAAGAAGAAAGGGGAGTAAGAAGGAGGGGAGATAAGAAAAAGAGGGGGTAAGAAGAAGAAGGGGGAGTAAGAAAGATGGGAGTAAGAAGATGGGGGAGTAAGAAAGAGGGGAGTAAGAAGAAGAAGAGGGGAGTAAGAAGAAGAAGAGGGGGGAGTAAGAAGAAGAGGAGGGAGGAAGAAGAAGAGGAGGGAGGAAGAAGAAGAGGGGGGAGTAAGAAGAGGGAGAGGGGGAATAAGAAAAGGGGGAGGGCGGAGTAAGAGGGAGAGGGGGAATAAGAAAAGGGGGAGGGCAGAGTAAGAAGGAGGGGAGATAAGAAAGAGGGGGGTAAGAAGAAGAAGAAGGGGTGAGTAAGAAAAAGAGTGGGGAGTAAGAAGAAGAAGAGTGGGGAGTAAGAAGAAGAAGGGGGGGTAAGAAGAAGGGTGAGTATGAAGAAATGGGGGGAGTAAGAAGAAGAAGGGGGAGGAAGAGGAAGAAGAAGGGGTAAGAAGAAGAAAGAAGAAGAAGGGGGGTTAAGAAGAACAGGTGGGGGAGTAAGACGACCAAGGGGGGAAGTATGAAGAACACAGGGAGGAGGGGGGTAAGACGAACACAGGGGGTGTGAGGAGAACACATAGAGGGAGGAGTGAGAAGAGCACAGGGAGGGTGGGTGAGTGTGAGAAGAGACCGCTAGGGGAGGGTGGGGGAGAGGAGAGACCACTAAGGTGCAGGGGAGAGCTCTACGGGACAGAAGGGGCAGCTCTATAGGACAGGGGCCAAGACAGGGAGCTCTTTCACACTACGCGCGCGCGCACACACACACACACACAATGCATCCCTATACATACACAGAAACACAACATGCTTCCCTTACACACAGAGAAACACACAATGCATCCATTACACACACACACACAATGCAACCCTTACACACAAAGACAATGCATCCTTTGCACACATACACAGAAACAGACAATGCAAACCCGTACACACATATGCAAACACACACACTTCTTTTCTTACATACACACAGAAACACAATGCATCTCTTACACTCAATGCACACACATACAGACACACACCTTGCATCCCTTATGCATACAAACACAGATTCACACAATGCATCCCTTACACACAACCAGAAACACATAATACATCCCTTATACACAAATACACACTGCTTCCACTACACACAAACACACTACATCACCTGCACAAACTGGTAACCCTATACACTACATACCATAAGCACACATATTAGATCCTCTACAATAACACATAACACATCCCCTACACACTCCACTCCCTGTGAGCGAACTCATGGGTGAGTGGAACTTATGAGTGGGCCTTATGGGCATACTCACCGTCAGGCCCTGGGGCCCAGACCTTGAGCTGTGTAAGGGGCCCCAAAAAATGGAGCTGCTTCCAATTCTCCCAGAACATTGAATTTTGTGACCACAGCTGCAAACAGCCTCCAGAGATCCTGTTCTACACCAGACCAGTGGAGCCAAACTGCAGCCCATCATCATCCTCATCTGCTTGTAAGTAGGCAATCTAGTATATTATTAGTGACACTAATCTATAATGTACCTCACATTAAAGGGACACTATAGCTTAATGAAGTGGTTCTGGTGTCTATAGCTGGTCCCTGCAGGCTTTTTAATGTAAACACACACTGTGTGCAGCACTGGCGTTAGTTCATATGGGTGGGGCATTGTGATGTCACATGGGGGGGCAGCAAATTTTTATTTTGTCTAGGGCGGCAAAAATCCTTGCACCGGCACTGATCCTGGGCAGGTGCACCAGTCTACTGGTGACCCACAGGAGGGGAGTGCACTGATTGCACTGCACTCTCCTCCTGTCCAGCCCCATCTTTACCGCAGTGCAAGTGCCCTCTGCCCCTAATTTACAGTGGCTCACACTCACAACAAGCAGTGCCTGGAGCCGTGAAGGAGCGGGTATGGCAAAGAGCTACTGATTAGCATAACATCAATATCCGTTATAAAACCAGGAAGAGGTGGGCATGGATGGTGAACTGATTTGGTGGTGCAATGGGCCACTTGACTGGTTTTGCCCCCCAGGCCTAAGGCTGCCAGCCCTCCCCTGCCCCTACTCGTGGTATAGCGAGTAGGGGCATAATTTACTAATACTAAGTAATCTTTACTTAGGATTAGTAAATTTTATTGAAAAAACAATTTAATTCTTTCAGCCTTTTAGTAGATAGCTCCCTAATACCGTGGGAATTAGGGAGTTATCTACATATTCATTCCTGTCATTACATGACTGGCTAAAAAACTTACATTTTATATGAATGTATGTTACTTGATTGTTGTAAGTGTTGCAAATGCTTACAGCCGAATCCTGGCTATGTTTGTATACTTTTTATTTAAAATTGTATACAATATAACATTCTTCTTCTTTCACTGGGTAAGTATATGAGTACTTAGGCAATACTGTGCTCTGGAATTTCGGCACTTTGGAACTTCGGCAACTTCGGCACTTCAGCACTTCAGAAATTCGGTAATTTCAGAACTTCGGGACCTCGGCAGTTCGGACATTCGAAAGTACCCGAATGTCCGAATTGTCCGAAATTCGTACGAATTCACATTCGGACCGAAACTAATTGCACATGTCTAGTACCCTTACACCAATCAACAAACAGGATATACAGGATCATCTTTTATGGCTAGGCAGCATGGATACTTAGGAGAATGGAATGTGGTTTCAGTTCTTGCACATGCTTAGTACAATGATGACAGTCTCTACCTACATGTAACGTGTAACAACAGATTCAACAGATGCTTGTAGTTGTATAAGCCACATGGAGATTTTAGGCCTATTAAATTTGGCGTAACTGAAATCCCATCACAATTTCAGATGACTTAAAGGTAGGCAGACAATGTAATAGAGCAGCAGAAAATGCTAGCAGAATGCTTGGCTATTTAGGGAGAGGTACGAGCAGTAGAAAAAGGGAAGTGTCCATGCCATTGTACAGAACACTGGTGAGACCTCACTTGGAGTATTGTACGCAGTACTGGAGACCATATCTCCACAAGGATATTGATACTTTGTAGAGAGATCAGAAAATGGCTACTAAACTGGTTCATGGATTGCAGGATAAAACTTACAAGGAATGGTTAAAGAATCTTAAAGGACCACTATATTGCCAGGAAAACAAACTCGTATAATGAAAATCACAGTGAGAAGCGCGGAAGCGCCTTTAGCGGCTGTCAATGAGAAAGCCACTAGAGGCTGGATTAACCCTAATGTAAACATAGCAGTTTTTTTGTCTGAAATTATCAATCTATGTTTACAGCTGCAGGGTTAACCCTAGATGGACCTGGCACCCAGACCACTTCATTGAGCTAAAGTGGTCTGGGTGCCTATAGTGGTCCTTTAACATGTATAGCTTGAAGGAAAGACGAGACAGGAGGGATATGATAGAAACATTTAAATACATAAAGGGAATTGACACAGTAAAGGAGGAGACTACATTTAAAAGAAGAAAAACTACCACTACAAGAGGACATAGTCTTAAATTAGAGGGGCAAAGGTTTAAAAATAATATCAGGAAGTATTACTTTACTGAGAGGGTAGTGGATGCATGGAATAGTCTTCCAGCTGAAGTGGTAGAGGTTAACACAGTGAAGGAGTTTATGCATGCGTGAGATAGGCATAAAGCTGTCCTAGCTATAAGATAAGGCCAGGGACTAATGAAAGAATTTAGAAAATTGGGCAGACTAGATGGGCCAAATGGTTCTTATCTGCCGTCACATTCTATGTTTCCAGGGCCGGACTGGGAGAAAAATTCAGCCCGGGCATTTTTTTAGCACAGCGGCCCACTAAGAAGGGGGCAGGGCAGAGAGGGTGTGTTTCGTTATCACCAAAGACAAACACGCCCCCTCTCAAAGTGAGCGTTGGGTCAATGCTCTTCCAGGGCAGAGCTCTGCTAAAGAGCTCTAGCATGAGAAAAACAACAACCTGTATTTGTTCTGCACAGTGCAAGCAAATTTAATAACATGCTTGCACTGTGTTTCCTTGAAACTTGTCTCTGGTGTCTCTATAAATGGATACCAGGAGACAAAAGGACCAGGAAAGAGTATTGTGCATGTGTTTGGAGCCTGCTTGTGGGATTGTGTGTGTGCAGAGTGAGCTGGTCGTGGTGTGGTATTGTGTAATAAGGTCGGTTTTAGTCGTGTTGTGTTTGTGGTGTAATGTAATGCATATGTGGCTAGGAGCTGAAGAGAATGTGTGTATAGGGGATGTAGTAAATGTGTGCACACAGGCTATAGTGTGTGTGTGTATATAGGTGATGTAGTGTTTGTAGGGGTTGTAGAGAGTGTGCGTTTAGGGGTGTAGCATGTGTTTGTTTACAAGGAATCTAGTGTGTGTATAAGGGATCCAGAGTGTGTATGTTAGGAATGTAGTGTGTGTAGGTGGTGCAGTGTGTGTGTGTGTATACAGGAGTCTAGTGTGTGTTTGAAGGACCCAGAATGTGTATGAGATCTAGTGAGTGTGTGTATATAACGGAATCAGAGTGTATATAGGGATTTAGTGTGTGTATATGATCCATAGTTGGGTAAGGGATATAGTGTGTGTCTGGAATGTAATATGTTTAGGGGTGCAGTATGTGTGTGAGGGGTTCAGTGTGTGTGAAGGGTGCTGTGGTGTGTGTGTATATATATATATATATATATATGTTTGGAAGTATTGTATGTGTGTGTGTGTTTAGTGCAGTGTGTTGGGGTTCTGTGTGTATGTGTGAGGGGTGCAGTGGGTGTCTGTGAGGGGTGTAGTGTGTATGTGAAGGGTGCAGTATGTGTGTGTGATGGATGCTGTGTTTGAGGGGTGCTGTGTGTGATGATGCTGTGTATGATGTGTTTAAGGGTGCTGTATGTGGGTGCTGTGTGTGAGGGTGCTGAATGGGATGTGTGTGAGGGTGCTGAGTGTGATGTGTGTGAGACTGCTGAGTGTGATAGTGCTGAGTGTGATATGTGTGAGGGTGCTGAGTATGATGTGTGTGAGAGTGCTGTGTGATGTGTGTGAGACTGCTGAGTGTTATGTGTGTGATAGTGCCGAGTGTGCCGTGTGTGAGAGTGCTGAGTGTGTGAGAGTGCTGAGTGTGTGAGAGTGCTGAGTGTGAGAGTGCTGAGAGTGTGTGAGAGTGCTGAGTGTGAGAGTGCTGAGTGTGAGAGTGTGTGAGAGTGCAGAGTGTGTGAGAGTGCTGAGTGTGAGAGTGCTGAGTGTAAGTGCTGAGTGTGAGAGTGTGTGAGAGTTCTGAGTGCTGAGAGTGTGTGAGAGTGCTGAGTGTGAGAGTGTGTGAGAGTGCTGAGTGTGAGAGTGTGTGAGAGTGCTGAGTGTGAGAGTGCTGAGTGTGAGAGTGCTGAGTGTGATGTGTGTGAATGTTAAAAGTGATTGTGTGTTGGGAGGGTAAAAAAAACAACAACAAAAATGCATTATATCTTCCCCCCTTACCTTTAGCCTGGGAGGGGTCCGGCACGGTGGTATCTGGGAGGGGGGGGCGGCACTCATCATCCCTGGTGGTCCAGTGGTTAGTGAACTCCAGCCTGCGGGCTAGAGTTCACTCTCGCGAGATCCGGTCGTTGCCATGGCAACGCTCCGGATCTCGCGAGAGGAACCCGGCGGAGCTGCAAGATAGAGCTCCTCTGGGTCCTCTCCCTCCCCAGCCGCAGGTCTGTTTAAATGGGCCGGTGAGGGAGATCTTTGATCTCCCCACCGGCCCTCCATGGCAAACAGCGGGGCCGGCGCTCGGATAGTGCCGGCCCTGCATAGACCAGCAGGGGAGATCCTGAGACCTCCTCGGCCCATGGCCACCACGGCCCACCGGGCATTTGCCCGGTGTGCCCGATGGCCAGTCCGGGCCTGTATGTTTCTATATAAATACAATACTCAAATGTATATCTTTGTCTGTTTTTCACAAAAACAAGTATAATTTCATAGTAATTAAAAATTTCAGTGTTTTTTGCTACATTTATTGCATATTTCAAAGGCAGTTATCAATAATTCTGTTTTGCAATCTTTGTGCAGCTTTTTACATTGAACTTAAAAACAAGTTAATTTAATGAAATAGAACAAAATGAAAAAGGATGGGGAAGGAAGGGGGTGAAGGTCCACTGCAATGAGATGTTAATGTCACATGCACAGAAAGCGAGATTAAGTTGAAGTTGTGTATTTCCACCAAGGGTCCCAGGTCTTCTGGAATGAAGGCAGTGAGTTATACACCCTGTTCCAAATTATTATGCAAATGCTATTTTTCTCATTTACCTAAATAATTGATGTAAGTAACAGTCAGCATAATTTCAATCAACTATTAAGAGTGCAATTCAAATTTTATTGAACAAACCTCCTAATGAGAACATTATTTTTTTTAAACATAAAAAAACTTACAATGCACTGTTCAAAATTATTACGCACAGTAAGTTTCAAGACACTTTATAGGTTGTAAAGAACTGCAAATTGTCATTTGATGTGTTTTCAGCATATTTACTGAAATCAAAAGCTATTTCAATCAAACTTATAACAACATTTTAACTTTTTAAACATTTTAACAGGTCACGTTACATTTTAACATAGGACCCCTTATTTGATAGCAGCTTCACAAGTCTTGCATCCATTGAACTTGTGAGTTTTTGACAGTTTCTGCTTGAATTTGTTTGCAAGATGTCAGAATAGCCTCCCAGAGCTGCTGTTTGGATGTAAACTGCCTCCCACCCTCATAGATCTTTTGCTTGAGGATGCTCCAAAGGTTCTAAATAGGATTGAGGTCAGGGGAGGATGGAGGCCACACCATGACTTTCTCTCCTTTTATCCCCATAGCAGCCATTGATGCAGAGGTATTCTTTGCAGCATGAGATGGTGCATTGTCATGCATGAAGATGATTTTAGCATAAATTCTTCCTTCTGTACCAGGGAAGAAAGTGGTCAGTCAGAAACTCCACATACTTTGCAGAGGTCATCTTTACACCTTCAGGGACCCTAAATGGGCCGACCAGCTCTCTTCCCATGATTCCGGCGCAAAACATGACTCCACCACCGCCTTGCTGACGTCGCAGCCTTGTTGGAACAGGGTGGCCGTCCACCAACCATCCACTACTCCATCCATCTGGACCATCCAGGGTTGCACGGCACTCATCAGTGAACAGGACTGTTTGAAAATTAGTCTTCATGTATTTTTCTGCCCAATGCAGCCATTTCTGCTTGTGAGTATTGGTTAGTGGTGGCCGAATAGAAGGTTTATGCACAGTTGCAAGACTCTCGAGGACTCTACACCTTGATGTCCGTGGGACTCCAGAGGCACCAGCAGCTCCAAATAACTGTTTGCTGCTATGTAATGGTATTTTAGCAGTTGCTCTCTTGATCCGATGCATGGATCTGGCAGAAATCTTCCTCAATGTGCCTTTATCTGCACGAACCCATCTGTGCTCTGAATCAGCCACAAATCTCTTAATAGTTCGCTGATCACGCTTAAAGGACCACTCTAGGCACCCAGACCACTTCAGCTTAATGAAGTGGTCTGGGTGCCAGGTCCAGCTAGGATTAACCCTTTTTTTTATAAACATAGCAGTTTCAGAGATCATAGGCACTCTTAACTGTTGTCTCCAGCAGTGATGTCCACTCTCCCTGGCAGCATCTGGCTTCTGAATTTTCTGATTCAGGAAGTGTGGAGTACCACTGGGCAGGGGCACCTCTGATAGACTTAGAGCAGTCAGTTCATGCTCTCAGACAGTCAGAGACTTCCCATTCACAAAACTGGCTTCTCTTCAGCACTGTATGGCTCTGCTGCTGTTAAACTACTTTTAGTTTCTTCAAACAGGAAACCTTGGACTGTGGCAGATAGGGGTGCCGCTCATTGGTCAATCAGCAGCTCCTAGCACCATAACTTCCCTTTTATGAAGCTATCATGGTTCCCAGAGTGTTCATTTAATGTCCTTTGTACATCACAGAGGATTCTCTTGTGACATGTAACAGACCCTCTCATACATGCATTTTACTGTCCCACAACATGAGGGTCAAAGTATACACCCAACGTCAGTAAACTTCTTCACGACTTTCCAAGTCCATTCATTCCACATGTCATTTACACCCATTGCATCCCCATGTGAACTTAAAGAAGCACTATAGTCACCAGAACAACTACAGCTTATTGAATTTGTTCTGGTGAGTAGAATCATTACCTTCAGGCATTTTGCTGTAAATACTGTCTTTTCAGAGAAGATGCAGTGTTTACATTACAGCCTAGTGATAACTTCACTGGCCACTCCTCAGATAGCTGTTAGAGATCCTTCCTGGGTCATGGCTGCCTAAAATGCATCCAAACATTCAGTGTCTCCTCCCTCTGTATGCAGACACTGAACTTTCCTCGTAGAGATTCATTGATTCAATTAATCTCTATGAGGAGATGCTGATTGGGGCTGTGTTTGAATTGTGCTGGCTCTGCCCCTGATCTGTCTCAGCCAATTCTATGGGGAAGCACTCTGATTGGATCAGGCTACCATTTCTGATGATGTCAGCAGACTGCTTGTTTTTTTGAGGCAAACAGCATGCAGATCTACAGCTTCAGGATTGAATACAGTAAGATTTTCCTATATTTATGGAGGCATGAGTGGCCCAGGGGGGCTAGATGGTGGTTTTAACACTATAGGGTCAGGAATACATGTTTGTGTTCCTGACCCTATAGTGATCCTTTAACCTTCTCAATAGACCTAATTTTGTGTCATATCAGATTAGTAATTGTGTAGAGGAAAACGGTTACCTCACTAACTCTCACTACTGTGTAAACTGAAACAGGTCTTGCATGAAACAGATGTTACACATTTCTGTCACAGTGTTTTGATCATGCTACATTCGGTTAGTTCTGCTTTGTCTGTTCACTTTGATAACTTTTTCAATTACTTTTCTAGGAGGGGAGGGTCGGACCTTGGCATAGTAACTGAATGTAATATGGTTGGCCTCTGTTTGCAGCAAGCTATCCTCGATGGAGAATCTTTACAGAAACCCAGGTAAGTGCCATATTCTGACCATTGTGCAAAATTGTCTGTCTTCGGTAGATTGTCTACTCTATCTTTGTAAATATTTTTATTGCTAAATTTGTGCATCTTAGACAGACTGTCTTAGACAGACTACTTAGAAGGATATTTTTGGCCTCTTCCACCTTCTTGTGCAATGCTTAAATGCCTTCCATTAGGCACCCTTTTTCCCTGAGGACTGCTCCTAAAAAATGGGTCTTAACATTCTGGCAGCAGGTCAGCATTACAGTGAATGTTCTGCTGGTCTTGTCATCAATCCACTCATTTGCATCCTTATCGGAAGGCCTTATTTTCCTTGGGTGAAAAAAAAGCCTTGGTTTGATTATAATTCTCTCAGAACCCCGAGTTATATAAGTTGTTGGCTACACTAGCTTTCTTCAGTTGTCTTACATGGTAGAGTATTTTGAGCTTGTTTGCTTCTGCTGCAATAGTCTGGCTTCAGGAGGAACTTGACCTTTAATTAATGAGTATGCATATGAGATGCTTCTATGGCGCTTTCATCATTTTATGCATCTAGCTATGTTCTAATTTTGTATGACACTGGCCATATTCTGTTAGTAGCAGTGCTTTCAACCTAAATCTTGTAGTAACTAAATTGTGCTATTTTGTAATGTTACTAGTAAAATAAAAATTAAGAGTGGATGGGCAATTTAGCTTGAATAAAAAGAAAATTATATTTACCATGTTTAGTTTTTTCTGAATGAAACAATTTGTATCTGCCATAGTAGCAATACTTAAGCCCTTCATATTGCCACTTGTGTATACATAATTGCCATAATATGCATTCATACCCCGCAATCGTGTATACACGATTTGCATTATTGCAAATGAATTTTGTTTGCAAATTAAGCCTTTAGTAAGTCCTGAAAGTCACAGCTCAACAGCACTAAAAATCACCAAGCTGTGACCTTCACATAACTGGACATAGATAGTATCTCTCTCTGTGTCCTCCGACAGCCCAAGTAACAGAAGCACTGGAGAGGAGGGGGGGGGTAAGTTGTCAAAATGGCCAGAAGGTCATTCTCCCCTGCTATATTCACACTGAGGACAGCGGGGGATGAGATATGATAGCACATTCTCCCTGCTCACTGTAAAACATTGCAGGGGAGCTGCTGCTGGCAAACAATGGAGGGACAAACAGAGGGTGGCTGAAGGGGAGAGTTGAGGGAGGTAAGTGTCACCTGCAAATAAAACAAGCAGCAATATGTAGAGGCTGCACTGGGAAATACAGCCTCCTCACATACAAATCTGGACTAGCCACCTCCGTACCCAGGGCAGGGGCACCAGACCTAGCTGGGGTGTAGGGAAGGAATAGTTCTTCCGAAGCATCAGGAATCTGAGTCATACTGAAATACATATAGGTAAGCATCACATTCAGCAAAAACAACACAATCAGGTCTAACAAATGCCAAGTGGCAAAAAAATTCTATTAGCACAACGTGACCAGTGAGGCACTGCTAAGTGTCAAGCGGCTTGAGGGGCTCTAACTATGAGTTGGCCCGAGGGGAGGTAGAGGCCACTGAAACGCCAGTGGCGGGGACAATGGCCTCTCGGTGCCTACTAAAGCATATGATTGAATGGAAGTGTGATTTGAGGCCCTCCCTATGCATCAATGCGAGGTGAATAACTATGCGTTGGGCTGATGGCGTTGTCCTCCGAGCATGAGGGGTACATCTGAGCATGAGGATGGGTGTTAGCCTCGCGAGACCACTAGCTTACTGCAGAGAGCCAGAAACATAACCTATGTGGCCATCCCACGTCCCTACAGGCCAGTACTAACATCTAAAGGAGAAAAAACAAAGGAGGGTAGGGTAAGACATAGGGCGTCCTGATGTCGTACTTGTGCTGGGTACATTCGGTAACTGAGATTCACAGCAGAATAAATGCGAAAGGTAGGAGAGGACACGTGAGAAAGTAACTGAGTATGAGATAGGTACGTACATGCATACATGTGCCAGATCGTGGACCTGAGCACTTTAAACCTACCCCAATCCTAGAAGTGAGGGGGCCACACAGTGGGATGCAGCCACGAATGAGAGACCCCGATAAATGAGCCCGTCAGGTGGTATGTTCACCTAGAGAAACATAAGACGTTAAACGAACAAACAGGAGAAAAAGGACCAACAGAACCCAATCACCAACCTAAAACAGACCAGACACAGACACAGGAATGATCCCCACACAATAGGTCATGAGACGCCCCTGTGGGTAGAATACCAAAATACATGAGATGCGGCCATAATAACATGACAGATTTACCAGTAAGAAACAATGCATTCAAACAGACAGGTATAGTAGTGAAACACCATCGAATGAAATCTTCAACGTGGCCAGCAGGGGTCACCGGAGCACCCCAACAACAGCCGGCCTGGGTGCAGCAAATTAACATACAAACACCCAGACCGGATAGCCACCACAGGAGAAAAACGTGCGAACGGCCCCTACCAGGACGTGGCCTTTCGCCAGTTACGAGCCAATCATGCGGACGGCACCCACAACGCGTTCCCAAACCGAAGGGGGGACCAAACACATGCGAGAAACCAGGCCACATAGCTGAACCGGGACAGAAGCATGCGAAAATGGCAGGATTTCACACGGGCCCACACCGCGATGATGCCATATGAGTGCGACAGAGGCGCCCCAGTGTGGGTCCCACTTACGGTATCGAAGAGGAGCTGTCCCAGGACCAGTAAGTCACTCACCAGACCAACAATGGTAGAATGGGAGAGTATTGGTAGGGAACCCAAGGCCCTCCCTGACAAATTTTGTTAGTTTAAAAAAAAAAAAAAAAAAAACCTAATCTAGGCAAAAAATAATGGGGATTTAGTGTATATGATCATACATTGCATAGGTCTGCCACAACGTCAGTGTACCCCATCTTTGGCAGGTCCAACTCTAACAGCCTATGGCCCATGTGTTAGACTTTGGTTCAGGACAATGGAAAGGCTTTGTTCGTGCTTGTTCCCTTATATGGTTTGGTATATGGGGCTTACCAAACGGTTATTATACTACCGAACAGTTGGACCACCTGAAAGTGTGTTGCTTGTTAACCTTATTGACTTTGTTAACTGAAACTTTCTAAATGGTCGGCTGGGTGGTCGCCGTTCGTATAGACGAACACGAGGTGGCGGCCATCTTGTTCCTGCAAACACATACAGCGTCGAGTGCATGGAACTATAATCGGACACTCGACTGTGCGAATACCGCTGGGACTTCCATCTCTTCGTACGTTCGGCTGGATTCACTTGAGAAGAGCGGCATTCTGTGGAAACACACTCCCGAACAAGAGACACATACTAAGTGTACATACAAACTGTTTGCATTCGTATTTCTGTTGTATTGTGAACTTCTGAAAGAGACCTACTGCACAGCCTGATTTCAAGGACCTCTTTTGGGAAGGAACCTCATGTGCGGTCAGTCAACTTATGACCTCCATGGAAATCCCAAAACCCTGAACCGATCTGGGTGATTTTTGGATATGTTGGTCCCCCAGATCAAGGCGATGTGAGTTTTTTGTTTGGTTTCCATGTGTTTTGGGGTACTTCCAGGAGGTTGTAACCCCTTAAGGACTGAGCCAAATGTACACGTTGTGATCAAAACAAAACTTAAACAAAAACTTTAATTTGCGCTATATGTCTGTTCAGGCGTAATTCGCCTCTTTCATTTTATGTGTACCCACACTTATTATATATCATTTTATTCAGGGGAAACAGGGCTTTCATTTAACATCAAATATTTAGGTATAAAACATAATTTAATATGAATAAAATATTAAAATATGGGAGAAAAGAATTGTTAAAAAAATGTTTAGTTCTACGTGACATTCTAACTGTGAATGTCATAATACTGTTTGACTTTACTGCAATAAAATACACATATTTGTATTCAGCGATGTCTCACGTGTAAAACAATACCCCCTATGTACAGGGTTTATGGTGTTTTGGAAAGTTACAGAGTCAAATATTGCATGTTACATTTTTCAGTTTTTTCACATTGAAATTCGCCAGATTGGTTACGTTGCTTTTGAGACCGTATGGTAGCCCAGGAATGAGAAATGAGAATTACCCCCATGATGGCATTTCATTTGCAAAAGTAGACAACCCAAGGTATTGCAAATGGGGTATGCCCAGTCTTTTTTAGTAGCCACTGGGTCACAAACACTGGCCAAAATTAGTGTTAATATTTGAAAATGCAAAAAACTAATTTGAACGTCAATTTTGGCCAGTGTTTGTGACTAAGAGGCTACTAAAAAAGACTGGACATTACCCATTTTCAATACCTTGGGTTGTCTACTTTTGCAAATGGTGTGCCATTATGGGGGTAATTCTCATTCCTGGGCTACCATACGGTCTCAAAGGAAACGTAACCAAGCTGGCGAATTTCAATGTTAAAAAACTGAAACGCAAGCCTTATTTTTGACTCTCTTCCTTTTGAAAACACCATAAAACCTGTACATGAGGGGTACAGTTATACTCGGGAGACTTCGCTGAACACAAATATTAGTGTTTCAAAATGGTAAAACGTATCAGAACAATTATATTGTCCGTGTAAGTGCCATTTGGGTGTGAAAAATGCAAGAAATGTCACTTTCACTGACAATATCGTCGTTGTAATACCTGTTACTGTTTTGAAACACTAATATTTGTGTTCAGCGAAGTCTTCCAAGTAAAACAGTACTTCCCATGTACAGGTTTTACGGTGTCTTGGAAAGTTACAGGGTTAAATATAGTGCTAGCAAATTTAATTCCCTGGACTTTTGGCCTGGGTTTTCAGGCTGGTCCTGCTAATTGTAATTAATAAAATTACCTAATTATGTAAAATTATTACATAAATATATACGTAGAATTATTATATATATGTGTGTTTATAAATATATGTGTATATATATGTATATAATTTTTTAAAATTATTTTTATTTATATATAGGTATATATAGTGATATATACGTATATACTTATGTATATAGATATATATA